AGTGGCTGGGATTCTGACATGGTATCAGAGCGAAGGTCTCGGGTTCGAATCCTGGTGTGTGCACCTCGGGCATCCCAGTGCGGGGGGTTGTCAGAGGTCCACTGGAGATCCCCGATTGATCCTAGGGAAGGGTTACAGGCACATCGGCCTGGGGGGTTATTGGCACACTCCCCGCTTCACAAACAAGCAATTTTATCCCAGTGGTTAGTGGCTGGGATTCTAACAGTCATGAATCTTCACCACCGCACCTCGACGCCTACGGCCCAGAGCTTGCCAATCTACTGCAGGGCACCATTAAAGGCACTAACATCCCCTCTTTGTCATCCCCAATCGTAACTTCCCAGCGCTGGCACTATCAAGAGCCGCACTCACGCACAAGCCTTTCCCTCTGCACGAGCCCATCACCATTAGGTGCAAAAAGCTACACAAAGTGTGCAACGGTTCTGTTGTCGCCGGCCTCACAACAAAGTACACATAACGCTCATTGATGCAGCATGCCTATGCCTGGGTAATAAATGTTCAGAACAGAGTAGGGCATACGATGTATTCTAACTCGGGTCCCGCGTTTCGCTCTCTGCAGGGCCTCGCGCTCCAAAGGCCTGCTCGTCGCGCCCGTTGCGCCCTCCCCGTCGCGCCCGTCCGCAATGTCCGTCCGTCGCGCCCTGTGCGCCCTTCCCGTCCGGCGCGCCCCTGCTGCGCGCCGTCTCGTCTCTTCACACGTCGCCTGCCCCGCCCCGTTCCGTCACGACCGCAGCAGCAGCAGCAGCGCGCAGCTACGTACGACCGTGCGCACCAGCGCACGGTAGTGTGCGCCAGCGCCAGCGGCCAGCGCCAGCGCCAGACGCTGCTGCCAGCGCCAGCGCCCATGCCGCCCCTCTCCTTCCCTCTTCCTCTCTCCCTGCAGCACTTGGTGCTGTAGGGGGGGGAGGGGGGAAGAGCGGTTCAGGGGGGATGAGAGAAGTTAATGGAGGGTAAGAGAGAGCGGCGGAAACAGCAGCCATGCATCTGCAGCTGCCGCCCGCTGCTACCATGGCACCTACAGCTGCAGCCCCTGTCGCCGCCTTTCGTCTTTCGTCTTTCGTTTGCTGCTGTTGGCGCAGGTGCTGCTGTTGAGCTTGCTGTGCCGCCGCTCGTTGACGCGGCACGCCGCTCTCCAGGCTACCTGCACCGCATGCATGCCCCCCCTTTCGTCTTTCGTCTTGGCTAAGGGATTTCTACAGCTGTATCTACCACTATTGCACCGGTTGCAATTGCTTTTGCGTGCTATTGCTTTGTTCTGCTTGGTGTACCCCCACAGGTTGTGTTTTGCACTTGGCTATTCCTGCATGCAGTTAAGGGGGGATGTCAGAGTTCTACTGTTATAATTGCATCTAGTTGTAGCTGTAGTGTAGTATTACATTTAGTTGCTGGTGGTATACCTAGCTTCTCTCCTATTTGTACCCTTTTCTCAATAGTGAAACCTCTTCCTTTCTCGACATCCTCCTCTCTCGTCACCTTCCTAGGTTCCTAACCTAGTCTACTTTCTGACAGTTCTTAATCTTACATCACACTTCTCGCCCATGCCCGCACCTTCAGCAAGGCGTTGCATAACGAACAACTGCACTGCACCCTCATGACAAGAATGTGTGCGCTGCTGAAGCACTTCCAACCTTCCCACGCACTGGCTACATGCAATGCATCACATTACGGCTACACAACCTCCTCCACCACAACAATTAAGAAAGGCATTTCCCGCACCTGAATTAGATTGGGAAAAGGGGTGATACCTAGATGCTTCACGTATCGGCCTGCTTTGTCGGATTGCGCATGCTGGAGAGTTTATTTATGGTTTAGATACGAGAACAAGGGGTGGCCTGCTAAATTATTCTGTTCCATTCATTGTAACAACTGTCCGTATTGTCACAGCTTGGTTATTCATTATTTTGGATAACTTTTTTGGACAACCTATAAGATCAGGTGTCCATTTAAGTGTACAATATATCTTGTATACCCTTTGCCCCTCCCTTATGGGGCACTTGAGTGCCAGTCTCGTGTGCTGGCAAATCACAACCTTCCCATAGGCTGCTGTTGACTCGTGAAATCTTTTGTTCGCACTGCTTGCGATAAATCAATCCAACACCACTGGACAGCTCGATCGTCCACGTCAGGGTGGAGGACAGCAACCCGCGATGTTGGGGATTGTCGAAAGTGCCCGTCACACAGAAATATCAATTTATCCGTTTTTTTGGTCGCTCTCAGTCTCTGTTGTGATTCGGCGTAGGTTGGAAAAGTGATCTTCCACGTGTGACCTCTCGTCCTAATTTGTCTGCTGTGGATCCTCTGTCATTCTATCGGGGTCATCAAGTTGCCTCGGGATTGGCTTTTCCCGACATTCGCGCGCCCCGATTTCTCCTTCCCCTTCTGCTGCATTCCAGTCTCTGCCGCCGCAATCTCACGAGCGCGAACACACTTGAATTCGAAAAATCCCTTGTCATTTGTGTAAGGTAGAGTGCGTTTCTACGTTTTTAAAAGCGGTATTGTGCGTTCTTGCTCTGTTGCACCTAGTCCAGTGGGAGTGTGTTTCCTAGCTGCACCAGACGTGTGAAGGTTGTGCAAGTGCTAGTTTGTCACTGCAGCCGTTTGACATCTTGCCCTCAGCCACTGCTGTCTCTCCTGCAATCCAGCTGCCAGATGGTGACCGTCTTGTAGTTATCAGTTTTGGCTTTGGAAGTGTGTGTCCTGCACTGTGGCTCACCTCATCGTATACAGCGTTGGCCCGTCAAACAGCCGGATCCCGTAATTTATCACATTTTCTCAAACTCCTAGATAGATTATTCATATTATGGCGCCAGTAATGCAATCTAGCGTGTATACCCAAGCGTCAGGCTTGGTCCAGCAACCAATCAGTGCACGGTCCGTTTCAGGAATTCGCGTTTCTCTTCCACCTCGTTCCACGAAGATCGTATGCACTCTCTCCATTCCTTCAAACTCCACGACGGATCTTCGCACGTCCGCTAGCGCCGCTTCTGCAAGCCACGTCAGCTCCACCTCAGTTTCCACATCAGCAGCTGCTGCACCTCCCGGGAGCACCAGCGTGGCACCGCCCATGATGTCGTCAGCGTCAGCAGTATCGCCAGCAACGGCCGCGCGCTGCCCCTTCACTGGCCGACTAGCTGCCGTCGCAACCATGGTAAGGGGTACTATCATGCTCGTGACAGAACGCTTCAGTGATACAGCGGGAAAACGTTGCGTTTGCTCTTTAAAATCACTGCCGCTTTCATTCTCTCACTCCGCTTCCCATTTTCGTCTTCCCTCGGAGTCCCTCGAGTCTGTTATAACAAGTTCGTTCCTCCACGCGCTCCGTCATCCATGGCGAGCCGCTCTCACGAGAGGACGCCACAGCGGTTTTCCCATACCCTCATCGGACGCCATTTACTTTCCCCTGCACCGCATTCAGGCCGAGTCGCTCTCACGCGAAGATACCAAAGCGGTTTCCCCAGTATGCACCCCCGACCCTCACCCGTGAGCGGCTACCCATGATTGACTCAAACGGCATTCCCCTCCCCCCGCACATTCCGCATCCAGGGCGAGTCGCTCTCACGCGAGGACGCCGCAGCGGACGCCCCGGTTCCCACGTCGGGCCCCCACCCGTGTAGCATGATTCGACTCAAAGCCATTTCCATCTCCCCGCACGTTCCTCGTCCAGGGCGAGTCGCTCTCACGCGAAGATACACAAGCGGACATCCCAGTACCCATTCCTGGTCCCCACCGCGAAGCATGACTCAACTCAAATCCACTACTTTTTTCCCACACGTTCCCCGTCCAGGGCGAGTCGCTCTCACGCGAAGATACCGAAACGGACCTCCCCGTACCCATCCCGGGTCCCCACCCGTGGGACATTGTGGGCAACGTGCGCGACCTGAGCGCCATCGCGCTGCGCGGGATCGAGGAGGCGACGCTGCTGTACGGGCGCAAGTACGGCCCGATCTGCCGGTTCGCCAACGGCGTGAGCGCGTGGACGTTCGTGAACGACGCCGATATCATCGCGCACATCTGCAGCACCAACTCGAAGAACTACTCGCGGAGATTCCTGCCTGTGAGTCCGTGTTCGCCTCCCACTGTGAGCCTTCGGGGCGATGCTTGACTCATTGTCATCCAGTCTGCCGCCTTCTCCTTTCTTTCCTTCCCACTTCCTTGTCACTCATTCCTCCTCACTGAAAGGCCATGTAGCCCCAACCCCATGTAGCTCCACTTCCCTCTTCCCCCATTCCTTCCACACGATGTGCCGCCTCTTCACCTTCGTCGCATCCTTTCTCTTTTTCTCCCATTGTGTGTTCCTCCCACCAGGCCGTCTATGAGTACGTGACGCACGGCAAGGGCATTCTGGGGTCGCAAGGGGAGTACAACCGCGCGCACCGCCGCATGTGCCAGCCGCCCTTCATGCGCCCCAACCTGCTCGACGCCTTCTCCGATACCATCCAGTCGCAGGTGGGTACTATCACGGTCTAAGGACGTCACTAGTCTTCATGTCTTCTCCGCACATCCATCCACCCCTCAATCCCATTTGCCGCCTGTCCCTCAAATTTCAATCCCATATATCTTTCCCTGATCCTCCCTCCCCCTTTCTCATATTTTCTCATTTACCTCAACCTTTATGCCGCCACTCTTCATCCTCAACCCACTCAACCTATGCCGCCCAGTCTCTCATCATCTCACAGTCCTACCCCATTCCCCGTCGCCCCTACCCACGGCCAGCTAGACAAGCTCATCACGATGTGGCGCCATCAAGCCGCCACAAACGCCAGCTCATCCCCTCCCCTCCTCCCCACTCCTTCCAATCCCACATGACCCACTCCCCGCAAATATTACCCTTCCTCGCGAGCAGCTAGAGAAGCTCATCACAATGTGGCGCCATCCAGCCACCACAGACGCTGGCTCACCCCTTCCTTTCTCTCCCTTTCTCCCCCTTCCTTCCTGCAAACACCACCCTTCCTCACGAGCAGTTAGACAAGTTAATCACAATGTGGCGCCACCAAGCCACCACTGACGCCGGTTCACCCCTCCCCAACGTCGTCCTGGACGGCAATCTAGCGGTCCAGATCCAACGCTTCACGCTCGACATCATCGGAGCCGTCGCTTTCTCCAAGGACTTCGGGCAGCTGGACCGCATCCGAGCCGACCCCGCAGGCTCGGCGACCGAGGCGGACGCCGGAGCTGACGAGCTGCTAGGCGCGGTGAACGAGTCGCAGCAGCTGATGGCAAACGTGTTCATCACGCCACTGCCGGTGCTGCAGCTGCTGCGGAGGCTCGGCGAGCCGGGGATGCTGCGGTTGGATGCGGCGATGAAGGCGATGGAGAGGGTTATGATGGGTGTGATCGAGGAGCGGAGAGAGCAGTGGCGCGCGACGGGAGACGCGGGGGATGATCTGCTGGGAGTGCTGCTAGGCGCTACGGTACGGACGGCTGCATGGGAGGGAGGTGGAGGGTGAGGACGTGGGGGTGGGTTTGTGCGGGTTTTGGGGTGCGGGGGTGTGGGAGAGAGGGTAGGACGATTTTTAAGCCAGAAAGTATCAGTTGAGGGCCATGGAGAGGGTTATGATGGGTGTGATTGAGGAGCGCAGGGAGAAATGGCGCGCAACGGGGGGTAATCTGCTGGGAGTGCTGCTAGGCGCTACGGTACGGCCGTTGGGAATGGGGTGAGGGGGAGGTTGCTGTGGGATCCTTGGCGTTTGGGGTTGTGGAAGAAGGGAAGCCAGCTTTTGACGCGTGTGGGTGGGGTGGGGGGTCTGTGCAGACGTTGCGGAGGGTAAGAGATTCTGAGGCGGCTGGAGAAGTAAGGCACGCATGGGCTGTGATGGGTGTGATTGAGGAGCGGCGAGGGAGGTGGCGCGCAAGGGGGGAAACGCTGGGGCCGATCTGCTTGGGGTGCTGCTAGGTGCCACGGTATGGCGGTTGAGGGGGGAGGTGTGTGGGGGATGTGGGGGTGTGGGGGCGGATGATTATCCTTGAAACCCCCTTTGCCCCCCTTATCTCTCCGCCTCCCTGCTTCCTCTCCTTCCTTGCTTCCTCCCCGCCTCCGCTGTGTCGCCAGGACGAGCAGGGGCGGCCGCTACAAGACGAGGAACTGTGGGAGGACGTGCATGATGTGATGGGCGCGGGACACGAGACCACCGCCACCACCATCACCGCGGCGCTCTTCCTCATCTCGCAACACCCTGAAGCCAAGGCCAAGGTGGGTGGCTGATCCTGGTTGGTGCTGGTGGGTGCAGGTCGAGGTGGATGTATGTAAGTGGCTTTCAGTGGAAGCGGGTGCTATGGTGCAAGAGCGAATGGAAAGGTTCACTGTGCACGCACCCGTCCACACCCTGTGCATCCAACCCTGAGCGTGTATCCGCCCATTACTTTCCCCCTTCCGTCCTCTCCCTTGTATGCCTGAAGCTCCTGCCACCCACTCTTCTCTCTCCAACCCAACCCCTCCTCTTCCCTCCTGTCAACCCCTCCTCTTCTCTTCTCTCGAACCCACCTATTTCCTTCTCTCCACCCCTCCACTTCCCTTATCACCACCACATATTGCACCCCCTCTCCACCATTTTTTTCCCTCCCTCATATTGCACCTCTCAACGGTCGCACCTCATTCCAGGACGTCAACAGTGGGCGCCTGGCATACACACAGATGGCCGTCAAGGAGACCCTCTGCATGTACCCCCTCACTCCCTTCATTCTCTCCACCCCTCATCGTCCCTCCTCTCAACCCCCCTTCGTCCCTCCTCTCCCCCATTCCTTATCCCTCCTCTCCCCCATTCCTTGTCCCTCCTCTCCGCCCCTTCCCCCCCGCATCTCAGGTGCACGAGGAGTTGAGGGCTCTCAACGGTCGCATGCCCTCATTCGATGACGTCAACAGCGGGCGCCTGGCATACACACAGATGGCAGTCAAGGAGACCCTCCGCATGTACCCGCCCATCCCGCTCTTCCCACGAGAGGTCGCCCACACCGACCGCCTACCCGGGGGCTACGAACTTCCTGGTGGCGATGTGAGTGTGTTTTCTAAGCTGTTGCCGTTATGTCCCCATTGCCCTTCCCCCATGAAGTTGCCCACACCGACCGCTAGCCTGGGGGAAACTAACTTTCTGCTGGCGATGTGAGTGGCCTGCTCTTTTCGAGCTCTTACTCCCGTCACCCTTGGCAACCCCCCTGCCCAACCATCCTTGTTGTTCTGTGGAAAACTGTCCACACTCACGCATGCCTTGTGGGTACCTCCTTTGCCAGTGGCACAACCTTGTTTACTGGCATGCACTGCTTTTGCCAGGGAGCTGGTACCTAAGGAGCTGTTGCCCAACCATCTCCCATCCCCTTCTCCCTCCCTTCCTGCCTCCCTGCCCATCCCCCAGGTCGTCTTCATGTCCACATATGCCATGGGCCGCAACCCTGTATACTGGCCTGAGCCCCTCTCCTTCCGACCGGTAATGCTCCTGAAACCACTGACGCTGCCTCCTTTCCAATCTCCAAACTTCCTATCTATTAGTGAACCTCTTTCCTCTCTCATAGTGCCACTTGGAACTGTGTGCCCAGAGTCGCTTGCTCCGTGCATACTCTTGTTTGAACAGTCTCCCTCTGTTTCCCTTTCGCTCCCGTACACTTTGCCCCCATGACCTGCGCCCCCATGCTCTCAAACCCTGGTCATCACAGGAACGCTTCACTCCTGAAGCAGAGGCGGCGCGGCCACGCTTTGCATGGGTGCCGTTTGGGGCGGGCCCGCGCATGTGCCTCGGCGCCAACTTTGCCGTGCTGGCCGTCACTCAAGTCGTTGCCACGCTGCTGCAGGTGCGCGCTTTGACTCTCACTTGACGAGGTGTTTGGGAAAGGGGGTTTGGGGTGGACGGGGAAAGGGCGCCTGTGGGTGCCATTTAGAGCAGCCCGCGCATGTGTCTGGGCGCCAACTTTGCCGTGCTGGCAGTCACTCAAGTCGTTGCCACTCTGCTGCACGTGCGTCAGTGGTGTTTGTAGGGGGGTGGTGGGGTTGGGGGGGTATGGGGTGGGTGGGGGTGGAGTGCGCGCTTTGCCTTGTGTGTTGTGGCTGGGGGTTCGGAAGGCGTCTGTGCATGTTTGGGGCGGGCCCACGCCTGTGCCTGGGCGCCAAGGTTTCTGTGCTCGCCGTCACTCAAGTTGTTGCCACTCTGCTGCAGGTGAGTGGGAGGGGCAGGGCGAAAGAAGGGTGGAGAGGGGGTGGTGGCTGTCTGGTGGGTATCTGTTCATGCTCGCATCCATATGTATACCTCTCTGTGTGTTGAAAGGGATGTAAGCTTGTGTCTCATTCTCCCCCCTGCTCTTCTCTTCCCCTCCTCTCTTCCTCCCCCTACTCCCCTCCTCCCCTATTCCCCTCCCCTCCTCCCATTTCCTCCCCTCCCTTCCTTTCCCTTGTCCACTCAGCATTTTGACTTTGAGGGTATCAGTCCCAGCGGCAAGGAACTGCCATTTGCTTATGATATTACGATGAATTTTCCAGGTACCACAAACATGTTACGTTATTCTCGTCCTTCTTATACCTCAGTCATCCATGTTTTTATCAGCCTCCTGACACAAAACACTCAATTTCTGTCCTTGACTCAGGCGGGGTAAACATGCGTTTTCGGCCGCGTGAAACAGAAGCTTAAAGCAGAAGGGTGTGCTGGAGTTATGATTGACCATAGGCCCAACTAACGTGCAGCCTGACGCTGCAAGTTTGGTAAATCGTAGGGGTTTCTTGTTACCATACCGGTAACCTTGGTTTGTGTGTTGTAAGTTATGTGTGTATAGTTATTTTCTCCCGTTTGCATGTCTCTTGCAATTAAAAACAAAGAATGAAACATGGCAAGTTGGACTGATGAATGTGAAAAGCTTATCAATACTGCCCAGTGGGTTTTCTATAGACCGTCCATCATAAGAAGTACAGATTTCTCCTAAGGTTGACGTGCAGTAGCGATGTAAAGAGGCAGCCAATAACAAAATTCGGCACCCCCAAAGTCGCCATTTCACCCCCTAGCAGCATTGGCCGTCAATTCTAGTGCTGAACATCACGTCACCGTTGTGACTTGTGGACGTATGGAGAGGAGATTAGCGCTACGACGGACAGGATCTGAATCACGTATAGTAGCCCGTTTTACGTCGTGGATACCTGCCGTTGGCTGTTAATAGCCGTTGTATGTCGTCACGAATAGGTGTTATTACCTCGTCGTCAATAATCGTTGGTGCGTCGTCGTTAATATTCTTTGGTACGGTGTTGCTAAAAGCCGCTGGTGCTAGAAAGTTGTTGTGCAAACTCGTGCTCGCGGTGACCTCAGCAAACCCCTCCCGGAGTCTTGGAACGTCTTTGAAGAACCCCTCCCGGGGGTGTTGCAGCTTGCCAAATTAGTCGACAGCCACAGGAGCACATTGCGGGTCGCGTCTCGTTATAGTCACACGAATGGACTCTCGCAATGCTGGTAGCGCAGAGTCAGCGCCGAATGCGGAGGTAGAACCCGCAGGTGTAAGCGCTGTTAGCAGCAGCGCCAACCACACGAGAGAACGATGCTCGGAGTCAGCTTCGGGCGAAATCCCGGCGGCAATCGCGGTCGGGGGAGGCCCGTGGGGCGCAGTAGGCGACACTGGCGGAATGGGCTCGGGGGGAGGCGCAGGGGGGAGGGGAACGAGCCCAGCAGTGGCGGCGGGACTAGGCGGAACGCAGGCGATGCCTCCGCATCTGGATTTGCGCGGAGCTGCGATTCAGACGTTTCCGCGGGACGCTGCTGGCGCGCAGACGACCATCGTGCTCCCGAATCAACGGTCGGATGTGCTCCATTTCGCACTTGACATTGGAGGTGTGTCTTAAGGCTCAAGTTGCAACCTCCAAGTTATCCATAGTTATCCATTGTCAGGAATCATTGTTCAGGGAACTTCAGAATGAATCTCTATGCAATGTCAGACATTTTCATGAATCAATCAATCTCGGGTCAAATTCACAAATATTTTACCAGGCGTTTCCAGTTCCTGCGGATTTAGGAAATCATTGTCTGGGCACGTTGGGGAATCTCTATCCAACCATTTCTAAGAATGAATGTTATTCCAGCACCAGAGTTGAATGTGACGGCATCACAAGAAGGCAGCCTGAACTTCTCTTCCCTCCGCTATGTTTTTCCATCAGGTTTGCTAATCAATTCGCCTGAACTTTCTCTCCCATACCCCTCTCTTTACCGTTTTTCTCAGGCTCGCTCGTCAAGCTCGTGTATTTCCCCCGCATCCCTCCCCACTTGGAGCACGGGGCCTCCTTGTGACTCGACGCAGAACACGGCTCACCTTGCTCCCCCATACCCCCCTTAACTGTTCCCCTCAGGCTCGCTCATCAAGCTTGTGTATTTCTCCCGCATCCCTCCCCACTTGGAACACGGGGGTTCCTTCTCCTCTCTAATATCTCCTGGTGCCGCGGCCTCTGCTCCTGCTACCAGCACTGCTGCTGCTGAAAACACAGACGACACCAGCCAGACCAATTGTGGTGGTGGTGGTGGTGGTGCTGCTGCTCCCCCCACTGCTTCTGCTGCCGCTACTGCAGCAGCAGCTGCTGCGGCTGCCGCTAGGGCGGTTGACAGGCGAGCCTCTTTTTCTGGAGGAGGGGGTTCGTTCCGGTCGGGTGGCGGCGGTCGGCTGCACTTTGTCAAGTTTGAGACGTCGAGGATCGCAGAGTGCATTGAGTTCATCAAATCCAAGAGGCTTCACAGCTTTGATATCTTGGGTGAGGTGAAGATGCAGGTGGGAATACAGAGGGTGGGGTGTGATGTTGGGGATAGAAAGGGTGCGGGGTACAGAGGGTGGGTGGTTGGAATGGAGAGAAGGATCAAGAGGGGTGACTAAGCGTTTATAGGATTGATGTGCGAAAACGCGTATAGAAATCGCCGGGGTTCAATGTTCTGGCCGGGGTTCCATTTTCCTTTCCTGTCCATCCAAGTTCGCCCTCATCTTCCACTCTCTCTCAACCTCCACTCTCATCCTTGCCCACCCTCATTTCCTCCACCCTTTTCTCCTCCACCTTAATCCTTGTACACGCTATGCTATGGTTCTTGTACAACACAACAACACACCTCCTCCTCTCACAACTCGATCATATTGTCTGTGGTTGCTTCAAGAAGTGTATCCAGCCCAGTACACTCACCTCTCCTTATTTCACCTCCCGCGACTCACTATTGTCTTCTCCAACCTCTATCATGCTGTGCCCCTCATCGTTCTCTTATTTCCTCCCTCCGAAAAGGAATGGGTGGAGACGAGGAGAGCCTATGGGGCTACGGTGCCAGCTCACCCCGCATCAAGGTGTGTGTCGACATGCTTGCAATGGCACTTTCACACCTATGGCTTATTTGAAAGGAATGGGAGGAGACAAGGAGAGCTTACGCGGCTACGGAGCCAGCTCGCCCCGCATCAAGGCGTGTTCCAACAGACACGCATGCAATGGCAGCGTTTGAGAGAGGTGCATCTAGTGGTGGTCACCTCTGGAAAATGACCAGCGCAACTGAAGAGGATGACGCACATTGCCTCCCACAGAGCCATCCTCTTCAGTTGCGTGTGATCATCTAGCTAGCCAAGGGTTGGTGATGCGTGGCACTAGCCATATAGCCATTGCATGCACCACCTGTGCCAGTGCCACGCATCACCAACCCCGTGAATATTGACTCGACTCAAAAGTCTCCTCTGCAGTGCATGCTTATGATATGATCACCTAGCCATATAGCCATTCCATGCACCACCCGCGCCACGCATCACCAACCCCGTGTGTGTGTGTGTGTGTGCGCGCGCGCGTGCGTGCGTGCGTGCGTGCGTGCGTGCGTGCGTGCGTGCGTGCGTGCGTGCGTGCGTGCGTGCGTGCGTGCGTGCGTGCGCGCGTGCGTGCGTGCGTGCGTGCGTGCTTGCGTGCGTGCGTGTGTGGTCAGGCCACAGGGGGAGGAGCCTTCAAGTACGCGGACCTGTTCAGGGAGAAGCTGGGAGTGGTGTTGGATAAGGAGGATGAGATGCTCTTTGAGTCTACTCACAGCTCACCTCCATTCACCACCCCTGCCATGCCATGCACCATTGTCCTCCCCATGTGTGTGTGCAGGCCACAGGGGGAGGAGCCTTCAAGTACGCGGATCTATTCAGGGAGAAGCTGGGAGTGCTGCTGGACAAGGAGGATGAGATACGTTACCGCCATGCACCACTCCTTCCTGTCATCCACCATCGCTTTTGGGTGTGTGTGGGCAGGCCACAGGGGGAGGGGCGTTCAAGTACGCGGACCTATTCAAGGAGAAGCTAGGGGTGGTGTTGGACAAGGAGGATGAGATGCGCTGCCTCGTGCTCGGCCTCAACTTCCTCCTGCGCGTATGTCCCCCCTCAGCGCTCCCCCTTACATGCTGTGCCTATATCCCTGACTTTTCCTCCCTTTCCCCGTTACCTCCCGTACCTGCTGAGCACGCATATGCCCACCCACGCACGCTTATCTCCTTCGCATGTGACCCCCTTGTGCGTGCACTTCCCGTCACTGTTTGTTAAGCTCACTGTTGCTCGTCTCTATGGTTCCTCCCATGATCGCCTTATCTCCCTCTCTTTTAGCCTTCGTTTCTCTCCCAAACCCCATCCCAGTCCATCACCTGGAGGGCGAGAAGCAATTTGTGGAGATGCACATGAGGCTTATGCATTCTATTCGCCCTCCCATCTGCCCTAGCTTGCACTTCCCCTCAACCCAGTCCATCTGAGACGAGGCATTCACGCACCTGGAGGGCGAGAAACAGTTTGTGGAGCTACATGCACACAATAGCTCAGACCCTTCCACTGGTCCTTTCATATGCCTTTCCTTGCGCCGACCCCGTGCCCATCCTCCGCCACCCAGTCCATCCGAGACGAGGCATTCACGCACCTGGAGGGCGAGAAACAGTTTGTGGAGATGCACAGTGGAAACATCTTCCCCTACCTGCTTGTCAACATTGGTTCCGGCGTCAGCATTCTCAAGGTGTGCCACCAACTGTTCCTGTTTTATCGTCGGACGATGCACAGCGAAAATGCCCATTTTCCCATATGTTCCTAACTCCCTCTGCTCTGCCAACCCCTCTGCTCTCCCTTCCACGGTCCCCCTTTGCTCTCCCAACCCAACTCTCCCTGCCCCATACCCCCATCTTCCACCCCATCCCTTTGTGAGCCCCCATCCCCATCTATACACTATGGCAGGTGGACGGGCCGCAGCAGTACGAGAGAGTGAGCGGCACCAACCTGGGTGGCAGCCCAAGCTGTGCGATGTTCTGCTTGTTTCTCACCCTTTTGTTCACTCTCACACCCCTCTAAACCTCACTGCGTTTGGGGCAGGTGGACGGGCCGCAGCAGTACGAGAGAGTGAGCGGCGCCAATCTTGGGGGCAGCCCAAGCTATGCGATGTGCTGCTCGTTTTTCACCCCTCCGTACACTCTCGCACCACTTTTAACCTCACAATGTCTGATTCAGGTGGACGGGCCACAGCAGTACGAGCGAGTGAGCGGCACCAATCTGGGGGGAGGCACCTTCTGGGGTCTGGGCCGTCTGCTCACGGGGTGCAAGAGGTGAGAGGCCACAATTGAGTTCAGGGCCCACTTCATGTGATCTATTCGTTCTGCCTCCTTGCTTGCGCAACTCGTTTGACGTTCGGGGCACGGCACACCACGGTTGATGAATTGAGTCCGACCCTCCTTCCTCATGTCCCCCGTCACGTTTCTTCCGCGTGGTAGTCCTCCTCTTTGTGTCCTTCTGCTTTTACTAAAGCTATTCGGATTGAGCCAAGAGGGGTTAGGAAATTACTCCCCTTGTCTTTCTTTCCCCCCTCCTACTCCTTCAATCCGTCCCCTTTTGTTCCAAAACCACCAGTGTTGGCACAAATCTGAAGCCCAGGCTCAGCCAGGAAGGGTTAGGGTAGCAGACCCTTTTCTTTCATGCTCTTTCTCCCTTGTCCTGCACTTTCCCACCATCGCCTCTTCACCCCTCTCTTCCTCATTCCCCACCCATTCTTCACTTGATCACCGCCAGTTTTGACAAGATCTTGGAGCTGAGTCAGGAGGGCGACAATGCGGCTGTGGACATGCTGGTGGGGGACATCTATGGCGGGCTTGACTATGAGAAGGTGAGGCAACTATGAGACGGTGAGCAGGCAGGTCAACCATTCATGCACATTGCACACATACCATGTGCATTGGCTGTGGACATGCTGGTGGGGGACATCTATGGCGGGCTTGACTATGAGAAGGTGAGCAGTTTCGAGCGAGTGGTGGGGGAGCAGAAGCAACTGTCAGACCACCGCCCGGAGGACCCGGTGCTATCTCTCTCCCATTCCCTCACTCCTCCTACCCATCCCATGTTGCTCATCCCCACTGCATGTTCTTCCCTCCAGATCGGCCAGTCAGCGTCCACCATTGCATGCAGTTTCGGGCGAGTAGTGGGGGAGCAGAAGCAGTTCACCTCACTTCCCTGCTGCCCGCCAACTTCCCTTCCTTTCCTTCCCTTCCCATCAACCCCCCCCCCCCCCCCCCGTCTTTCCCCCCCCCGTCTTTCCCCCCCCCTCTTAAGATCGGCCTGTCAGCATCTACTATAGCATCTAGCTTTGGCCGAGTGGTGGGGGAGCAGAAGCAACTGTCAGACTACCGTCCGGAGGACATAGCCCTCTCGCTCCTCCGCATGGTGTCATACAACATCGGCCAGATCGCCTACCTCAACGCCCCATGCTATGGCCTCAAGCACCCCCTCCTGTTCCCTGCTTCCCACTCCCCTCGTCTTCCTTCCCCTTCTCCCCCGTTTTTGCCTGTCACCCCCCCCTTACGTAACCTTGCTCAGATCGGCCTATCGGCCTCTACCATTGCCTCCAGTTTTGGCCGAGTGGTGGGGGAGCAGAAGCAGCTCTCTGATTACCGTCCGGAGGACATAGCGCTGTCGCTGCTGCGCATGGTGTCATACAACATCGGCCAGATCGCCTACCTCAACGCCCTGCGCTATGGCCTCAAGCGCATCTTCTTCGGCGGGTTCTTCATCCGCGGGCATGCATATACGATGGACACTATCTCGTTTGCCATCAAATTCTGGTGGGTCAAGTTTCAGTGCTTGCAATTAAGGTGGTCAATCGCCTACCTCAACGCCCTGCGGTACGGCCTCAAGCGCATCTTCTTTGGGGGTTTCTTCATCCGCGGGCATGCCTACACCATGGATTCCATCTCCTTCGCCATCAAGTTCTGGTGAGTCAAGCTTCTGTGCATGCAACCAGGCGGTTGAATCTTTTGCACTCGACCGCTACGGCCTCAAGCGAATCTTCTTCGGGGGCTTCTTCATCCGCGGGCACCATGGATACAATTTCCTTCGCCATCAAGTTCTGGTGGGTGCAGTGTTCTTGGTGGTGGTGGCGCGCTTTTAGTGAGGAACTGTGAGGTGCATTTATTTGCTAGGCGCCCACAAGCAGAACGCTTATGCAGAGGGAGCAGAACGCTCATGCAGAGGGGCATGGACTCTCACTCACCCTCGCCATCGTGTCGTTCTCGTCTGTCACGCCGTTCCTTCTTTCTCTTCCCCCTCCCCCTCACCCACCCCCTCCCGTTCTGTCTTCTCTACCTTCCCCGCCCTCCTCCCCTTGCTTCTCTCCCCTGTAGTTCCAAGGGGAGATGGAGGCCACGTTTCTGCGGCACGAGGGCTAGTTTTTTTGGGTGCACTGGGCGCCTACAAGCAGAACGCTCATGCAGAGGGACATGGACCGCGCTCACCCTCGCCATCGTGTCCCTTCCTTCCTCTCCCTCCCTGTTGCAGGTCCAAGGGGGAGATGGAGGCCATGTTTCTGCGGCACGAGGGCTATCTGGGCGCACTGGGCGCCTTCCTAGCACACGAGGAGGACGCGCACGCAGAGGGCCGCGCCCTCTCCCTCACGCCCGGCATCGCGTCGCTGTCCTCGCTCACGCCGTCGCAGCTGGTGGAGCGCTTCCCCATGGGCGCACCCTTCTCCAAGGGGGAGATTAGAGGGCCTGTGATTAGAGGATTGAAGGAGAAGGTCTCATGGGTCGAGAAGTTTGTTCAGGTGGGTAGGGTATGGAGCTGTTGGGAGGTGCATGGTGCAGGTGGGAAGTGGTGCCGTCGCAGCTGGTGGAGCGCTTCCCCATGGGCGCGCCCTTCTCTAAGGGGGAGATACGTGGGCCCATGATTAGAGGATTGAAGAGAAAGTTTCCTGCGTCGATTAGTTTGTGCATGCGGGGCTTTAATGGGGCAGGCGCGAGCGAGGGGAATAGAGTGAGGGGTGAGAGGTGTTGCTCTCCCTCACCCACATATGTGTAAGCAGAGAGTGACATCTCACAGCACCATCTGAACCTCTCTCGGTACGCCCTCATGCATACGTGCAGGTGGGGAGTGACATCACGGCGCCCACGCCCACAGGCAAGCCGCCCACCACCACGGGGCTGGGGGGCTTTGCAAGGCCCAGGGAGCAGGGCAAGGAGCTGCGGTCAGATGAGTCGGCGCTCAGTGTGGGAGTGCTGCACCTCGTCCCCTCGCTGGAGGTCTTCCCGCTGCTCGCCGATCCAGTCAGGTACTGTGAGCTCACGAGTGGGCAATGCTGGGTGGGTGATATGGTGTGGTGGGGGGTGGACGGTCAGTGAGTAGGTGCTCAGTGTGGGTGTGCTACACTTCGTGCCCTCGCTGGAGGTCTTCCCATTGCTCGTCGACCCAGCCAGCCACTGCTGCCACCTTCGCTTGAGCGTTTACATGTTCAAATAAAATAGCATGAGTTCTCTTTCCGCTTTGAATTCGTTCAACTCCGTGCCTTGTTAATTTGAAATTGTGAAAAGATTAAGGTCATTTTGAAGAATCTTGACTCATCGTTGCAGCAGCTACGGTGGCATCACTTGAATGAACCCTGAAAACTGAAATAGCTGACAGGATCCGTGACAGTGCCGCAGCGCCTCACATCCCTTGTGATAAAAGCTCCAAAGCTAGTTCCCCTCCCTTACAACATTGGTGCGCTGTCCAGATTGCGCAAGCTGGATTTAGGTTGTTGCTCTGCCTTCCTACATCTCTCTAATTTAGGTTGTCAGGGAAGGCAGCTAGCTTTGGTGTTTTGATCACAAAGGATATGAGGCGATTCAGCATTGTCACGGATTCTGTCAGTCATCCAATTTCCAAGCTTCATCACTGTGAAGTCACCGCAGCTGCTGCAACGATGAGCCAAGATTCTTCGGAAGGACCTTCATCTTTTCACAATATTAAATTGATAAGGCGCGGAGTTGAGAAACTGATGTTAAGAGGAAAAGGAGCTGTTGCTTAATCTGAACGTGTAAACGCTCAAGCGAAGGTGCCAACAGCAACAAACATCCTTCAATAACCTGGCTGGGACCTGATACATTTCACTGATACATGGTTATGAATGCACGTTTTGCTCATCTTTCCTCTTTCTCTCCCCTTGTGCCTCCTTCTCCGTTCTGCCTTTCCCTTACTCTGTCATTGCTTCCCCTTTCCTTTCCTTTCTCACTCTCCCCTTCCCATGTCTGTCTGTCTATTTCCCTCTGCTCTCCCGCCTCTCCCCTGACTGCCACCAGCTACGAGCCCAACACAGTGGACCTTGCAGACCCAGATGAGAGGGAGTGAGTGGGGCATGGGGGCTGAGGGAGGGAAGTAGGTCATGTTGATGTTGGAACTAGGCAAGAGGTGAAGGGGAGTGTGTTTGTGCTTATGGGGATGAGTGATGTTTGTTTCTGATGTCCTGGATAGCAATCTTCCTTTTTTTCTTTGTGTGTGTGAATCTATTTGGCTCTCTAGTTACAATGGTTCAATCCCCACCATCCCTCTCTCCTGTTTCGTAACTTCTCCATCGCATGGGTATTACATTTGCCATGGCATGGTGTGGCATTTCTTGCTTGCATGCATGCATGCATGGTCTCATCAGGTACTGGCTTGGAATTCTGCAGGACCACATTCCCAATCTCGTGGAGAAGGTGAGTGGGAGAAAGATGCAATCCCAATGAGAGAGCAAACCAAAGGGGAAGGACCCTACGGCATGTTCGAAACGGCTCACGCCCTCGTAGGGATCGCATCTGCAACATTCGGGAAATGATGAGTGGGAGGAGCAACTGCTCGGGGAGGATTTTGAGACCTTTAGGAATCAAACTCATGCTTCGAGGTTTGACTTTGTGAAAGGATCAACCACGTTCCATGGGTGGCCACGCTAAAGGAGAGGTTTCTGAGGTGTCTCAGAATCCGTTCTTCCTGATGCTTTCAGTCACCTTGATGGATTACTCTACTCCTGTCTCCTCCCCTCCTCACCTTCTCTCTCCGTCCCTCTCTTTTGCCCTCCCTCCCTTCAGGCAGTGGGAAGCGAGGGGGCAACAGAGGATGCCAAGAGGAGGGGAGACGCCTTTGCATTGGCCTTCAGGGCTCACCTCACCAGGTGAGTGGGCTGTGCCTGTTGTTGCTGCTGTCGCTGTTCCTGCTCCTGCTGCTGTTGCCACCACCTCCGCTGCCACCGCTGCTGCTTCTCCGCTTGCTGCTGCTTCTCCGCTTGCTGCTGCTTCTCCGCTTGCTGCTGCTTCTCCGCTTGCTGCTGCTTCTCCGCTTGCTGCTGCTTCTCCGCTTGCTGCTGCTTCTCCGCTTGCTGCTGCTTCTCCGCTTGCTGCTGCTTCTCCGCTTGCTGCTGCTTCTCCGCTTGCTGCTGCTTCTCCGCTTGCTGCTGCTTCTCCGCTTGCTGCTGCTTCTCCGCTTGCTGCTGCTTCTCCGCTTGCTGCTGCTTCTCCGCTTGCTGCTGCTTCTCCGCTTGCTGCTGCTTCTCCGCTTGCTGCTGCTTCTCCGCTTGCTGCTGCTTCTCCGCTTGCTGCTGCTTCTCCGCTTGCTGCTGCTTCTCCGCTTGCTGCTGCTTCTCCGCTTGCTGCTGCTTCTCCGCTTGCTGCTGCTTCTCCGCTTGCTGCTGCTTCTCCGCTTGCTGCTGCTTCTCCGCTTGCTGCACAAAGAGCCAGCATCGCACATGTGCCTCATCTTTTCAGTCGACTCAAAAGCCAAGTTTGTGTGCACCTCATCCTGTAAGGTGGTGGGGATTCGTGATCCACATGCTCCTCAGCCACCTCACCCCTTCTAAGGCGCCTCAAAATGAGGCGACTTTTGAGGCGCCTCAAAAGTCATGAGGTGGTGGGGATTCGTGATCCATCTACTCAGCCACCTCACCCCAACCGCCTGCCCTGCCCTCCCCCCAACCATGTCATTCAACATCTTGCTCCTTCCGCGGTCCGCGCCTGTGCTCACAGATTACGCGAGGAGCCAGCAGCGTATGGGCGGTTGGGGCTGGCAACGCTGCTGGAGATTTGGGAAGTGTGTTGCTTCAGTTCCCACCCTTGTGACTCCACTGCCCCTTCCCTCACAGATTGCGCGAGGAGCCAGCAGCGTATGGGCGGTTGGGGCTGGCAACGCTGCTGGAGATGCGCGAGGAGTGCCTGAGGGAGTTCCACTTCTTTGATGCCTACCGTGCTGTCAAGCAGCGGTGAGTGGGTGATGGAAGGGGAGGATGCATCTAATGACCACTGCATTTCTGTGCTTTGCCTTCTGAGCCGAGTCCAGATTGAGCATTATGAGGAGAGGAATGTATGGCTTGTTACATCCCTTTCGGAATCAATCACGCAGTTGGATCAGAGCTCTGCCCTTTCTTTTGTTTGTTTGTTGACCCTAATGTCCCCTTAAATTCAGAGATTTGGCCTTATATGTCTTCCCTCTTCCCTCCTGCTCTCTCTTTGCTCCCTCTCGTGTCAACCAACAGGGAGAATGACGTCTCGCTGTCAGTGCTGCCGGACCTTCTAGCCGAGCTCGACAGCATTCCTCCTGTGAGTAAGCTGAGAGCTCTCTTATTGAGGCGCCTCAGAAATCTTTCCTCCTGTTAGCTGCGCACTCTCATTGCGGCGAGTGAGCAAGTGGATGGGTGAGAATGGCATTTGATAACTGTGATTATGATTCAAGAACCTTCTTTATTCAACATATGCTTCCCTTTGAGAACCAGGACTTGTCTTCCTCCTTACCCTCCCTTTTCCTCCCCACTGCACCCTTCATCTCCTGCTCTCCCTCCCTTGCTCTTCTGCCTGCTCCTCTTCTCCCCCCTTTTCTCCCACCACCAGTGGGCGAGCTGCTGCTGGCAATGGTGGGGTGTGTGCTGGCAGTGGCGGGGGGTGAATCTGTTTTCAGAGAACTCTCAGTCAAAGAGCAAATTCAGCATACATTCCCCCCTCTCTCTCCCACCACCAGTGGGCGAGCTGCTGCTGGCAATGGTGGGGTGTGTGCTGGCAGTGGCGGGGGGTGAATCTGTTTTCAGAGAACTCTCAGTCAAAGAGCAAATTCAGCATACATTCCCCCCTCTCTCTCCCACCACCAGTGGGCGAGCTGCTGCTGGCAATGGTGGGGTTTGTGCTGGCAGCCGACCTCCTCTCCCACCTTCCTCTCCTACCCACCCCACATCCCCCCCCCAATCACCAGGAAGAGCGCCTATTAACAGTGGTGGGGGGAGTGCTAGCAGCCAACATATTCGACTGGGGGTCACGGTAGTGTGTGAAGCTGTATCGCAGCGGCACCATCCTAGACATCTACCGCATGAGCCGTGACAAGATGAAGCAACCATGAAAGCAAGTTCACCCTCGCTTGGACCTCCCCTTCTCCCCCCTATGTTACCGGATTCTCCTCTCTCACTCCTCCCATCCCGTCACCACCAGGAGGAGCGGTTACTCACAGTGGTGGGGGGAGTGCTAGCAGCCAACATATTCGACTGGGGGTCACGAGAATGCGTGAAGCTGTACCGCAGCGGCACCATTCTCAACATCTACCGCATGAGCCGCATCCCTTTCCTCACACACCTGCTTCCCCCATCATCAGGAGGAGCGATTACTCATAGTGGTGGGGGGAGTGCTAGCAGCCAATATCTTCGACTGGGGGTCACGCGAATGCGTCAAGCTCTACCGCAGCGGCACCATCCTAGAAATCTACCGCATGAGCCGTGACAAGATGAAGCGCCCGTGGCGGGTGGACGACGTTGCCACTCACTTCACCTTCTCTCCTCATTCCACCCATCCCTCCTCCCCCCATCCCTCCCTCCACCCCAACCCGTCACAGGAAGAGCGCCTACTGACAGTGGTGGGGGGAGTTCTTGCAGCAAATATATTCGACTGGGGGTCGCGCGAGTGCGTGAAGCTGTATCGCAGCGGCACAATCCTCGACATTTACCGCATGAGCCGTGACAAGATGAAGCGCCCGTGGCGGGTTGACGACTTTGACGCCTTCCACCAGCGCTGCCAGCACCGCCCCTACAGCAAGGCTCTGCTGTTTGTGGACAATGCAGGGGCCGATGTGGTGCTGGGGATGCTGCCTTTGGCCCGGGAGATGCTCAGAGCTGGGACCAATGTGAGTGTGATGGTAGTCCGCGTGAGGGTAGTGGGTGTGATTGCAGCAGTCAGTGATGTTGTCTCGGCTGGCTTCATTGCCTTCCACCAGCGCTGCCAGCACCGCCCCTACAGCAAGGCGCTGCTGTTTGTGGATAACGCTGGGGCTGACGTGGTGCTGGGGATGCTGCCTTTAGCACGGGAAATGTTGCGGGCTGGGACCAATGTGAGTAAGATAGTGCTGGTTGCAGTGGGTGTGCGTGCAGCCTACAAGGCGCTGCTGTTTGTGGACAATGCTGGCGCGGACGTGGTGCTGGGGATGCTGCCTCTGGCCCGCGAGATGCTGCGGGCTGGGTTACCGTGAGTGTGATGATGGTGAGAGCCATCGATGAGTCGCAACAGATGAACGGGACTTCCAATCTGGTGTTCGATGCTTTCTGCCCTTGTCCCCTGCTCAATCAACCCCTTTGAACTCCTCACCACCATTCCACCCACACCGCTCCCTCTCCCCTGACAGGCTGTCCTAGTGGCCTACTCGCTCCCAGCCATCAACGACGTCACAGCAGACGAGCTGCACTCCCAGCATGGCACTTAGCACTTTCAACTCCTCACCACCATGCCACACCTCTCCCTCTCCCTCTCCCTCTCCCTCTCCCTCTCCCTCTCCCTCTCCCTCTCCCTCTCCCTCTCCGCTCTGCAGGTGGTACTGGTGGCCAACTCGCTTCCAGCAATCAACGGCGTCACAGCGGATGAGCCGCATTCCCAGCATGGCGCTTAGCACTTTCAACTCCTCACCACCTTTCCACACCGCTCCCTCTCCCTCTCCCCCTCTGCAGGTGGTGCTGGTGGCCAACTCGCTCCCAGCCATCAACGACGTCACAGCAGACGAGCTTATGGTAGTGGTGGCTGAAGCTGCGCAGGTGAGCGCTCGAGCCTTGAAGCAGCGCCTGATGCGGGTGTTCTTCAGAGTTCAGCCAAAGAAAGCACAGGGAGTGGTTTTTCAGATGCGCAGGTGTTTTTCAGATGCGCAGGTGTTTTTTCCGTGTTCTCAACAGCTCCTCGTGCTTTCTTTGGAGAAACATCTTATCGGTTTGTTCTGTGGTTGCCGCTTTCCCACCAGAAGCTGCCTCGAGATTTCTCTCTCCTCCCCCCCAACCCCCTCCCCCTTCTCCTCCTGCCATGACCAGCACTGCCCTTTGCTACGAGCAGCAGCAGGGGCGGGAGGGTTCATGGCACAGACTGCTTCGTTGTCTTAGGATTTGGGGTCTAGAGTTCAGAATAATCTCTCATAAAAAAACTTCTCCCTCTTACAACCCCCTCCTTTCCCTTCCCTCCTCCCCCTGCCCTCCTCCTCCTGCCATGGTCAACACTGCCCTGTGTTGAGAACAGGGGGTCAAGGCAGAGACTGCTTCAGAATCTAAAGAATCTCTCACATCATGTCTTTCCTCTTCATCTTCCCTGCCTTCCTCCCCTTCTCCACCCCCAATCTGACCAGCACTGCCCTGTGCTGAGAGCAGCAGCAGAGGCAGGAGGGGTGATGGCCGAGGTTGCTTCATGGTCTTAGAGACTTCAAAGAATCTCCATAACTTATCTGTGCTCTTAATCCTCCCTTGCCTTCCCCCTCTCCTCCCATCGATCCGGCCAGCACTGCCCTGTGCTTCGAGCAGCAGCAGAGGCAGGAGGGGTGATGGCAGAGGTTGCTTCATGGTCAGCTCAAGAGACACAAATGGGACTGGAGGGGCAGCAAGGGGACGGGAGGCAAGCAACGGTGCAGTCAGAGCAAGCACCAGTGCAAAATCAACAACAGGAGCAGCAGAAGCAGGAGGAGCAACAGCAGCAGCAGGAGCGACAGGGGGATGGGGAGCAGCAGGAGGACGGGAAGCAGCGGCAGGTGTTTCTGTCGGTGGTGGCGAGTGGGTCGGGCAGTCCGTGCATCGACTTCAGACAAGTCACGTGGGAGCTGGCTCAGGCCTGCCAAGGGGCTGATCTTGTAAGTGTAGCAGGGACAGTGCTTGTGGGTGTGAGAGGGCCACTGCTGCTTGTGAGCGCCAGAGGGAAAGTGCAGTGAGTGCGAGAGCAGCAGCAAGAGGGCTAGGCAACGGCACGAGTTTCTCTGTCACTGGTGGTGTGGCGAGTGGGTCTGGTAACCCATTCATCAACTTCAGACAAGTCGACTCAAAGGGCCTGCCTGGGGGCTGATCTCGTCTTGTGAGTGTTGAAGGGAGGTATAGTGCTTGTGAGTGTAAGCGGGATAGTGTCGTGAGTGAGGGAGGGGCAGTGCTGTGAGTGCAAGTGTGGCAGTGCTGTGAGTGCAAGTGTGGCATTGCTGTGAGTGCAAGTGTGGCATTGCTGTGAGTGCAAGTGTGGCATTGCTGTGAGTGCAAGTGTGGCAGTGCTGTGAGTGCAAGTGTGGCAGTGCTGTGAGTGCAAGTGTGGCAGTGCTGTGAGTGCAAGTGTGGCATTGCTGTGAGTGCAAGTGTGGCATTGCTGTGAGTGCAAGTGTGGCAGTGCTGTGAGTGCAAGTGTGGCATTGCTGTGAGTGCAAGTGTGGCAGTGCTGTGAGTGCAAGTGTGGCATTGCTGTGAGTGCAAGTGTGGCATTGCTGTGAGTGCAAGTGTGGCAGTGCTGTGAGTGCAAGTGTGGCATTGCTGTGAGTGCAAGTGTGGCAGTGCTGTGAGTGCAAGTGTGGCAGTGCTGTGAGTGCAAGTGTGGCAGTGCTGTGAGTGCAAGTGTGGCAGTGCTGTGAGTGCAAGTGTGGCAGTGCTGTGAGTGCAAGTGTGGCATTGCTGTGAGTGCAAGTGTGGCAGTGCTGTGAGTGCAAGTGTGGCAGTGCTGTGAGTGCAAGTGTGGCATTGCTGTGAGTGCAAGTGTGGCAGTGCTGTGAGTGCAAGTGTGGCAGTGCTGTGAGTGCAAGTGTGGCATTGCTGTGAGTGCAAGTGTGGCATTGCTGTGAGTGCAAGTGTGGCAGTGCTGTGAGTGCAAGTGTGGCAGTGCTGTGAGTGCAAGTGTGGCAGTGCTGTGAGTGCAAGTGTGGCAGTGCTGTGAGTGCAAGTGTGGCATTGCTGTGAGTGCGAGAGGGGTGCTGTGTCAGTTGGGCCTCGCATGCTGTGCTCGCAGCTGTGCGTCCGTTCATTCGTCTCCACATCCCATCCTGCCCATTCACACCCATGCAGGTTGTGTTGGAGGGCATGGTTTGGAGTCATTCTGCACACCAACTATGACTCTCTTGGCTTTGGCCTGACTCTTTGACTCCTGCCTCCTCACATCACATCGCGTTTCCTCCCCATGCAGGTAGTGCTGGAGGGCATGGGTCGAAGTCTGCACACCAACTACGACACTCGCTTCACCTGCGACTCCCTCAAGGTAGTGGTCGCTTGCGACCCTCAACGTGCACTCTTACGCTCAGTGGTCTCAAGTGCTCTTGCATTTTCTGTGACGTTTTAGGCGCCTCCACTACCATTTTGCACTCGGTGGTGAATCGCTTTCTGTGTCGACTTACAACCTGGCGTTGGAGATGCAATGAGAGGCAGAGCAAGAGCTTGTGGTTTCTTTCTATGCCATGTGTGTTGAAATGCTGTCATGTGGAAGAATTTTGCACGCGTGCACATGCAAGGTCTGCAACAGTGCTCTCCCCAGTATCTGCAACTCCTGTCCCCTCTACCCAGCCCCCTTCCCCCCTCGCAATGCTCCGCACCCCTCCCCTCGCACTCATGTGTTCTTCCCCTTCCCTACACCTCAACCCCGCACCTTCAACCCTCTCTCCAATCAATCTCTGCCAGCTGGCGATGATCAAGAACGAACGGCTGGCAAAGAGGCTGGTGGGCGGCAGCATGTACGACTGTGTGTGTCGGTTTCAGCCGGGGACCAAGGCTGGTAGAGAGGGGGTTGAGGTGACTAATGGGACAGCTTGTTGACAAGGTGAATGCTGGGAGGCAACGTGGTATATGTGAGTCTTTTAGTGTGCGTCTGAACATGGGCAAAAAGTTTGGAGGATGATATAAATGGATGGGTTTGTAACGGACTGCAGTTATTTGTTGTGGCTTAGTGATGGTGGAGGAAAAGGGGAAGAAGGGACACACAGGGCTTTGTAGGAAAATAGCTACCTATTCTTTGATGTGATCACTGATCGCTATAAGTCGCTGTAAGTCGCTATTAGTCGCTATAAGTCAAGTGGTAGTTTTTCTCTCTTCAACAAGGTCAGTATTCTTAAAAAGGTTGTTATTAGCGAGTATGGAAAAAACTCACAGGGGAACTTTCATTCAACGTCCGAACTTCCGTGGAAAGAGGGAAATTCTCTCTACAGTCACACACGAGGGGGCAAATGTGGCAGCGCGGGAGGGAATCTCGGAAATCCCAATTCTGGTCGGAACTGACCGTATCTGACCTGACCCAACTGCCGCCGCCATCGCGCATCGGACATGCGCAACGCGCATCGCACGGTGGCAAAACATGCTCAACGCACATCCTGTAACCAAACGCTGCTGCAATCCATGCAAATCAAGTCCAGGGGAGCTAGAAGCAGATCGAACAGGAGCGACAGTTACTGATCGTTGATCTCCACAGATTTACGATGGTTGGAAATTGAGCTCCAGAATTTGGGCCACTATTCCCTTTCCATGTTCGCCTGTCCTCCGCCAGTCCGCCCTTCCGCCTGTCCCGCCACGCACGCACCCGTCGCACGACGAGCGTTTTCTTGTAGGCACTACTGCTCGGCAATGCGGGCCCTCGTCCAGTCCCCTGCGCTCGTAGCACCACCAGGAATAGAAGCAACTGCTCCTATTTCTCGGCGTCGCGTTCTTGCGTGTGCCAGTGGCACTCGGCTCTCGACCCTAGTTTCAGGCCCAGCGTTAGGGTTACGGCTAGCGTTCCTACCTTCCAACAGAGCAACTCGCAGTGTTCCTCTGCCGATTCGCGCAGATTCTACTCCCGGGAATCGCGCCGCGACTCCCGCCGGCTTTTCCGCCTTTCGTTCTTCCGTGCAGCCTACGCTTGCTCCGGAAAGCTCGCAGACCACTTCTTCCGCCGCCTTTGCCTCCGTTTCTTCCGGCGCAAATTTTGCCGCATCCATCGTGCCAGCTGTAGCAGCTCCTAAAAGCTTCCAAGACATGGCGGTAGCGGCCGGCGCGCCGGTTTTCACGCCGTGGAGCTCGCTATTCGGGGGAGTACTCATCGGCGTGGCGGCGACGCTGCACCTGCTGCTGTCGGGGCGCATCATGGGCGCCTCGGGAATAATCAACGGTATTTCTCGTTATAATCACACTGCGTATCGTCACGATACATGGTAACGGTCATCCGCCGATGGACTAATCTCGCACCTTCCCCCAACCCCCACCCCCCTTTCTTTCCCCCAATCCACCAGGCGCTATTTCGGGCGCTTCTGATTGGCCCTTCCGCGTCGCGTTTCTCGCGTCCATGTTGGCCGTCGGTTGCGCGGCGCACCTCGCGCTGCCCTCCGCGTTCGGCGCGCCCACCTTCCCCTCGCCCGCGCAAGACCCCGTCGCGTCCGTTCTGCTCCCCGCAGTCGCCGGCGTGCTCGCGGGATTCGGCTCTCAGGTGGGTGCGCTGTGCGCTTTGCGCTGTGCTGTGCTCCCCGGCGACGCGAATAAATTTCCATTTTCGTGTGGGCGAGTGGGTGGGTAGGTAGGTGGGTGGGTGGGTGGGTGGGTGGGTGGGTAGGGGAGTGCGTGAGCAGGGAGTTGGGTGGGCGGGTGGATGTGTGGGTGCTTCCCACGCCATGGTGGTGTGTGTGGCGGCGTCTTGCTTGTTGCTGTTGTTCGTTGGGAACATTCAAATTAATCGCAACATTGCTGGTCGCCTTCCGCTCCCCTTCCCCTACTCCCTATCCGATCCCCTCCCCTCCCGTCCCCTCCGCTCCCCTCCCCTCCCATCCCCTCCCCTCCCCTTCCCTCCCATCCGCTCCCATCCCCTCCCCTCCTATCCCACCCCCTTCCCTCCCATCCCCTCCCCTCCTCTCCCCTCCCCTCCCCTCCTATCCCCTCCCCTCCCCTCCCCTCCTCTCCCATCCCCTCCCCACCCCTCCCTCCCCTTCCCTTGACTCCCCCCCCCCTCCCTCCCCTCCCCTCCCCTCCTATCCCCTCCCCTCCCCTCCCCTCCCCTCCCCTCCCCTCCCCCTCTCCCATCCCCTCCCCACCCCTCCCTCCCCTCCCCTTCCCTCCCCTCCCCTCCCCTCCCATCCCCTCCCCTCCCCTCCCCTCCTCTCCCATCCCCTCCCATCCCCTCCCCACCCCTCCCTCCCTTCCCCTTCCCTCCCCTTCCCTCCCCTCCCCTCCCCTCCCCTCCCCTCCCCTCCCCTCCCCTCCCCTGCTCTCTCTTTCCCCCCTGCTGCCCCATTTTCCTCCCTTCTGCAGCTCGGCAGCGGGTGCACGTCCGGCCACGGGGTGTGTGGCTTGCCGCGTCTCTCCATCCGCAGCCTCGTGGCAGTCTGCACCTTCATGACCACAGGCGCCATCGCATCGACTCTCTCCAATACGCTGCTGCCACCTGTCGCCTCGGCCGCCCCCGTTGCCCCGCCTGCTAACGCCTGGATGGCTGCCCTTTCAGGTGCTGCCTATTGAGTAGACGTGCTCAGGTGCTGCCCTCTCAGGTGCTGCCCTTTCAGGTGCTGCCTTTTGAGTAGACCTAGAAGTCTCTCTTTCAGGTGCTCTCAGGTGCTGCTCTCTCAGGTGTTGCTCTCTCAGGTGCTGCTCTCTCAGGTGCTGCTCTTTCAGGTGCTGCTCTTTCAGGTGCTCTCAGGTGCTGCGCTCTCAGGTGCTGCGCTCTCAGGTGCTGCGCTCTCAGGTGCTGCGCTCTCAGGTGCTGCTCTCTCAGGTGCTGCTCTCTCAGGTGCTGCTCTCTCAGGTGCTGCTCTTTCAGGTGCTCTCAGGTGCTGCGCTCTCAGGTGCTGCGCTCTCAGGTGCTGCTCACCCTCACCCCCAGGTGCCTTTGCTTGCACCAACGGATATTTACAGCATAGCACCTGCTAGTTTTGCAGAAACGTCCCTTCTAAATATCAACAACACACTCGAGTACACACTTCATGCCCTTCCCCTATCTATCTTCTTCTGCTGCCCGTCTCGAGATGCGCTGGTCCCAGCAGGAATCATTATATTTTCTCCCTTCCTCCCATCTCTCGCATCCCTCTCTTGCTCCCCTTCTTCCCTCTCCCCGCCCCTCTCCCCGCCCCTCTCTCCCAGTGAGTGCGGCCTCGCTGCTGCTGCTGCTCATCAGAAGCATCGTGTCGCCGCCCGCCACACCTTCTGTCGCAAAGGACCAGGTCAGGAGCTTTGACCAGGGGGGAAGTAGGTGGGAGGCTGGTCCGTTGACATTCCCTTATGCCTGTGAGGCTGTAGCTTGTGTGGTGATTTTTCAGTCGACTCAAAAGCAGCACACCCCACCTTCATTTGCGAAGGGCGAGTTTGGGTGCTCGTGCCTGCAAAGGGCGAGTGAAGGCTGTAGCTTGCGCCCTCTCCTGTAGCTTGCGCCCTCTCCTGTAGCTTGCGCCCTCTCCTGTAGCTTGCGCCCTCTCCTGTAGCTTGCGCCCCTCTCCTGTAGCTTGATGGCTGTTTCACCCCGCCACCTTGCATTGAGTTTCCTCAAAATTAGTCATTCCCGCCACATCCCACCTTTCCCGTGCTTCAATCTCAGTTAAATTTTCCTTGTTTATTAGACGTGTCAGAAAATAAAAATCGTTACGAACGCTGCGAAATTCGCTCCTCTTTTTCATCATCATCATCTTTCCGTCCTCCTTCTTTCCTGGTGCCCTGCTTTTTGTTCTTGCCCGCCAGCCAGCCATCCAAAACAGCAGCGCCAGGGGCAGTACCTACAGTGCTGTTGCCTTTTCAAGTAAACTCACAGCTTACAGTCGCCCCCTTTGTCCCTTTTTTTCCCTGTGTCCACGCCTGCCCGCCAGCCACCCAAGGCAGCAGCGCCAGGGGCGGTGCCTCCTGTGCTGCTGCTCTCCTCTATGCTCTCGGGAGCAGTCTTTGCTGTTGGCCTCACCTTCAGTGGCATGTGAGCAAAAACCTTGCATGGTTAGGCACCCTCCCCCTTTCGCTCTGGACAAGTTTTGCACTGTTGACATGATTCTAGTCAGGAATAGAGATAGTTATTGGCGTTTTTTTCATGCCCCTCCGCATCAGGCTCAACCCAGCCAAGGTGAAAGCCTTTCTGGACTTCATCCATGGGTGAGACCCCACCATGGAGTTTATAGCACCTTCCGTTTGGCACCTCATGTATCTTATCCTTATTTCATATCGTTCCCCCCCCCCCCTCCCTCACCCCCTGTCAGTCCCAACCCAGCCAAGGTGAAGGCCTTTCTGGAACCCCATCCAAGGGTCGGACCCCAGCCTAGCGTTCTTGTCACCACCTGCTTGGCACCTCATGTATCTCATCCTTACCATTCATGCCCGTCTCCCCTCCCCCCCCCCTGTCAGGCTCAACCCGGCCAAGGTGAAGGCCTTTCTGGATCCCATTCATGGGTGGGACCCCAGTCTTGCGTTTGTGATGGGGGGAGCCGTACTCTTCAATTTAGTCGCATTCCACCTCGTTCTCAAACAGCGGCATCCGCTGTTGGTCCCAGCCTTTTCGCTCCCCACTCGGAAAGACATCACCAAGGAGCTGGTCATTGGGTCGGCTATCTTTGGACTGGGTACGTGAGGGGTGTTTCTGGCTCGGATATCATTTATCCAAGCCATGTCTTGTTTCTTTGATGCTGCTTGTTGCTCATGGGTGTTTTCATGTGTGATTTGGACTCTTGTCTGCACTGTCTTTTGACTTTTTGTTTCCAGGGTGGGGGCTTGCTGGATTTTGCCCAGCACCTGCCCTTGTTAGCGCTGTCACTGGCAAGGTATGCAACCTGGAAAGGAGCAAGCCAAATTCTTATGAGGTTGTCGTGCATAGGGTGCACTAATAACTATGCCTGACTTGTTTTGCAGGTGCCTATTATGGTGTGGTTGGCTTCTCTGGTTGTTGGGATGAAGGTCTACAATGTTATGTACAGCTAACCTAATGGAACATTTCTAGCCTGACCAGGTTATGATTAGATGTTTTTATTTTCTTATTTGCTTGTAGTTTGGTCAAATGGTTGAAACACAGAACTGGTGGGTATAGGGCGGTTCTTCCAGGTCACAAAGCGTCACATGAGCTTTTCCTGGGTTTGATTGCCTCAACAACTTATCGTCTCGGAAATCGCGGCAACCCATTTTCATTTGCAATGCAATTTGTGCTGTCCCCCTCCCCCCTACGCACTCTCCTTTCTCCCCCGAAAGCATCTGTCAGAGGTCTGCGCCAAGGGCGGGCCAATCTTGGGTTCGTTTTATGCAGTGGAAAACGATGCACTCCACTCTAGAGCGGTTTGCATATTCAACCGATCTCAACCGCCGCCCACCAGCCTGAACATTGATTCGTGAGCTGAAAACGAAATTGGCCTGACCCGAGTTTCGAGAGCATATTCCCCCGCTTCAGGCAGTTATGAGTTTTTTCCAGCGAGCAGTTCCCAAGGTGCAGAGCAAAATAGTCAGCTTGCACACTGACTGCTCTGCACCAATCCCAAGGTGCGCAGCGAGCTCTGAACATTTTTCAGACACCACAGGCACTTCGGGGAATCTGAAAAACACTTCCCTAGAAGCCGCACACAGACACCACAGGCACTTGGGTCAACGCAACACAGGGAAAGGAGGAAAATGGCTGCTCCTTTGTCGTCTCTTCTTCCCTAACAGCTCATTGCGTGGCTGGCGTGAGCTGCTGCCAGCTTCAGTTGGAACTTGGAGGTCCTTTAAATGCCATTTTGCGAAAACAACTGCCATGGTGTGGCATGGACTAGCTCTACCAATCACAGAAGCATCACGAGGACCATAGCCATCGTTCAAGTTTCGCCAAGAGCGTAAAAGGCACGTGTCGGATGCTCATGTGAATCTCGCGCATCTTAAGAATCCTCTTCACTTGTCTCGGACGCTGTCGCACGCCGTCGCATGCTGACGCACGCAGTTGAATATATCGCAGCTACTTCAGTGATCCGTTTCTTCAAGCAAGCTAGACGCTCGTAGCCGTTGGATCGCCACCGCATGGCGCTAGTAGACCGTTGGACGGCTGATGATACCGCTGACTTGATCTCGTGTTCAACCGAGGACGAGTACGAGCATTCCACTACCGAATTATTCAATGACGAGACCTATTACGATGAACCGTTTCCAGGCGAGGCATTCGAAGTGGTAACGACCAGTGAAGCTGTGTGCATTCACGACGGTTCGCGAATGGCGGCGAGTTCGCGAGTAGAAGGCGAATGGGACGAGAGCAAAGGCTGGGGAAATGGTGTTCGGCAGGAAAGAGGGCCGGGGAGCGAGGGGGAAGTTAATTTGTACGAAGGAGGGCCGGGAAGGCGGGAGGGATTTGATCCATATGAAAGAGGGTCGGGAACACGAGGGGGATATGAACCGTACGAAGGGGAGTCGGGAAGACGAGGGGGATTCGACTCTTACGAAGGAGGGTTAGCAAGGGGGGAATCTTATCATTACGAAGCAGATGCGCCTGGTTTGCAGCGTCGAGGATTGTTCAGACGGGGCAGCGAGCCGTGCGAGTGGTATTTCATGAATGAGGAGGGCGACGCGGAGGAGGACAAGGGACGAGAGCAGGGAGGAGAAGAGGGGGGAGAATGGGAAGTGAGGGAGGAAGCTGGGGGAGTAGAGGGAGAAGAGGGGGAAGTGTGGGAAGAGGAGGGGGAAGGCGACATGTACAGTGTTCGCGCGCTTTCTGTTGCGCAGGCTTTTCCAATGTCCAGTTCACTCCAGGGAGAATCAATGCACATGCGTTGGAATCAGAGCCTCTTTCCGAAGTCGTTATCTGGGCCTAATTTCCAAATCGCTTCCGCTCCGCCCGCTCCTTCCGCCCGCCGACTCGTCCACCACTCGTCCGCCCCCCGCCCTGCAGCCTCCGCGCATCCTGCGACGCCCCCAGGAGCGGAAAGCCGCGCGCTTCCCCCTACGGCGGGCCTGCAGGGAACGCTGCTCCGCAAGTCCTCCGCTCCCCCTTTGCGCGCTTCTGCCCCTGCGACCCGCATTTTTGCGGAAACATACGCCCCTGGGTGGGGTTCGTTCAGCGAACGCGCGGAGAATACCAGCGCTACTAGCGCGGATACTGCTGTACGTACTACAGCGGATATCGCTGCGGGTACTATCACGGATGCTGCTGCAAGAATCGCGTGTAATGATGCCACTTTAACGCGCAGACGCACAGTGGGAGCAATGCCGGTTTTCGGAAGCCGATTGGTGGCTGACACGTGGGGGAGCAGTGGCGAGGAAGAGGAGGAGAAGGGGGAGGAACAGGAGCAGCGGGGAAGTGGGAATGCGAAGGAAAAGGTGAATGAAGGGGGGCAACGGCAGACGCTAGGGGGGGACGTCGGGGGTAACGATGGTAGGCGGAAGGGTAGCAGTCGGCGGAAAGGGGAAAGATGGAAAAGTGGTCCCTTGCTAAGCTCGGCTGTTGCTGCTGCTGTGACTGCTCCAGCAGCAGCAGCAGTGTTTCCGCCTTCCTCAAGTTTCTCTGACCGCAACTCGCACCTCTTGCAGCAGCAGCAGCAGCAGCAGCAGCAGCAGGCGTGGAGGCGAAAGCTGAGTGTTGAAACGATAGCAGGCCTCATGGTTAGCACTGACACTAGGGCAGGAGTTGCGAAAGACAAATCAGCCGCAGCAGCAGCAGCAGGAGTCGAATTAGCTACAGAAGAAGGAGCAGCGCCATTGACCCCACCAACGCCTGCGCCGGGCGGCAGAGGGCTGTGTTGGCCCGCTGCTAGGAAAGGCAGCATCAGCAGCAGTTGCGGCACCAGCAGCAGCAGTGGTGCCGGCCACAGCAGCAGCGGCACCAGCAGCAGTGGTGCCGGCCGCAGCAGCAGTTGCAGCGGCACCAGCAGCAGCAGTATTGGCCGCAGCAGTAGCTGCAAAAGCGCAGAGGAAGGCAAGGAAGCTGTCGCAGGCTCAGAAGTTTTATTCGGCCGAGGGGAGACGTGGGGAGCAAAGGAAGCGAGGGGTACGAGTGACGTGGGTGGTGCTATTGATGAGGAGAAAGTGTCTTTGCGGGGTGAAGTGGTTGGTTTGAGCAGAAGGGAAGGGAAGAGAGGGGGTGCTAGTAGGCGGACTGCAAGTGATGTGCCCAAGGCGGTGACGTGGGCTGATGTGCGGTATAAAGCGGTGGAGAGATTTTTACCTGCTGTGCCGAAATCAGCCTCACTTTCTGAGCATGCCTCGGTTCCTGGTTCAGGCTCGTATTCAGGTTCAACTTCAGGTTCGAGTTCAGGTTCAGGTTCGGGTTCAGGTTCGGTTGAGCAGCGTCGCACGCAGCATCGGCGCAGGTGGAGTGTGGCAGAAGCAGTAGTAGAGAACGTGACTGGCGGGGCATGTGATGTGGTGGAGGGAGCACATGATGTGTTGAACGAGAAGGGTGCGGAGTCCGCGCATGAGCGTGCTGATGCCACCAGTCAGACACGCTCTCAGCTTGATGGGTGTGATGGGCGCCAGCAGCAGCATGGGCAGGGGCAGCAGTGGAAGCAGGCGGAACATAGGCAAGCGGAGCAGGAGGGCACGCAGCAGGGGCATGGGAAGGCACGGAACGGGCCCCTGCAGCCTCCACGTGGGGAGAGGCGGTCCGTGCACTGGCGTAGCGCCAGTGCTGTTGAACGCTCATGCTCCCATTCACACTCGCACTCCCGCTCGCACGCACCTTCACTATCCCACTCACACTCCCACTCACCCTCGCGCTCACACTCACGCTCTTCCTCCCTCAACCCTTGGTGTGAAGGGTTGGGGGAAAAGGACTCACGGATTGAAGAGAGGTATGCGAGGGCAGGTGAGGAATCTGAAACCAAAGTGGAGGAAGGGAAGGGGAAGAAAGGGATAGGGAGGCATGGGCGCAGCAGGAGCCTGGTGACTCTCCGAGCCAAGCACCACAGCGGCACCAGTGCTGCTTCTGGTGATGACCTGGGTGAAGCAGACCTCTTCCCTGCTGCTCTGTCAGGCTCGTTCCTCTCGGCTGCTTCTGCTGCTGCCTCTGCTGCTGCCTCGGCTGCGGTGTTTGCTGCAAGCTCAGCAGGCCGAGTGGTGCTGCAGAAGATGCAAGGGCCAGGGCCGTCCAGCCACGGCTCTGCTACTGCTACAGGGGTTGCTCGTAGCAGCAGTGGGGCGGCGATGAGGAGGCGGAAAGGCAGGAGCGTGAGCAGCATTGGGTTAGACTCCCAGCCTCACACACTCGTTCCCAGCTGTAGCAGCAACAAAGGGAGGAATGTCCCCAGGCACAGACGTACTCTGAGTGAGTTCCACCACCAAGGATCTGCTCCTGCTGCTAGCCTTGATGATTGTGATGGTGGTGCTGGTGGTGCTGGTGGTGCTGGCAACAGCAGTCCCAGCGGCGATTCGCCTGGGAGGGTCCGTCATACTCGGCAAACGAGCACTGGCACCGTGCCTTGGTTGCTCTCACCAGCTGCACCTTCCCCCGCAACCCCAGCCCCCTCTCCTCGCCTGCTCGCCCTGCCACTGTCAGCCCCAACGGCCGTGCCAGCAGGGGGCATGCAAGTGGTCGGAGAAGCAGTTTGAAGAGTCCTCTTGGCTCCCCTTCCCTCCACACACTCTCTCCTACCCTCTCTCCTTCTCACTCTCCCTCCCGCCGCTTCCCCACACTCTCCTCCTCGCCTTTCTCGCGGTCGCGACCCCCCTCCTCTCCCTTCCCTCCCTCCTCGGCCATCTCCCCTACATTCTCCTCTACTCTCTCTCCTACCCTCTCTCCATCTCACTCCCCCAATCATTCCCGCAACAGCAGCCCCATTCCTCGCCTCCGAACATTGAACCTTCCAAGCCTGTTACTCCGAGCCTGCAGCTCAGGCTCGTCACCCAACCGAGGCTCATCGCCCAGACGAGGCTGCATGTCAGGCCCGGCACCGAGCTGCTTTGGATACATGGGGAGTCCCCAAGGGTATGGGGGCAGGTCACCTGGTGGTCGCAGTGAGAGCAGCAGCGAAAGTGATGAAAGTGATGGTGGCAGTGATAATGCAGATGCGATAAGTGGTAGTGAGGGTGGCAGCAGTGTTGGTAGTGACAGTGGGGGTGATGGTGAGAGCGAAAGCAGTGGCAGCGAGGGTGGCAGCTACATTGGGGTTGATGATGGCCCAAGCAGTCCTGCTTGTAGCATGGTGCTGCATTCCGATGATGATGAGGATGGGGAGGAGGGAGTGGAAGACGGTGGGGAGGAAGGTGGAGAGGAGTGTGGGCAGGAAGGTGGGAAGGAGGGTGGGGAGGGGGATGAGAAGGAAGTTAGGGAGGAAGGTGGGAAGGAGGGAGCGGAGGAGGAGGCTGAAGAAACGAGAGGAAAAAGGGATGGAGAGGAAAGCAGAAGTGAGGGAAGAGAGGGGGTACAGGGAGAGGAGGGAGGAGAGCAGGGAGGAGGAGGGGAGGGTGCCGTAACTCCGCTCATCCCTGCTCCCACCACCTCCGTTGGTTCCTCAATCTCTCAACCTCCGACCCAGTCCATCAACCCAACACCTCAATTGCACCTGCTTTCACGCCCAGCCACTGCTGTGACTCGCCAGCCCAGTGCTGCTCGCAGCTTCCTGCAAGGGCTCAGTGCAAGCAGGCCACAGCAGGGAGTGGGCATGAGTGGTGAAGCAAATCACGGCCCTTCCCCGCCACGCCCAGCCACTGCTGTGACTCGCCAGCCCAGTGCTGCTCGCAGCTTTCTCCAGGAGCTGAGTGCAAGTGCAAGCCGGCCACAGGGAGTGGGCATGACTGCTGAGACGACTGAAGACCCTTCCTCGCCCTCTCGCCCAGCCACTGCTGTGACTCGCCAGCCCAGTGCTGCTCGCAGCTTTCTGCAAGAGCTCAGTGCAAGCCGGCCACAGGGAGTGGGCATGGGGGCCAGCAGAGGGGGGGGGCGAGGGAACGGTGCAAATGTTGTGAATGTGACTGCAGATGCAAGTGGTGTGGAGAGAGGCGGAGGTGGTGCTGTGAGCAGTGAACCTCCTGAGGGCGGTCAGTACAGAGGCGGCAGGCGGCGTTCCTTGGGACCGCAGCCGTCTGCCAGTATCCTTGGTCCCAACGCAGAGGCAGATTTCAGGCCTGCTGTCGCACACTGGCAGCAGCAGCAGCAGCAGCAGCAGCAGCACTCCCGAGGACACCTGGTCCGCGCTCACAGCACTGCAGCGCCTCATGCAAGCAGGGCAGCAGCAGCAAGTGCGTATGGCATGCATGGGGAGCAGCAGCAGCACCCGCAGGTGCAGCTAGTCCGCGCTCACAGCACTGCAGCGCCTCACGCCAACAGGGCAGCAGAAGCAGCAAGTGCCGCTGATGTGTACAGGCATGAGCACCACTCTCCATCTCACCTGGTCCGCGCTCACAGCACTGCTGCGCCTCATGCGAGCAGGGCAGCAGCAGCAAGTTCCTCTGACGTGTACAGGCAGCATCATCTCTCTTCATCGCACCTGGTCCGCGCTCACAGCACCGCTGCACCTCGTGCCAGCAGCGCAGCAGTAGCAGCAAGGGCTGCTGGGATGCCTTTAGAGCATGTTCCTCGAGTGCCGTTCCTTCCTCACATGCGGCCAGCACCGCTTCGTAGCTCCAGTATGAGCTTGATGGGTGAGTCTATAGAGGGGATGGATGGGGATAAGCAACTGGACGGAGAGAGGCTGTTTATACAGAGGATGAGGAGCGGGGGAATGGTAGGAGGAGTCAGGGCAGAGGGCATGGGTGGTGGAATGGAAGGGGCAGGACGAGGAGGAAGGGGAGGGAGAGGAGAAAGAGGAGGAAGGGGAGGTAGGGGATGGAGGGAAGGGAGAGGCGGTATTGGAGATGGGAGGATGATGCGGCCAGTGACTGCTGGCGGGAGCATGAATGTGTTGAGGCATGGCATGAATGGTAGTGGGGACATACCGGTAGGTGGTGGTGCAAGCATGGGTGGTGGTGCAGGCATGGGAAGCAGAGAAGGTGCTCGAAGAATGGTGCCCATGCACCAGGTACACATGAACAGGATGGGTATGAGGCGGTGTGGCAGCTTGAATATGTCTGCTGATGTGGACGCACCTTATTGGGCTAGTCATGCTGATGACTTGGACGGGTTTCAAGAAGAATTGGATGCTGACGTGGATGGAACGCGGGATGGAGGTACGGAAGATGGATGGGGAGGTGGTGCTGAGTCAGCGGCGTGGAACCACGGGCCGGCTTATGTGAGCATGCCACATCGGCCGTACTCTTCCGGGGGGGCTCCCATGGGTGTGGCTAGAAGGGGGCACATGGGAGCTGCACCAATGAGCATTGGGGGATCTGATGTGCCCATGGGTGGGTATGCTATGATGATGAATGGGAGGGACATGGGCATGGATATGGCGAAGGTGGGCCTTCATATACACATGAGCATGAGCATAGCCCCACAAGTATCACAATATGCAAGTGGGATGGCCGGCTGTTGTGATGACGAGGATGAGGATGAGTGTGGAAGCGATTGGGCTCGTTCTGGTGAGCCTGCGTCACGGAGGTACACCCGTGGCCTTGAACGGAGCAGCAGTTCAGTAGCATTTCTTCCATCAGATTAGTTTCCTATCTGAGTGCTCTGGTACCAGCTCAGGATCAAAGCCATGTAAGTTTTATTCGTCATGTTAACATGTAAATTATATTCCGTAAAAGGGACCTTATGAACATCTTATATGATACGGTAGTAGAAATTACATGTTCCTGCACACCCATTGGTTCCTCAGCTTACATCCTCGCTGCAAACCCCTGAGTGTTGCGGAACGACCGCGAGTAATATGTACCGTACTTAAACAAGCCGAACCTCTCGCCGATAGATTGAATGGTCGAGATCTCTTCGCGCCAAAGGCGAATATCTTTGAGCGCGAACGGCGAAGATACCTAGGCCGGCTGTCCCCGTTTCTCCCGTCCTACCCTTCTTTCCCTTCACCTTCCTTGGACTTACCTCCCTAGGCATTGCCGCTGGCAACTTGCCAGCACCACTGCAGCAGCCATAACGCACTGGCAGGCAGCATTACCATTTGAGCGGAACTCCTCGCTCCGCCTGACCGCAGCCGTCCAGGATTACTAGACCTGGCGGCTAAGCTGTTTGCCGTCGCGACAGCGTATATTTATCTTATCTTACTCTTTATTCTGTCCTTTCCTTCACAATCGGACCGTCCTCACGGTTGCTCGTATTTGTGTCTTGATTCTGAACAAGTCGATGACCTGAGAGTCCTTGCCATCCCGTAACCTTAACTCAACTAATATCTAGTTAGTGAAGGAATAAGACCGTTCCATTGTTTCGCTCGGGCTTTCAGGTTCAGATATCGCGGTGACGTTCAAGTTGAGACAAAAAGTTTCAACATTCAGTAGCTTTGGACAACTCGTGTGTAACGCCGAAAGTGCTGCGTGCACTCAGACTGCCATTTTGCGCGACTGCTACCGCTCACTTCGCGCGACTGCTACCGCTCACTTCGCGCGAGTGAGCGACTGCTGGTCTATACCCAAGCTAGTGTTCGTGTAAACGAGTAACACTTCCCGGGCGCGTTCGTTAACCACTCCTCCGTCGTCAGTGGCCGGCACTCGCGCGCAACTTATTCCACCTTCGTCAAGCCGCGATGGCGTCCGCGATGCCCAAGTCGCTTTCCGCGCGACGCGTGTGGTTCGACCAGTTCGTCTCGCCGGGTCGCGTGCTCACCGCGTCCGTGCTCGGACGACCCACAGGTGACTCCTCCGCGCCTGGTTGCGTGCTCACCGTGTGCTCACCGCGTGCTCACCGCGTGCTCACCGCGTCTGTGCTCGGACGACCAGCAGGTGACTCAATTGAATTCATTAATTCGTCTCGCCTGTTGGAATAGTTGTACGGCTGTGGTCGTTGGTGGAATCGAGCGGTGCGATTTCTTACGGAATCTTTTCGCATTGTTCTCATACCGTAGTACGCTTCATACAAGTCTCCTTTCTTCCTCCCGCGTTCTTCGCGCCTCATTCTTCCCATCCGCTCGTTCTTCTCTCCTCACTCGCGTTAGTACGTTTCTCATTTCCCCACTTCCAACTCGCTTCAGAAAAGCTCGAATCGCTGTATAAAATTGGCGGGAAGCTAGGCCAGGGTCAGTTCGGCGTGACGTATCTATGCACTGAGCTGACGACGGGCAAGGAGTACGCGTGCAAGACGATCGCCAAGAAGAAACTGATCACCGCGGAAGACGTGGCAGACGTGAAACGCGAGGTGGCCATCATGCATCATCTGGCGGGTCGTCCGCTCATTCTTCTCGCCCTCCTCACTCATTGCGTCTCTCATTTCCTCCATTCCCAATCCACCTCAGAAAAACTCGAATCGCTGTATAAAATCGGGGGAAAACTGGGCCAAGGCCAGTTCGGCGTGACGTATCTATGCACGGAGCTCGCTACGGGCAAGGAGTACGCGTGCAAGACGATCGCCAAGAAGAAACTGATCACCGCGGAGGACGTGGCAGATGTGAAACGCGAGGTGGCCATCATGCACCACCTGGCGGGCCACAAGAACATTGTGTGCATCAAGGGCGCGTACGAAGACGCGTACGCCGTTCATATCGTCATGGAGTTGTGCTCCGGTGGGGAGCTGTTCGACCGGATCATCAAGAGGGGGTACTTCAGGTGCGTACGACGAGGAACCGTACGCGGGTCAAGTTGTAACGCAGCGTTTTCCAGGGTATAAATGGCGAAACCATTGTGTGGTTTCCTTCTCTTTCTCCCCCCACCCCCTGGCTTCCAACCCCCGTCCCCCCTGCCCACACATTTCTTTTCGTGTCACCAATTCCACTCTCGACAGTGAGCGGCAGGCAGCCACATCGATTCGCACGATAGCGCGGATAGTGGAGACGTGTCACTCGCTGGGCGTGGTGCACACCACCCCCCCCGTCCCACCACCCCTCCCACACCACCCCCTTCCTTTCCCCCCCCCTGCAGTGAGCGCCAAGCAGCCACGTCGATCCGCACGATAGCGCGGATAGTGGAGACGTGCCACTCGCTGGGCGTGGTGCACCGCGACTTAAAGCCCGAGAACTTCCTCCTCGCAGACAGGACGGAGAACGCCGACCTCAAGGCCACCGACTTTGGCCTCTCCACCTTCTTCAAACCAGGTGGGTGGGTGTGGGGCTGTCTTCCCTTGGGGTCATGGGCTGTCATAGGGACTCCTAAAGATTTGCCTGCGGCATCTCAACCTACTCTCCAGCAAGTTTCTTTCGACTTGGCAGCCCCTACCCTACCCCGTTGGGGTAACCCCTCTCCCACTCTTTCCCCCAATGCTCACTCCCCACCCATGCTTCCAACCATCCCTACCCATGACTCCATGCTCGGCCGCTCCAACCATCCGTCCATCCCTCCCACATCAGGCGAATTCCTATTGGACGTGCTGGGCACTGGGCAGCCCATACTACGTGGCACCGGAGGTGTTGAGGCGGCGCTACAGCAAGGCAGGCACCCCGCCTTCTCTCCCCTCTCGTCCACTCATCACATATCCCTCCCTCCTCCCTCATACACTCAGGAGAATTCCTATCAGACGTGGTGGGCGGCCCTTACTACGTGGCACCGGAGGTGTTGAGGCGGCGCTACAGCAAGGCACCTCGCCTTCTCTCCCCTCTTGCCCACTCACCCTGCACACCGACCTCCCTCCCTCCTACCCTCAGCCGAACCCCTATCAGACGTGGTGGGCAGCCCCTACTACGTGGCCCTGTTTGTGCTTCCTCGTCATCCTCTCTCCCATCCATACCCTCATCGCATGTCCCGTCCCCTCCAAGCAGGCGAGTTCCTATCAGACGTGGTAGGCAGCCCCTACTACGTGGCACCGGAGGTGTTGCGGCGGCGCTACAGCAAGGAGGCGGACATCTGGAGCATGGGCGTCATCCTTTACATCCTGCTGTCGGGAGTGCCGCCTTTCTGGGCTGGTAAGAGAGGTGAACGAAGGTGAGAGAGGTGAATGCAAGGGTGCTGGCAGGCGGGCTAATCACAGCGCTACAGCAAGGAAGGAGGCGGACATCTGGAGCATGGGAGTCATCCTTTACATCCTGCTGTCCAGAGTGCCGCCCTTCTGGGCAGGTGAGTGGGTCGAAGGTAAATGCACCACGGTTGAGCATCACCCCTGCAGCATCTTCTTTCACTCCCACACAGCAAGGAGGCGGACATCTGGAGCATGGGCGTGATCCTCTACATCCTGCTGTCTGGGGTGCCGCCCTTCTGGGCTGGTGGGTGAGGGGGAATGCAAGGAGGTAGGCTCTTAGGCACACACACCGCTACAGCAAGGAGGCGGACATCTGGAGCATGGGGGTCATCCTCTACATCCTGCTGTCTGGAGTGCCGCCCTTCTGGGCTGGTGAGTTAAAGGAAGGATGTGCCGCCCTCCTCCCCTCCTCCCCTCCTCCCCTCCTCCTCCTCCTCCCCTCCTCCCCTCCTCCCCTCCTCCTCCTCCTCCCCTCCTCCCCTCCTCCTCCTCTCCCCCGTTCCTTCCCTCTTCGCCTCCTCCCCCCCTGCGTCACTCCCCGCCTCCTCCCCCCCTGCGTCCGTCCCTACCCTCCATCCTTCCTGTCCCCCTGTTACTGCCTCTGTGCTTTCCCCCCTGCCACCCCCAACCAGACACAGAGCAGAGCATGGCCGAGGCGGTGCTGAGGGGGCAGATTAATTTCCCTACCTCTCAGCTCTCTTGCTCACTTGCCATCTCACTCACCCGTTTTCTCGCCATCTCACTCGCTCGCCCTTTCTACTCGCCCTCCTGTTTCCTCTCGCCTCCTCCCCCCTCCCAACCAGACACGGAGCAGGGCATATTCGAGGCGGTGCTAAGAGGCAACATCAACTTCTAGACCTCTTGCCCGTCCCTCTCTCCCTTCCACTCTCCCTCTCCCAACCAGACACGGAGCAGGGCATATTCGAGGCGGTGCTGAGGGGGCAGATTAATTTCCCTACCTCTCAGCTCTCTTGCTCACTTGCCATCTCACTCACCCGTTTTCTCGCCATCTCACTCGCTCGCCCTTTCTACTCGCCCTCCTGTTTCCTCTCGCCTCCTCCCCCCTCCCAACCAGACACGGAGCAGGGCATATTCGAGGCGGTGCTAAGAGGCAACATCAACTTCTAGACCTCTTGCCCGTCCCTCTCTCCCTTCCACTCTCCCTCTCCCAACCAGACACGGAGCAGGGCATATTCGAGGCGGTGCTAAGAGGCAACATCAACTTCTAGACCTCTTGCCCGTCCCTCTCTCCCTTCCACTCTCCCTCTCCCAACCAGACACGGAGCAGGGCATATTCGAGGCGGTGCTGAGGGGGCAGATTAATTTCCCTACCTCTCAGCTCTCTTGCTCACTTGCCATCTCACTCACCCGTTTTCTCGCCATCTCACTCGCTCGCCCTTTCTACTCGCCCTCCTGTTTCCTCTCGCCTCCTCCCCCCTCCCAACCAGACACGGAGCAGGGCATATTCGAGGCGGTGCTAAGAGGCAACATCAACTTCTAGACCTCTTGCCCGTCCCTCTCTCCCTTCCACTCTCCCTCTCCCAACCAGACACGGAGCAGGGCATATTCGAGGCGGTGCTGAGGGGGCAGATTAATTTCCCTACCTCTCAGCTCTCTTGCTCACTTGCCATCTCACTCACCCGTTTTCTCGCCATCTCACTCGCTCGCCCTTTCTACTCGCCCTCCTGTTTCCTCTCGCCTCCTCCCCCCTCCCAACCAGACACGGAGCAGGGCATATTCGAGGCGGTGCTAAGAGGCAACATCAACTTCTAGACCTCTTGCCCGTCCCTCTCTCCCTTCCACTCTCCCTCTCCCAACCAGACACGGAGCAGGGCATATTCGAGGCGGTGCTAAGAGGCAACATCAACTTCTAGACCTCTTGCCCGTCCCTCTCTCCCTTCCACTCTCCCTCTCCCAACCAGACACGGAGCAGGGCATATTCGAGGCGGTGCTAAGAGGCAACATCAACTTCGCGGTGCAGCCCTGGCCGTCCATCAGTGAGGACGCCAAGGACCTCATCCGCCGCATGTGCTGCCTCGACCCCACCCGCCGCCTCACTGCCTACCAAGTGCTCTGTGAGTGGTTTGTTCCTGCTGCTCCTATTGCTGTTCCTGCTCCCTCCGCATGTGCTGCCTTGACCCCACCCGCCGCCTTACCGCCTACCAAGTCCTTTGTAAGTGGCTTGGCTTGCACCTGGTGATGCTGCTGGTGTTGCTGCCGCTCCTGTAGCACCAGCTGCTGCTTCTGCCTCTGCAGGTGTTGCTGCCGCCGCTGCTGCAGGTAGCTTTCAGGTGGGAAGAGCCGTGCACACTGCTGACCCTCAGTGCAGCCGTGGCCCTCCATCCATCTCCACACGCTAAGCACCTCATCCAAAGCATGTGCTGCCTTGACCCCGCCCGCCGTCTTACAGCCTACCAAGTGCTCTGTGAGTCACCTGCTGCTGCTGCGCTGCCGCTGCCGCCACCGTTGTTCCTGCTGTTGAACTCCCCCCATATCCATCCTCCACCCTTTCCTCTTGCCTCAGGGCATCTGTGGGTCGCTCACAGCAGAGTGGCTCCGGATCTGCCTCTGGATGCGGGGGTCCTGTCTCGCCTCTTAAATTCCTCTCTTTCCACAAACTCCCCCCTTCCCCCTCCCCCCTCCTCTCTCCCCCTCCCCCTTTTTTCCAGCTCACTCTCCCCAACCACCCCCGTTTCCCCGCGCTCCCCTTCAGGCCATCTGTGGGTGGCTCAGGATGGAGTGGCGCCCGGCCGGCCTCTGGGCGCAGGCGTCTTCACTCGCCTCTCAAAACCTATCTTTCACCTATCTCTCAAAACCATGACCTTCTTTCCTCCCCTCACCCCTCCTCCCCCTCAGGCCACCCGTGGGTGGCTCAAGACGGAGTGGCACCGGACCGGCCTCTGGACGCAGGCGTGTTGTCTCGCCTCAAGCAATTCTCGGCAATGAACAAGCTCAAGAAAATGGCTCTGCGGGTGAGTGACACTGGCTCTGGCCTTTGCAGTGGCTAGAGTGGGTGAGCCTTGCCTTGCCTCTACACTGCAGTGGGTGTGAATGAGTAGCTAGCTCCTTCCCTCCCAGGGGGGCTTATTAGTCGATTCAACAGCCACCGTGGGAGTTTCTTTCTCGCCCCGAGCTATTCCCCAGTGTGGAGCTGAACAGCGATGATCAAAGAACGAACCCTGGGCTGATTAACCCAGTGGTTCGTTCGCCGCAGAGCTGATTATCGCGTCTCCCTCTCATCTTGAACAGCTATCATTATCCGAGCAAACTGACTTTTAAGTCGACTCAAATGTCTCCCTCTCATCTTGAACAGTTATCATTATCCGAGCAAACTCGGCTTCCATCCTTCCTCTCTTCTCCCCGCCCCTCATGTGATCGCAGGGTCGCTGTCAGAGGAGGGGATTAGATCTCGGGGCTGAAGTAGACAGGAGCTACACCATCACTGTCAAGCACCCCGACACGTCCTCCCCCCTCTCACATGCACACGCCCTGCCCTGCCCTGGCCTGGCCTGCCCAGGTGATCGCAGAGTCGCTATCAGAGGAAGAAATATCAGGGCTGAAGCAGACGTTTGAGATGATGGACACAGACAGGAGCGGCACTATCACCCATCAAGCACCCCCTCTCATCCTTCCCATGCACATGTCACTACCTTCCTCAGGTGATTGCAGAGTCCTTGTCTGAAGAAGAAATATCAGGGCTGAAGCAGACGTTTGAGATGATGGACACAGACAGGAGCGGCACTATCACCCATCAAGCACCCCCTCTCATCCTTCCCATGCACATGTCACTACCTTCCTCAGGTGATTTCAGAGTCCTTGTCTGAAGAAGAAATATCAGGGCTGAAGCAGACGTTTGAGATGATGGACACAGACAGGAGCGGCACTATCACCCATCAAGCACCCCCTCTCATCCTTCCCATGCACATGTCACTACCTTCCTCAGGTGATTGCAGAGTCCTTGTCTGAAGAAGAAATATCAGGGCTGAAGCAGACGTTTGAGATGATGGACACAGACAGGAGCGGCACTATCACCCATCAAGCACCCCCTCTCATCCTTCCCATGCACATGTCACTACCTTCCTCAGGTGATTGCAGGGTCCTTGTCTGAAGAAGAAATATCAGGGCTGAAGCAGACGTTTGAGATGATGGACACAGACAGGAGCGGCACTATCACCCATCAAGCACCCCCTCTCATCCTTCCCATGCACATGTCACTACCTTCCTCAGGTGATTTCAGAGTCCTTGTCTGAAGAAGAAATATCAGGGCTGAAGCAGACGTTTGAGATGATGGACACAGACAGGAGCGGCACTATCACCCATCAAGCACCCCCTCTCATCCTTCCCATGCACATGTCACTACCTTCCTCAGGTGATTTCAGAGTCCTTGTCTGAAGAAGAAATATCAGGGCTGAAGCAGACGTTTGAGATGATGGACACAGACAGGAGCGGCACTATCACCCATCAAGCACCCCCTCTCATCCTTCCCATGCACATGTCACTACCTTCCTCAGGTGATTGCAGAGTCCTTGTCTGAAGAAGAAATATCAGGGCTGAAGCAGACGTTTGAGATGATGGACACAGACAGGAGCGGCACTATCACCCATCAAGCACCCCCTCTCATCCTTCCCATGCACATGTCACTACCTTCCTCAGGTGATTGCAGAGTCCTTGTCTGAAGAAGAAATATCAGGGCTGAAGCAGACGTTTGAGATGATGGACACAGACAGGAGCGGCACTATCACCCATCAAGCACCCCCTCTCATCCTTCCCATGCACATGTCACTACCTTCCTCAGGTGATTGCAGAGTCCTTGTCTGAAGAAGAAATATCAGGGCTGAAGCAGACGTTTGAGATGATGGACACAGACAGGAGCGGCACTATCACCCATCAAGCACCCCCTCTCATCCTTCCCATGCACATGTCACTACCTTCCTCAGGTGATTGCAGAGTCCTTGTCTGAAGAAGAAATATCAGTGCTGAAGCAGACGTTTGAGATGATGGACACAGACAGGAGCGGCACTATCACCCATCAAGCACCCCCTCTCATCCTTCCCATGCACATGTCACTACCTTCCTCAGGTGATTGCAGAGTCCTTGTCTGAAGAAGAAATATCAGGGCTGAAGCAGACGTTTGAGATGATGGACACAGACAGGAGCGGCACTATCACCCATCAAGCACCCCCTCTCATCCTTCCCATGCACATGTCACTACCTTCCTCAGGTGATTGCAGAGTCCTTGTCTGAAGAAGAAATATCAGGGCTGAAGCAGACGTTTGAGATGATGGACACAGACAGGAGCGGCACTATCACCCATCAAGCACCCCCTCTCATCCTTCCCATGCACATGTCACTACCTTCCTCAGGTGATTGCAGAGTCCTTGTCTGAAGAAGAAATATCAGGGCTGAAGCAGACGTTTGAGATGATGGACACAGACAGGAGCGGCACTATCACCCATCAAGCACCCCCTCTCATCCTTCCCATGCACATGTCACTACCTTCCTCAGGTGATTGCAGAGTCCTTGTCTGAAGAAGAAATATCAGGGCTGAAGCAGACGTTTGAGATGATGGACACAGACAGGAGCGGCACTATCACCCATCAAGCACCCCCTCTCATCCTTCCCATGCACATGTCACTACCTTCCTCAGGTGATTGCAGAGTCCTTGTCTGAAGAAGAAATATCAGGGCTGAAGCAGACGTTTGAGATGATGGACACAGACAGGAGCGGCACTATCACTGTCCGCACTCATCTCCCCGCCTCACCCACCCCCTTTCCATACACATGCCTTGCCCTCCAACAGGTGATCGCAGAGTCGCTATCAGAGGAAGAAATATCAGGGCTGAAGCAGACGTTTGAGATGATGGACACAGACAGAAGCGGCACCATCACGTTTGAGGAGCTCAAGGCGGGTCTGCATCGCATCGGTGCCAACATGAAGGACAGCGAGGTGCAGGAGCTGATGGACGCGGTGAGTCAGAGGGGGTAGAGCAGAGGGGAGAGCTGGGGAACTGGGGTGTGGGCATTGAGCAGTGCAACCGAGTGGGTCTGCATCGCATCGGAGCCAACATGAAGGACAGCGAAGTGCAAGAGCTCATGGACGTGGTGAGTGATACGAGGCAGGGGTAAGGTGGGAGACGGGACAGAGCAGAGAACTGGGGTGTGGAGAAGAGGAGCTCAAGGCGGGTCTGCAGCGCATCGGAGCCAACATGAAGGACAGCGAAGTGCAAGAGCTCATGGACGCGGTGAGTGTTGCCTGTAGTTAGGGAAGGATGAGTGGGAGTGGGGGGGATCGGAAGAAGGGCAGGGGCACCGTAGGCAAGTGGGCCTGCAGCGCATCGGGGCCAACATGAAGGACTGCGAGGTGCAAGAGCTGATGGACGTGGTGAGTGTTGCCTGTAGTTGGGGAAGGATGGGGGGGGGGGGTTGGTTCGGAAGGAGGGCAGGGCTGCACCCAAACAAACCTACATTGCATCGGAGTGAACATGAAGGACTGCGAGGTGCAGGAGCTCATGGACGCGGTGAGTGAGAGGGGCACAGCGGAGGGCACAGCTGGGGAACTGGGATGCGGGCCTCCGAGTGGGTCTGCATCGCATGGGAGCCAACATGAAGGACAGCGAGGTGCAAGAGCTCATGGACGCGGTGAATGTCGTCGTTAGGGGCAGGGGGAATGGTGAAGAGGGTGCAAGCATATGGAGGGCAACATGAAGACATGAAGGACAGCGAGGTGCAGCGCAGGAGCTCATGGGCGCGGTGAGTGAGAGGGGCACAGCAGAGGGGAGAGCTGGGGAGCTGGGGTGTGGGCATTGAGCAGTGCAACCGAGTGGGTGTGCAGCGCATTGGGGCCAACATGGACAGTGACGAGCAGGAGCTCATGGACGCGGTGAGTGCTGTCTGTAGTTGTGGAAGGAGGAAAAGCTGTGGGGAGAAGGGGGGGGAAGGGTGGATTGAACAAGTTAGCGTGTGACAAGAGAGAAGAAGAGACTCAATACAATCCCTTCACATATCTCTCCCGTTCTCGCCTCTCTACCAGGCTGACTTTGACGGCAACGGGATGATTGACTACGGAGAGTTTTTAGCAGCCACGATGCATTTGAACAAGCTGGAGTGTGAGAAGAGATAAGAGGAGACTCCACTCCGTAACGTCTCGCATTTCTCCCCTTTTCTCCTCTCAAACAGGCTGACTTTGACGGCAACGGCATGATAGACTATGGAGAGTTCTTAGCAGCCACGATGCATTTGAACAAGCTAGTGTGTGACAAGAGAGAAGAAGAGACTCAATACAATCCCTTCACATATTTCTCCCTTCCGCTCCCCATTAACAGGCTGACTTCGACGGCAACGGCATGATAGACTATGGAGAGTTCTTAGCAGCCACGATGCATTTGAACAAGATTGAGCGAGAGGAGACGCTGTTTGCGGCGTTTTCGCATTTCGACAAGGACAGCTCGGGATTCATTACAGTGGACGAGCTGCAGCATGCTTGTAGGGAGTACAGCATCGATGAGGACTGCATTGTTGAAACGATGCGCGACGTCGACACTAACAATGTGAGTTGTTATAGTGAAAACTCCAACACTATTAGCACCAACAGCATAAGAGACGCTACTGTAATGTGGATTGTACTTTTGTGAATTCTCAAAAGTAAAATCTTTTGAGAATTCTCAAAAGTAGAATGCACTCGCAAATCCGCAGTTCAAGCCGTAACCTTATAAGCACTTGGAAGCACCTATTTTGCACCAAAGCCGTAAGCACCAGGACTGTAAGCACAAACACTGTCCGCACCAACAGAGTAAGCTTCTGATTGAGTTGGTCCTGATATGCAAATCCTCATTACTGCTTGGCTTTCTGCTTTGGCGGTGTTTCTTGGAGCAGGATGGGCAGATTGACTACAACGAATTTGTGACTATGATGAGGGCTGGGAACGGTGGCATTGGGCGGAAGAGCCTGGGCGGCAGCTGGACCAGTGGGAAGCTTCTGAGAGACTTGGTGGAAGCTGCACGGCAGCAGCAACAACAGCAGCAGCAGCAACAACCAGAACCCATGGTGTCTTAGACTGTTGACCCATGGGTCATGGGTCATGGGTTAATGATTCATGAGTCGGGAGGGATGAGGCTGCTGGAGTTATGTATTATGTCGGGGTGAGGTGAAAGCACCCTGTTGTAGCATATCGACACGAGCTTATGCGTCAAACTAGGTCTCTGAGGTTAAGAGCAACATTACCATGCTTGAGTGTGCTTGTCCTTAACCTTGTCTTACATTTTTTTTTTCCCCTGTAAGCATTGTGGCACTGGGACACTAATGTGGGACAGTAGTGGTGATGTTTCAAGTTAGGAAACTAAAACTCCATAACTAATGCATCTTATGCTACATCAAAAGTTAGTGTATGCAGTCCGAGATAAAAACTTGTTTGAACCAATCACTAACCTGGTCAACAGATTTCACGTGATGCTCTAATCGAAACCGCGTATTCGTCAGTAATGCACCCGCGTTCACACGATTTTGCTGCAGTTGTCAACCATGGTTGCTTGTGCGGCTGGGAAACCACTTTCGCCCGACTCCCGACCTGACTGGGGATGCATTGTGATTGCCATTCGTTTATATACTGTACTGGGGGAACAGGTCGCCCGCGTTTAGGGTTTCACGCGCTTGTTCTGTGCTGAGTTGAACTTCAGGGTTGACGAAAGGTGAGGACTAGGCGGCGGGGTCAGGGCGGTACTGTGCATTGTTCGCGACATGCGGCGAAGGAAAGATTTGGGATTTCGACAGTGCGCGAATGCGCGCAGAGATCCTGACAGTGCAGGGATCGACGAAACGGCGAAGATAATCGCTAGACATGCACATTGCGTGAACGAGTGACAATGTCCTATAACAGTGTGCATGCGGAAAGGCGAAACGGCACACGAGAGATTTACGCAGGGTGTGACCTATCCCAAAGGACACGCAGCAATCCACACTGGCGAAAAACTCGGCGAACCTTCTGCACCCTCGGATCTTCGCAGTCCACCATTTTCAGCCCTTCGCATCACGATCCAGCCAAGTTGCCACCGCTGCCCGTGCAAGCGCCGAGCGCGTACGCGTGTTACCAAATCCACACGCACTGTCGGCTGTTGGAATCTACGCATTTACAACTCTTCCATGCGGTTCTCTTCTATGCTTGGCACTTATTTTTGGAACGTGTAATACTGTTGTCGCCAACCATCGATAGTCTGGGTCCCGTCAAAGATCCGCAAGCCGCGAATATCGCATGTTCTTGCTCCGCTCTCTGTTGCTTGCTCTGCTGATTGGCAAGCAAGCTGCTAGAGCCGCACCTTCCGCTCTCTGCACTACGTATATTATGCCCGTGTGAAGCTTCATTTTCATTCTGAAGTCTAGCAGCCCGCATTACTCACCTGCGCAAGTACCTACAAATTAGTAGTTGTTGGGTGATACCAGAAGCGCCCGCTATGGCGCAATTCCCCTGCAGTTGACACATGGCTCCGCAATGTATGACGCCGCAGCAGCCGCACGAAGCTCCTTCTCTCCCCCTCCCACCTGCCAAAAGGCTGCGACTGTTCGGATTGTAGCGTCGCCCGCTGTCGCTCAACCTCCCTGCGACGGCTCGTCGTGCGACATTGCTAGGTCGTCGCTCGCGTCGCCCACGTCGCAGACGCTTTCGGGAACAAGCAGTTCAAGCTCAAGTGAACGGTTACCATCCCCGCTTTTCCCGCTTTCTGATCCGTCGATGCCCGATCCTACCACCGCTGTGACAGCGGCTCGTAACCGCGCTTCAGATCCTTGCCACGTGTCGTCATCCACGCCGTCGCTTACGGATCTTGGCGACGACATCCTGCGACAGATTCTCCAGGCGATGCGGCCGACGGCGTGGGACCTCAGCCGCCTTGCTTGCGTCAGCGTGACATGGAAGAACCTCTGCTACAGCCGGCAATTCTGGACGAAGCTTCGCATCGGCTCTGGCGCCATGCACCCCGGTATGGCAAAGCTCGCGCCGCGTTGCAGGAGCCTCACGGACCTCTTTATTGACGACCCGCGGTGCGAGCTCCACGTACTTAATCCCATCATCGTCGCTTGCGCCTCGTCGCTGCGCCGCGTCGTCCTAGACTGCGACTCGATCGCCGCGGCGGCGGTAGCCGCGGCTCCGGGACCCGCCGCCGCCGCCGCAGCCGCCGCCGGGAACGGCGCCCCTCGCGGGAGCGCGGAATCGTCGATTTGCAATCTCCTATGGCTCATCTCACTCCACTGCCGCAACGTCTCGAAAATAGAGCTTCTCTCCTCGCGCGCTTCCGCAGCCGCCGCGGCCGCAAACTCCGCGAGAATTGGCGCACGAAACGGCGCGGGCAACGGCGCAACCAACGGCGCAGCGAACGGCGCGAGCACGAGCTCCGCGTTCGCGATTCTGCTGGAGTCGCGACTAATGTGGTTTCTCACGACCGCGTTCCGCGGGATCCGGCACTTCTTGTGCGTAGTCCCCAACAGCATGACGACGCAGACGACGTGTCTGATGGCGATCGCATGGCGTCGCCTGTCGTCGCTGCGGCTCCACTGCGGCGCGCTCCAGTTCGCCGACCTCCTGGCGCTGCGGAAATGCGGCGCACTCAAGAGCCTCGAGCTTGTGGGCGGCAAACTGGAGGATAAGTCCAATACAGCTGCTGCCTCACTAGGGTTCGGTTCTCAGGGGCAGCCAGAGGAAGGGGAGAGATTGGCTAGTCTGGAGGTGCTTGTATTGAACGGGTGTGACTATGACCCTGTGACTGTGGCCAATCTTGCCTGGCACGCGCCGAAGCTGCAGCGGATCATAGTGAAGGGTGGGAGTCGAGACATCAGTGCGGCACAGAGCAGGTTGGTCACGGGGAGCAGCGTATCATTTAGCCGAAGCAACAGCAGTGGAAGCAGCAGCAGCCATGGATCTTCTACCTTGGGGGGGAGTAGAGCAGTTGGCGCTGTTCCTTCAGGTACAGACACAGCCAGTCTCCAAGTCACTCCCATCCTCTCTCCCTCGCATGCTCGTGCCATGGTTGCAGCGGCTGCAGCAGCAGCGATTTCGGCGAGGACAGGCAACCAGACGGCAGGAGATTCTGAATGGCTGGCTGGGATTGTTGATGCATTGACTTGCCAAAATATGACCTGTACCGTGTCGGTGCCTGGTTGTATTGGGACAAACCTTATGTCCTCTGATCCATTTGCTCGACTTAGGTCGAGCCTTGGCGATGTGGGAAGGGGCCATGTGAGAGTAGTTTCACCCAATGTACCAGCCTCCATCCAGTAGTACGGTAATAGTTTGTGGCTTGGCTGCCTTGGTTGTGTAGTGGAAATATGTGGAGGTATGTAACTCTATGTAGAGCTAATTTGGTGCAAGTTTCATAAAAATACACGTACCGTATTCCAGGATCCCCAAGCGAATCTAGGAAGCTGGCTCGAGACGGGGCGTTGGTGCTACGCAGAAACAAACAGGACGAACGACACATCAGATTTGGGCTCAATTTTTTATTATACCGGTAGTTGCATACAGAATCATTTCCAGCCAGAATGAGTTATTAGAGCGTATTTGTAATGAATATTGTCAGAATTATATTATTGTAACTGCATGTAGATCTAGCAGTAGTGTAGTTATTGCATTCTGTTTGGTGGTTTACCCCTTTTCCTCCTATTTGTACTCCAAACTCTATAGTGAAACCCCTCTTTCCTTGCCTAAACTCTCTCGACACTTTCTCCTCTTCACCCTAGCATGGCTCCTCACCTCTAGCTACTATCTTGACATGGTGTCAGAGCTGGTTCTTTCCTAGAACCTTCATTTTTTTTAAAGTAACATGGGCCCGCCCTTCCTGCAGCGCGAAATGCGCTACTTTTTACTTCGTCTCGTCGCGCCCTTCGTCCGTCGCGTCCGTCGTTCCGCGGCCTCCCCCCCGTTCCGTCACCCCGCGGCCCCCGATTCGTCGCCTCGCGGCCCCCCGTTCACCGTCGATGCGGTCGCCAACGCCGGCAGGCGCCAGCACCAGCACAAGCGCCAGCGACGAGCGCCAGCGCATCCGCAAGCGGCTAACACCAGCGCCAGTCGCAAGCGCCAGCGCCACCTGCCGCCGCCAGCGCCGGCCGCGGGTGATGCCGCCCTTCCCACCCGCCCTCCCTTACTCTCCTCCCGTCGTGGAGGGGGGGGGGGGGGGGATGTGGGGGGGGCGGATGTAAGGAGCCAGCACGTCCTCCCTCCCTTCCCTCTTACTCTCTCCCTCCCTGCAGCACTTGTTGCTGTAGGAGAGGGGGGGGGGGGGGGAATGAGAGATGGTAAGGGAGGGTAAGAGAGAGTGAAGGAACAAGCAGCCACGCATCTGCAGCTGCCGCCCACTGCTACCGTGGCACCTACAGCTGCAGCCCCTGACGCCTCGTTCGTCTTCTTTGCTGTTGAGCTGCAAACTAGATGCGCCACAGCACTTTGTCTCCTTTCTCTCTTTCTTGCCTCAGGGCTTGCTGCAGCTGTCTCTGCCACCACTGCACTGGTTGTCATTGCTCTTGCGTGCTACTGCTTTGAGTACACTTGCAGGTTGTGATTTGCACTTTGCTATTCCTGCATGCAGTTAAGGGGGGATGTCAGAATTATATTATTGTAACTGCATGTAGATCTAGCAGTAGTGTAGTTATTGCATTCTGTTTGGTGGTTTACCCCTTTTCCTCCTATTTGTACTCCAAACTCTATAGTGAAACCCCTCTTTCCTTGCCTAAACTCTCTCGACACTTTCTCCTCTTCACCCTAGCATGGCTCCTCACCTCTAGCTACTATCTTGACAAATATACATTCATTATTGTACAGGCTGCTCCTAGCGAGGATAGCCCGAGCACTTCGCGACAGTGTGGCTCGGCCTACACTTTCGCACCGAACCAATTCCGAGTCGCCCCGCACCAATCGCGACACATCCAACCCTCGCACGTTTAGAGGTTCTCACCTAGCTAGTTTTCGCCCTATATATTCTCGCTTTCTTCATTGGTTGGACATTCTGTAATCACAGTCTCTTTATAGAAGTCTTCCGCACACTATGTTTTAGACAAAACCCATAACAGTATTCCTACGGCCTCATATCAATCCACCTTGTATCAAGATTGTACCTTTTGCCAGGTAAAACTAGCGAGAGGTTTTGGGTTTAGGGGATTTCCCAGTGTGAGCTTCATACTGAGGATAGGAATACGTAGAATCCAAGTTAGTGCTAAATGCCGTGCCAATCAATTCATATATAGAGGAGATTGTATCTTGAAGTAGGCATGAACTATGGTGGCACGCGACTGATATTTCACGTTGACAGCTTATAACGCGCTTTTGGTCCCCTCCACGCACCAACCGTCACCGTAATTTTCGCCAGCATTTGGTTTGGATTGGAACGAAGAAAATTTACCCTCTGTTGCTCGTTGATGAGATGTTGATCATGTGACAGTGCACAGCGTAGCACAGCTGGCGTGTGTGATTGAAGGGGGTTGTTGGGCTGGCTTGGGCACTGGGGAAAGCTCGTTCTGCCAACACATGCTGCAGCTTTTGATTCGCGCTGGGACTCGAGATTCGAATGCAGCAAGTGGATCCAAAAGTCCTCAGAAAAGTGCATACTGCGGATCTAACAATGCCTTTTAGATCCTCGTTGGAACGTTGCTTCATGTGACGTGGCCGTGCTAACGACGTTGCGAAAAGGGAATTTACAGTCAGCCCCTTGAACGAACTTCTTTCAACGAGTTTCGTTTCCTTCGGGTAACTTATGCCAGTCTGGATATTTTACAGCGCACGTACACTGTTCATATCCAGAAACCCTTCCTTTGAGCATCCAACACATTTCCGCGTCTCGACTCGATTGTATTTTCTGCTTTCCTTTCCACTGACATCATGTTCTGCCCTGCTACAGTGCCCGCACCATGTGCTCTGCTGCTGCCCTGCCCCAAAGCCCATCGGACCCACTGACACTCCCCCTGAAAAGCGCGTCAAATGATTTTCAACTTGCCCCACACAACCACCTGCCCTCGTCCTTCCCCTTTCTCAGGTTCCCCCCACCTCCTCTCCTCCCCTCCCCTCCCCTCCCCTGCGCCCCCTTCACGTATTGATTCCATCCGCCGATCTCCAGCTGGTGCGGCTGCCCTATCCAATTCCCCGCGAATGTGGGTTGCGGTGCCGTTGCCTCACCGTTCTGTGCTAGCAACTCGGTGAACACCTATTTGAAGCCGCAGTTAGATCTTGAGTTGTCAGCTCCAAGCTTTCATTTATCTAGAACTTCATTCGTTCACGCCTAGATATTCTAGAATTTCTTCCGTCCACGCCTTGCACTAGAAACATAAATTTCTGCTCTCGGTCTTCATCAGCGAGCATTTGACAGAGCGCAGCCATGGATTACTCTTCTTTTTCGTACACCACACCAAATGATTCAACCACGCCCGAAACATCCTCAAAAGCCTCCGAGCTTCCTCGAGACATACTGCTCTCGATTTTCTCCCGTCTGGACATGCCCTCCAGGGCCCGCAGTCTCTGTGTCAACAAGGAGTGGTATCGAACGGGGAGCGACTCTTCCCTATGGCAGTCCATAGACATCCCTCGGAAGATGGCTCACCGGGTTTGGGACTACGAGCTCGGCGTCATGCTGCGACGCGCGGGTGCAGGAAACGTCAATTCTCTTCAGCTCTCTGGTTCCGGAATTACGGGAAAGTCGCTCATCAACATCATTCGTGTAAGTTTACCGAATTCCACTGTGTCCCTCTTTTCGTTACCACATAACGGGACAGTTTGTGGCAATCCAATTGGCAATGAAAACAGTGAGAAATGTGAAATTATGGAACATTTGATCCATAAAATCTTACGCTGTACTTCGCGCTTCGTCCTGCTCTCCTTCTCATTTTGCAGACCAAGGCACTTGCTCCCAGCGTCACGGAGATTTCGGTCGACCATTGCTGCAACCTGAAAGGCTGCGACATCTTGGCCTTCCTTCAGGCTATCTCGCCATCGCAACCCTCCGCCTCCACCTCCTCGTCACCAGCACCAGCAGTGGCTTACTACAATCGTTATGGTTACCAACAATCTGCAGTACCAGCTTCAGCTCCAGCTTCAGCACCAGCTTCATCTGTCATCCAGAGCTTCCGAATGGACGGCTGTAAATGCGCCACGGTTGCAGAGGTGGACGCAATTCGGTCGCACGTGCGAAGACTTGATGTGTCGCAGTGCGGGTGCGGTCGCATAGCCTGCTTGAAGCACTGCGAGCAGCCGCGGTGCCCGGGGCTCTGTTCGCGCTGCACGGACGTGTTTGATGATTCCGGCCTCAAGTGCGGAGCCTGCACGCGTCCTCGAAACCCCCGCCAGGTAAATTATACCTAACCCTGGTTGTTTATTTCTTCGGCGTTGAAACCCTAATATTTATCAGACGTGTAGTTGCGTTTCGAAAGGCTTTTCGCACGAATTCTCGACTAACTCCGTCTTCACTCTGGTTTTCTTTCAGGCGATGCGAGTCCAGATTCAGCGGATTCACGCGATCTTGGGTGGTGGCGAGGCGGCGCGAACCAGGTGGACTGACGTGCGGTCTGGCGTTGTCACTGTCAGGATGTAAAAGGACAGACTAATTAACTACAGTAGAACGTATCGCGTAGGTAGGAGGCAAAGGCTGTCTGAAACGGTGTTTCTTGTATATTTTATCGTCCAATACCGAGGTAGGTCGAGATACTTGGTGTTTTATGCATATTGAAACATTTTGATTATTCAATAAATGCAATTGAGGGGATTTGAAGTGTGAAATATCACTTCCCGTCTTCACAGGGAGAACACAAAATTGGTGTGGCAATTGTTTCTGCGCAGCCCTAGGGTTTGTCGAACCTGGTGGCCATGGCGTTGCTGCTGCCAGAGTGCGTCGTGTGCGTGTCGGAATTCGACGACGACTCCGCCGTGCCGCGCGTCCTCACGTCCTGCGGCCACTCGCTCTGCGCCACGTGTATAGCCGCGATCGCCGCGCCATGGACCATCCCCTCGTCCGCCTCTGCTAGTTCTTCCGCTTCCCCCGCAAACGCCTTAATTCCCCCTTCGGGCCCGGCCTCCGCTCTCCCCTCCGCTTCTGCTCCCGCCGCTTCCGCGCCTTCAGCAGCCGCGGCTAGTGCGACGTCGTTGATCGTGCGGTGCCCAGAATGCTCCGTGCGTTCGCGCTCCGCGAACGGACGAGTGGACGGATTTCCGAAGAATATCGAGCTGTTAAGATTGCTTCACGCGATCCGCAGCTCGAGTCGCACTGAAACAACCGCCGTTTCTGACGCAAGCATTTCGAAGCAAGCGGAAAACGGTAGTGACGTTAGCAGCGTTAGGCAGAACAGCAGGCTTCGAAGCATCAGCAGGAGGGGTAGTTTCCAGCACGCGAAATTAGGGTCAGTGACGGGACGCGAAAGCAGTCACACAGCAAGTGGCGATGCGTCTACACCGCAACAGGCACGAGATTGTGATAATAGCGCGGGTAGCAGGTACAGGAGACATCAGTCAGAGCGAGAGTGGCTTTTGGGAAGGTCTGCAGGCACCGACCTTAGAGCAGCTAATGAAGCGCGTAATAACGATGGAGGGTGTGACAATAAGGAAGCGCGTGACCATGACAGAGGGGATGACAACGAACGAAGGGTTGAGGACGAAGACGGTGCAGCAGATAATACAGGGGGTGATAGTAACGAAGCAGAGGGGCAACAAAAAAGAAATAAAGAGAGTGACAGTAGTGAAAGGGCTGAGGCACACAGGGTTGTGATCACGGGTGGGCCAGAGAGGTCTGGATTGGAAGATCAAGGGTCTGGTTTCGTTGACGAACAGTCAGGATTGAATGTTGCGAGACCAGAGTTGGATGGTGCGAGTGAGATGGTGCTGCTACACGAAGTGGCGGCGCATCGTGACAATGTAACGGCGGTTGCGGTTAGCAGCGACTCATCTCTGCTGTTCACTGCTTCATTTGACAAGACCGTGCGAATGTGGTCCCTCCCAGTATGTGTTGTCATTCCATGCGCATAGTGGTTTGTGTTTCTATTGCATTCCATTCCATTCCATTCCGTGAACGAATGTGGTCCCTCCCTGTATGTGTTGTCATTCCATGCACATTCCAGTTTGTGTTTCCGTTGCATTCCATTCCATGTGCCTGTCTTTCCCGGTGAGTGCTGTCACTCCATAAACATTTCTGTGCATGCCATGTGTGCATGTCGTCCCTCGCATTACAATCATACATGCTGTTATCTGCCATCATGTGTTGTCATTCATTCCATGCGATCCCAGCATGCCCACGTTATGCATTCCGTTTGCTCTCTCACACTACGAGCATGTATGGTGGTCCCTCAGTTTGTGTTGTCCCGCATGTATGCGTGCTCATTCCCCCTTCCTCGGTCTGTGCACCTTCCAGGATGCTTCTCTTCTCCACACGCTCTCAGGCCCCGCCCATCGCATCACAGCTCTCACTCTCGCCAATACCGCGGCGCCACGTGGCGCCACCACAGCCACTAATTACGGCCACTTGCTCGTGTGCGGGGACTATGGAGGGTCCTTCCACGCATGGGACATCTCGCACTCTCTTCCTCCTCCTCCTCCTTCTCTTCCTTCGGCTCCCACCCACCCTTTCCTCCCTCCTACTGTCTCTTCGTCCCTTCCTTCCGCCCCTCCTCTCCCCTCCTGCCCCTCATTTCTAGTTCCCTCAGCACCTCCTCTCTCCACCAACCCTCTGACCCATCCCACATCCAACCCCCATCTGGTTACCACATCGGTCACGGCACCTGTCCCTGACCCACGTCTGGTTACCACATTGGTTACACTTCCCGTACCCATGCCGCGTCTGGTTACCACATGGAGCGAGGAGAAGGACTGGCGATACTCTGGTGTACTGTCATTGGCCGCGCCACAACCCGGTGATTATAATGAGGATGATGGTGGAGCAGCAGCTGGTGACTGTAACGAGTATGTGGTGTACAGTGGTAGTGGCGACCGCACTGTCAAGGCCTGGGCTCCCAATGCGGATGTGAGTCCGTTAAATTTCCCTATCTTCTTAATCCAATTTCCATCATTCTCCCATCCTTTGCCCTCTCTTTCCTTTGCCCTCTGCTCCTTTGCCTCTCCCTTTGGCAGTACTTTGTTCATTCCCTCCCATCCTTCCCTTCCGTTTCTCCACCCCCTTCCCCTTTTTTCATTCCTTCTCCCATCATTGCCTCCTTGTATCTGCAAGCAAACTCGTTGTCACTTCCTCCCACTTCCCCTTCCCCCACTGCTCCTCGCCGCACTTTCCCTTTCCTCACCTCCCACCAACAAACCCGCCTCTTCCCTCCCCCTCCCCTCTTTCCCCCGTCCCCGACCCCCCCTTCCCCCCATCTCCCCCCATCTCCCCCCATCTCTCCCCCTTTCCCCCCATTTCCCCCCATTTTCCCCCCATCTTCCCCCCAGGGCTCCTACTCCCTACTAGCGCGCATGGAGGGGCACACAGCGCCTGTCTCCTCCCTTCAGGTGGATTCTCAGGTGGTTGTCAGCGGATCATGGGACGGCACCGTTCGTCTCTGGTGGCGCCCAGACCACTCCCCCATGGCCGTCCTCGTTTGTAGCAGCCCCACTACCAGCACAAAAGCTCTCGGAAGCAGCATGGGCGCAGGGATGGGGGGTCAGGGGGCGGGTGCGAGTGTGAGTGTGCGAGCAGTGGTGGTAGATGAGGAGGGGGATTTGATTCTGTGCGCAAGGGAGGATGGGCGAGTGGAGGTGTGGCATGGCAGCAGCAGCATCATGCTCTTAACTCCCAGCCATGCCATGCCTGTAACTGCTGGCAGCAGCAGCGGCAGCAGCAGTAGCAGCAGCAGCAGCGTAGGTAACACCACACCCACTACCACCACCGCCAGCAGCAGCAGTGCCAGCAGCACCACCACGGATGTTTCGTCTCCGCTGCCCGCGCTGCTGTCGCTGGCAGTGTGCCGCCCGCTCCTGGCTGCAGGCGCTGCTGATGCCTCCATCATGGTACGGACGGATGTGTGGTGCGGTGGGGTGTGGTGCGGTGGGGTGTGGGTCTGTGGGGATGGTATGGGTGGATGTGTGGTGCGGTGGGGTGTGGTGCGTGTTCCGTTTTCATGTGTTATCACATATGTGGTTGACGTTGTTACAATGTTGAGGCATATGTCTTAGCTGTCCCCTTGCCATGCCCACACTTACCTCATGCCATCCCATCACCCGTCTCCTCCTACCCGTTCATATGCCCGCACCCTCACTCACTATTGTCACCTTCTATATTTGTCTCTTTAGTGCTACCTTCCACCACCGTCCCCACACACCTGTATTCCTCACTCTTTACCTCTAGGCTGTTACAGGATGCTCCCGGAAAGTCTTTTTCAGAAAGTCTAAGGGCTCTCGCCTCTTCTCTGCGTGCTTGAACCAAAGCCTTGTCTACCTCTCCACACCCTGCCATGCCCCTTCACCCCACCAGCTGTGGCACATGCATGGGTATGGTGCTGACGTCAGCATCACCCCATGGAGGCGACTCTCACATGCCCAGCCACAGTCACACATGCAGGGGCCATGCACTGCCCTCGCTTTCGCTCCTTCCAATGCTGCAGCCGCCGCAGCAGCTGCTGCTGCTGCTACGAGTGGTGCCACGGGCCATGGCAGCAGTGAGTGGGGAGATCACCTTGCAGCGCTGCTGCTGCTGTCGGGAGGGTTTGACGGTCGGCTGTGCGTGTGGCAGGGGAAGGGCATTCACTGAGGGCACCACAGACTCGTTTCCACAGCATCACAGCAGCAGTGAGTGGAAGGGTGATTTCGCAGGGCTGATGCCCTGCTGCTGCTGTCAGGAGGGTTAGACTTGATGGGCAGCTGTGCGTGTGGCAGGGGAAGGGCATTCACTGAGGGCACCACAGACTCGTTTCCACAGCATCACAGCAGCAGTGAGTGGAAGGGTGATTTCGCAGGGCTGATGCCCTGCTGCTGCTGTCAGGAGGGTTAGACTTGATGGGCAGCTGTGCGTGTGGCAGGGGAAGGGCATTCACTGAGGGCACCACAGACTCGTTTCCACAGCATCACAGCAGCAGTGAGTGGAAGGGTGATTTCGCAGGGCTGATGCCCTGCTGCTGCTGTCAGGAGGGTTAGACTTGATGGGCAGCTGTGCGTGTGGCAGGGGAAGGTCACGTCACTCTCTGAGAGCACTGCTGATCGCCTGACCACCGAGGGGAAGGAGTCAGTCACTGGCCGTGTTTCTGACCGTGCCTAGAGTGCATGTTGGAGGTTCGGGTAAACAGTGAATTTTATAGACGTCTCAAAAATTCACTTCTTACACGAGGGGTCACTGGCCATGTTTCTGACCGTGCCTAGAGTGCACACTGGTGGTTCTCCATGAGCCTCTTGGTTTGTCCAGTACCCGCAAGACCATCTCATCTCAGTGGTTGCATAACTTGCTTGCTAATGCCTTACCATGTGGTGCTGGAATTTACTGTGCTGCACCACTGCATCATACCGCACTTGCATGTCTTACAACTACGGTATCCAACACGATTGTTCTGTTCACATGGAGTTGATCTCGTTATGGTGCGATATCCCTGCCTGCCACCACCCACGATTGATTAACACATTTCTTTCCTTCTCTTTTTACGCCTAGTGCTCAGGGAAGGAAAGACGTTCTGTAGACAGAGTGATGCAAATCAAGCATTATAAAAAAAGCCACACGAACAAACACAAGCCTCTCTACAGACTAAAATTAGGGTGGGTGGAAAGGCTGTGCCAACATCATGCTCTGCTAGAACCTAAAACCAGTTAGCATAGCAGCCAACCAGTAGCACAGCCAAGGAGCGAAATTCTCCAAGCAAAGAGGGAGCAGGAACGGAGGGAACGGAGGAATGAAGGGAATGGAGAAATGGAGGCGGGAGCGAGGAGAGCAGAGGAATGATGGAGGGTGAGTGGTGGGTTGACTGGGCAAGGGCTGTAAACGCCGGATCCAGCCAAAAGTGGGAATGATGAGCAGCTAGGGTCGAACGATACAACAGCCATAATACCAGCCAGTCAGCTGTCGCCAACCAGAAGCACAGCCAGCAGAGGAATAATGGAGGGTGAGTGGGGTGGTGTGAGTAGCCCAGGGGTTGTAAACGCTGGATCCAGCCGAAAGACGAGACGCAACACGGCTCTAGAGCCAGACAGGTCAGCAGGCTGATAGCGCCCGATAGCAGGCCGATATCAGCCAGTCAGTCAGTCGTCGCCAGCAGCCTTTATAGCAGCCAGCTGCCAGCCGTCCAGGGCTGTTAATGCTGAATCCAGCCAAAAGTGGGAGAGGTGCTGAACCAGTAGGCAGAAGACCTTGAGTCGGCTCAAGAAGATGGCTTTTGAGGCGAGTCTTGAGGGGCTTAGAGGCGCCTCAAGACTCAAAACTGGGGTGGTGATGGGATGGGCGGCCAGGCAGAAGAGTTTTGATTTGATTCGACTCAAAAAGTGATGACTGCCGGTACGCAAAAGTGGGGACGCTGGTGGTGACGCTGCTGCTGCTGTTGCTGGTTCGGCAGCTGCTGCTGCTGCTGCTGCTGGTGCTGATGCTGCTGGTGGTGGTGCTGCTGGTGGTGCTGCTGCTGGTGGTGCTGCTGCTGGTGGTGCTGCTGGTGGTGGTGATGGTGGACGGTGGTGGCAATGACGTTGCTTTAGAGTCTGCTTTTTGGGCGTAAGAGCAACTGTGGACCCAGTAGCTGACTCAAAAAAAAGGCCACCGAATTGGCTGCAGGTCTGCAGCAGCAGGTGCAGCTGCAGATCAAGAAGAAGAAGAAGAAGAAGAAGAGACCTTCCACCCCATACGACAGCGCCATGTTGGGAAGAGAGCTCGATCGAAGCAGGAAGCTTTGGATCGAGCAGACGGTTCTATGAAACACGTAGGCAGTGCTGCACGGAAGATGCTGCTGCTGCTTGCCCAGGGCAAATCGAGTCAGAGAAAAGAACCTGCTGGGTAATGGAACTGACTGAGCAAGAAGCAGGACGGGAGGAGCGGGATGGTACTAGGGAATGCCAAGGCTGCTGCTGCTGCTGTTGCTGCTGCTGCTGCTGATGTTGCTGCTGCTGCTGCTGACTGTCCCACACAAAGAACGTGGCGGCTGATATGCGGCTGAAAGGTTCGACCCATACAGCGGTCGCATGGGCAGCGCCAAAAAGAGGAGATGATCTAAGAGTCACGTACACGCAGAGCAGAAGTAGCGTCTTGTGACAACGACCATCATACGACACTTGTTACGCCGCTGGCTACGCCGCTGGTTTCGCCGTTGGTTACAGGGTCAGCACGTGCTCGAGCAGGTTGGCCTTCTCGGCCTGCAAGTTGCGGATTTTGGCCTTTAGCGCGTCAATGTACGTCAGCGTCTCGCACAGCAGCGTCTCCGTGGTGATGCGCGGATTGCACAGCGGAATCGCCGCCTTCAGCTGCTCCAGCCGGTGGCTGTTTGGGCGGAAAGGGAGACGCGGAGAGGGGGCGGAAGGGTGGAAGGGGCGAAGTGGAAAATAAGTGAGGCGGTAAAAAGGAGCAGCGTCTCCGTGGTGATACGCGGATTGCACAGCGGAATTGCCGCCTTCAGCTGCTCCAGACGGTGGCTGCAGCGCGGGGAAAGGGGGAAAGGGAGAGGGGGAGGGGGAGAAGCAGTGGGGAAGAAAAGATTCGTTAGAAACGGCAGGTTTTGGGAGTTGATGGGGAACAACGCGGACGAGGGAGGATGTAGATGAAGTACGCGCGAAGATAAGGACAGCGCAGCGCGCACGCGGATAGCACGCACGGCGGACAGCGGGCCGCGTCGCGAAAAACGCGCGTGGAAACATTGCGTACGGCCGCAGACTGTGCGATGGCGTGGGGAGACGAACATTGGAATCCCATCGTTCGTGTCCGCCATACCTGATATTGTTCCGCCTCTTCCGCTCCGCCACTGTGCGCGGACGCACGGAGCGCGCCGCGTCCCCGCCCAGACCGTCAAGATCCAGCCCCGACCCCAGCGCGCCTGCGCTGCGCTTCATCCCCGCCCTACCCGCTCCGCCTGTTCCGCCGCTGCTTCCCCCGCGCCCCCCCGGACTACAGTTCCCCGCGGGGCTGCCATCCCCAGCTTCCCCCGCGCCCCGCTGCTGCCCCGGGCAGGTCTCGACGTTGCTGTCGCCCGAGCTGTCGCCGGCGGTGTGCTGATTGTCGCGCGTGCGACGCCGGGCGTGGTCGTGGTTCGCGTCGTCCTGCAGCGTCGCACGATTGCGATGATTGAAATCGTCGCCGCGGCATTGCTCTCCCCCGGGCGACCCGTCAACCGACGGCACGCCGACACTCAGCTTCAACTCCGCCGCGTCCGCCGCATCCGCTGGCCCCGCTGCCGACGCGCCGCGCTTTTCAATGTCCCGACCGATCGAGCCGCGCTTCGGGGAGAGCGCGAGACCCGCAGACGCGCCGACAGCACCGCCGACGCCGGCGGGAGCGCCGATACCGGCGGCGCCGGTTGCGCGTGCGATATCGCGGAGAACGGCTTGCTGAAGCGCCGCCGCGGCCGACGAGCCGAGCGCGCCGCGTGCTGCGGTGTTATCGAGTCTGGCTCCGTGTAACCCGGCGGCCGCGGCGGCGACGGTGCCATCTTGCTGACGAAAATTGCGGGCGAACGACGGGAGGTTGGCGTATTGCTGGAGCAGCGCAGGCAGAAGCGCCTGCGCCTGCGCTGCTTGCACCTGCGCCTGTGCTGCTTGCGCCGCTTGCGTCTGTGCGAGTTGCTGCTGCTGATGCTGCTGCTGCTGCTGTTGCTGCATCCCCAATCGAACTAGCGGCTGGAGAGCCAGAATCGCCTCGTCCATTCTCATTCCACCGCCACCCCCCCCGCCACTTGCGGGGGCCTGAAATCCGCCGTTTGATGCGGCAGTTGCTGCGGCAGTGGTGTTTAATGCGGGAGCGGCTGCAGTTTGCCCCGCGGCGCTTGCAACGCCGGCAAGCTCGGCAAGCAGGCTCGGGGAGAGGTTCGGCGGGAGGTTCGACAACAACCCGTTGTTAGCATGGAGTTTTGTGCGCCCATCGAGTGACGCTTTGAACGCCGCGAGTGACGCAGGCGGCGCGAAGATCGGAGACGATTTTCCCGCATGATCCGCCGCCGCGGCGGCGGCCGCCGAGGGGTCAGCGATGTTGGGAGGCGCGGCCGCGCGAAACGCGGCGGGGGAAGGCGATACTGTTAACTTTCCAGGCTCGTTTCGCAACGTGTTTTTATTTTTGAAAATATCGAAATTGTCCCGCGAGGGCTCGTTGCGCGGCGCGGAACTAGGCTTCTCAGCTGCCGAGCCAGGGCACGCGAGTTCAAGAAGCGTGTCGGCCATCTTGGTGCGGAATTACTCAGAAACGTACATGAGGCGATGAAACTGGAGATTATTCCACCGATTATTCCGCCTTCAGAATGAAGAGGGAGACGTGGACGGAATTGCAAGAAACCAGGGTCGTGGGATTGTGGTGATGAATTTGAGGGGAGCGGGGAGCGAAGAGTTGTGGTGCGTAGTGGTGGTGAGGCAACCTGCCACTCCTCTTGCGCAAGTCGCTGGTGCTTCCCAAACCAACCAGCCAGCCACGGCCACTGGGATGGGACGGGAAGGAATTGGGGGAGTGGTGTGGGTGGTGGGGAGTATGCGGGGGTACTGTGTACTAGGCGGGGAAGAGCAGGGGTGGTTGGGGGGGAGGATAGGGGTTGGTCGCGGGTGGCTACAGTGATTAATTGACACACTTGCTAAATGCGGGTGGTTTACCCAACATGTCTGTCCAGTTTTGGGGGAACCATAGGTGGAAGCAGAACGCGCTTGTTGGTTTTGGGGAATGTATTGTAGTGGTGGGGACGGGGCGGCTTTGGTTCGGATGTGTTTGCTGGTTTGGGGGAAGGAGCGGTGGGAGGCTCATGGGCTTTGTCCAAAACTGAAAGGGATGGTCACGGGTGGGAGGGTTGGGCTGATGGGTGGTTTGAAATTGAAGCTCTGCTGCTCCCCCATCCGTGTCCTATCCTCCCCTCACGCCTGTGTCGAGTCCAGCAGGCATGGGCGGGGGAACAGTTGAAGGCGCCACTCTCGCCTTGCGCTAGCGGTTGTGGCTGTGGCATGAAATGGCAGCACGCTGGCATGCGACGCCGAGGGTTTCGTTTCGGGTCCATAGAACTGTACGACGACGACAACGACGACGACGGACAGGCCACTGATGAGGACAGCACAGAATTCCACAATATTGATGTGCTGCCCTGAGGAAACGTTTGCTGAGGAAGCATGGAAAAAATACGAAAGAAAAGAATGTAGGGAAATGGGTGAGATGATACAACCTACAGAGAAGCGACACTATGAATACACGGCGATCTCAAAAGACACTGAAATACACCTTTCGAAACACGGCGAAGACGCCAATGCACGAAAGAAAGGGGCTTGATTTCTGTGCCTGCCTGCTCACAGCCACACATGCGACAAAATCACCTCATCTGTGATGATGAGCCAGCATGTTCAGTGCACAGATGTCCCCATCAGGATAACTGTATGTACACAATTTGACTACTTTTCGATTCGACAAATCTGATCGATGAACTTTGGAAACAAGAAATTTCCACCACAGCTCGAGAGTACGAAGCACCAGCAACTCAAAGTTTTTTTTGTCCAAATTATAATCGAAAGAGCAAGGAAAAATGCTTTCGCACAGTGTTTTATAATGTGATTGGGTCTTAGGAACATTCTCTACTGTGCTACACTACCCGCAACAGCCAAGGGTAAATAGTTCCACTCCACACGGATTCAATGTAGCGCAACGCGGTTTCCAATTTCCGTGTTCAACTGTTCATGCTCACGGAACTGACACAGCCGAAACGAAACCAGCGCATCTTCGGAGATTGCTGCTGCCAAATCAGCGCTCATGCGTCAACTTCTGTGCACGTGCCCATTTTTCTACAGTAAAATACAATCGGTGCTCATTTCAAGAACACCAGGTAGGCGGGCGGCATGTGAGTGAAACGAGTTCCGCGGAGTTCGCCATATTCGCCCTTGTCGCCACGGGCAAAATTGTGATTGTAAAATGAAATTGGAATGTGAAACGAGTCTAGGGGTTTAAGTTCGTAACCAGGTAAACAATTCTGATGACAGGCAGCCGTTGTTGTTTATGAACTGTAGATGTTTTCTTCCGCGACTTGGTGACTGTACCCCGAAATCAGCACAATCACCACTCACAGGCAAAACGTTCGCGAGTGACTGATTTTCTAATTGTAAAAGAAAATGTTTGTGATAGGCTGAGCATCCACTGTACACTCCATAGCGTCCAACCACATCTCACACACCACCACCACCGTCCCCCCCCGCCTGTCCAAGTTGCAAGAGCCCATGGATAACACCACACCGCGACGCACTGTACTGTACCAAAAAGGGGTGTCAAGACGGACGGCGGTTATGTTTTTGAAAGCATGATTTTTTTCGGGCTGGGCTGTTGGGGAGTTCGTTCGACTAAGTTTTTTCAGACAGCTCGGACGCAACTGCCGACATTGTGGTGGGGCTTTGACTGCTTCCACTGGAGTGCTGGGATAGGCAAATACTGCTCTAATGGGGTTTTAGGACACTTATCAAATCCACTGGTTTTGCACAATGATTTCCACCTTCATCGAGACAACACCGAATCCGATGTTTTCCACTAATCCGTTCCTTGTGTTTGTCATCCCAGCTTTCAACCCGAGCCACCACCACGACTTTCGCTCTGGTTCGGACATTTGCATGCCCCATGAGAGGGGCACAAGCGCAGATCTGTGTGCCTTTTGGCCTGAAACCAAAAGGGAAATTATACAAGCAGTCACAATTTTGCCCGGATTATCACGTCTGGTCATAGGGGTATCACGAACAGTCACAGTACAGTAAATTCCTATCGCGGGTGATCACAGTGCTATCACGGATGGTCACACCTCACAGCGAAAAGGTATCACGTTTGGTCACTCGTTGAAATTGTCAATACAAATATCAAAACTACTCAAGTCACTGTGGGGATTCAAGGAAAGTTTTCCGTTTTGTCCGTAGTAATGCGAAATAATTCTCGGTAACTCGTCGAAAATATCTGCAATATCTTTTACTATTCGATTGTCCACTGTTTGATCGATGCATAATGTCCCTAAAATATCAATTTTAGACGGGTGAAACTCTAAGGTTAATTTTCTGTCCCAAGACAAAAAAAACTAAAACCCGTTCGGATGGGATATAATTCGGGAGCATCAACCCTAAACACCTTGTCGCAAGGTGTTTAGGGTTGATGCCTCCCGAAGGACGTGCCATCCTATAGGGGTTTATTTTTTTTTTCTATCAATTCCCTAATTGTCAGGCTATAATAAAGCGCGAGGTACTAGCAGTCAATGTTGGGATTCCCCAAAATTTCAACTGTTTCCCTTGTGGTTTCAAATTATTTATGATCGTTTCAACGAGTGACCAAACGTGATAGCATTTCGGGGCGAGGTATGGTGATAGCACTGTGATCACCCGTGATAGCAATCTACTGTACTGTGACTGTTTGTGATACCCCTGTGACCAAACGTGATAAAACGGCCAAAATTGTGACTGCTTGTATAATTTCCTAAACCGAAACCTCGTTGTTGCTGTGAACAGTCTACAGTACAGTTGGTGAGGTGATGGTTGCCTGGGCATAGACATGAAGCTTGAAAAGGACATCGAGCAATGTTCGACCACGACAAGGTAAGAAAGACAAAATGGTCCCACCAACGCGCATCCCAGTGCTGCCACATGCGCTCATTGCCCAACCACTACTGGATCAGAAAGGGGGAAAATACAAACCCTGCCACTGACTTCCTCCTCAAATCCAAACACGCCATGTCGGGCCAGATTGATTTCCAGATCATGATGCAGACACTCGCTATTGTGAATTCCGCTTGACTCGACCAACAGCGCACTATCATTCACATTCCGTTATAACGATCATTCTGGCAAGACAAACTTTAGGGTTGCCCATCACAATACCCACATCGCATCGCTCACACCTGCTAGGGGCGGTTACTGGCACACTGCCGATTAGATCCAACTAACATTACCACTCTTCAGTGTGTTTACACGGTTCACAATAGCAAGAAACAGGATGTGATCCTGATGGGTATATGTCCTACAGGAGAATGCTTCACATCTGCCAATTCCATTCATTCTGACATGATTACTAAGAAATACAAAGTAGAGTAGATACAGTAGGAGGACAAGACAACGGGACACCCCTGTTAATGAATATGTAGCACCAGCAGGAGACCGTAATGTACACTCTTGCTTTGCTAACCCCTCCAATCGAAGGGACACAACACAAATACACCCATCAGTGCGTCGAAGCATACGACGGGTTTCGAATCAGCAGCTCGTGAGCCAAAGCAGGATCCATCTTCCCAGCAGCTTTACTCGCTTCAACCACCTCCTGTACAGGCTCATCGGCACATGGTCACAGTTGGGAAACAAACCCACAAACATCTACTTTTAGGTGCCTAAAAAAACGACCATATTCTGAACAGACCAGCTGGCACATGGTTGCCATGCAAAAAAAATCACAGATGATTGTTTAAGCGCCTAAAGAAACAACACCTGCTGTACAGGCGGACCGGCTAATACCATAGTCACCATGGGAGAACATAATCACAAGAAAGTTGAGAAGAGGGATTGACCAGTGTCCAACACGGATAACCTTGCTATGACAAGGAGTTAGGGCGACAGCTGGCTTGGCAAGGGCGTTTACCTAATAACCTGTGACACAGCATAAAGCAGCACCCCAAGAAGAACCCTTATTCTCCCGCACTCACATGTGCAGGCCGGGCTCACCTGCAATGAACAGCCAATATATCTGTCTCCCCTCACCAACCACCATTAGCACCAAGGACTCCCTCCCAACCTCCACTCACCCCTCACCAGCCTCCACTCACTCACCCCTTCCCAACCACCAATCAGAAAGCTTCCTCTTTTCACCTCAGCATTGCTGAGAATATCCAAGCCATGGTCCACCCTCACCGGGTGAGCAGTGGGATGCAAAGGTTTTCGAGACCTCTCAAAACTATTGAGAAGTCCCTGAACTCACCTCAGCATTGCTGAGAATATCCAAGTCACGGCCTACTCACCTCAGCAGCCCGCATGGCTTCGTTCAGAATGTCCACATCACCATCCAGCCGCGCAAGGTACCAACTCCCCAACGCATACCCTGGTTAACTCCACTCACTCACCTCAGCGGCCTGCATAGCTTCATTCAGAATGTCCACATCCCCGTCCAGCCTCGCGAGGTTGAACCCCGGCAACCGCCCCGACTGCTTGCTCCCCATCAGCTCCCCCGGGCCTCTCATCTTGAGGTCCATCTGAGCCAACTCCATGCCGTCCTGATGGGAGGAGGGGTGGGTATGAGGGGAGGGGCGGGTAAAACAGGCAGATGCTGCAGTGAGGTTCAGCTGATGCGCCCTCTGGGAGTGTCTTCCCCAGCAGCTCCCCCAGCCCTCGCATCTTGAGGTCCATGTGAGCCAACTCCATGCCGTCCTGAAGGGAAGGGTGTGGGGTTGGGAAAGAGGAGCGCATAATGGTGAGTCTGAGCACCATCTCTGGCGCTTTCAGGCACCTCAAGTTCCTCATAACAGCTCCCCGTGCCCTCGCATCTCGAGGTCCATGTGGGACAACTCGAGGCCGACCGGGAGGGAAGAGGACAAGGGAGGCTCATGTGAGGGAATGTAAGGAGTTAGACAAGCTGCCTTGAACGTGAGGGCACACTGCTTGCTGCCCAGCAGCCCCCCCGGCCCAGCAGCCCCCCCGGCCCAGCAGCCCCCCCGGCCCAGCAGCCCCCCCGGCCCAGCAGCCCCCCCGGCCCAGCAGCCCCCCCGGCCCAGCAGCCCCCCCGGCCCAGCAGCCCCCCCGGCCCAGCAGCCCCCCCGGCCCAGCAGCCCCCCCGGCCCAGCAGCCCCCCCGGCCCAGCAGCCCCCCCGGCCCAGCAGCCCCCCCGGCCCAGCAGCCCCCCCGGCCCAGCAGCCCCCCCGGCCCAGCAGCCCCCGCGGCCCAGCAGCCCCCGCGGCCCAGCAGCCCCCGCGGCCCAGCAGCCCCCCCGGCCCAGCAGCCCCCCCGGCCCAGCAGCCCCCCCGGCCCAGCAGCCCCCCCGGCCCAGCAGCCCCCCCGGCCCAGCAGCCCCCCCGGCCCAGCAGCCCCCCCCGGCCCAGCAGCCCCCCCGGCCCAGCAGCCCCCCCGGCCCAGCAGCCCCCCCGGCCCAGCAGCCCCCCCGGCCCAGCAGCCCCCCCGGCCCAGCAGCCCCCCCGGCCCAGCAGCCCCCCCGGCCCAGCAGCCCCCCCGGCCCAGCAGCCCCCCCGGCCCAGCAGCCCCCCCGGCCCAGCAGCCCCCCCGGCCCAGCAGCCCCCCCGGCCCAGCAGCCCCCCCGGCCCAGCAGCCCCCCCGGCCCAGCAGCCCCCCCGGCCCAGCAGCCCCCCCGGCCCAGCAGCCCCCCCGGCCCAGCAGCCCCCCCGGCCCAGCAGCCCCCCCGGCCCAGCAGCCCCCCCGGCCCAGCAGCCCCCCCGGCCCAGCAGCCCCCCCGGCCCAGCAGCCCCCCCGGCCCAGCAGCCCCCCCGGCCCAGCAGCCCCCCCGGCCCAGCAGCCCCCCCGGCCCAGCAGCCCCCCCGGCCCAGCAGCCCCCCCGGCCCAGCAGCCCCCCCGGCCCAGCAGCCCCCCCGGCCCAGCAGCCCCCCCGGCCCAGCAGCCCCCCCGGCCCAGCAGCCCCCCCGGCCCAGCAGCCCCCCGGCCCAGCAGCCCCCCCGGCCCAGCAGCCCCCCCGGCCCAGCAGCCCCCCCGGCCCAGCAGCCCCCCCGGCCCAGCAGCCCCCCCGGCCCAGCAGCCCCCCCGGCCCAGCAGCCCCCCCGGCCCAGCAGCCCCCCGGCCCAGCAGCATCGGCCCAGCAGCATCGGCCCAGCAGCATCGGCCCAGCAGCATCGGCCCAGCAGCATCGGCCCAGCAGCATCGGCCCAGCAGCATCGGCCCAGCAGCATCGGCCCAGCAGCATCGGCCCAGCAGCATCGGCCCAGCAGCATCGGCCCAGCAGCATCGGCCCAGCAGCATCGGCCCAGCAGCATCGGCCCAGCAGCATCGGCCCAGCAGCATCGGCCCAGCAGCATCGGCCCAGCAGCATCGGCCCAGCAGCATCGGCCCAGCAGCATCGGCCCAGCAGCATCGGCCCAGCAGCATCGGCCCAGCAGCATCGGCCCAGCAGCATCGGCCCAGCAGCATCGGCCCAGCAGCATCGGCCCAGCAGCATCGGCCCAGCAGCATCGGCCCAGCAGCATCGGCCCAGCAGCATCGGCCCAGCAGCATCGGCCCAGCAGCATCGGCCCAGCAGCATCGGCCCAGCAGCATCGGCCCAGCAGCATCGGCCCAGCAGCATCGGCCCAGCAGCATCGGCCCAGCAGCATCGGCCCAGCAGCATCGGCCCAGCAGCATCGGCCCAGCAGCATCGGCCCAGCAGCATCGGCCCAGCAGCATCGGCCCAGCAGCATCGGCCCAGCAGCATCGGCCCAGCAGCATCGGCCCAGCAGCATCGGCCCAGCAGCATCGGCCCAGCAGCATCGGCCCAGCAGCATCGGCCCAGCAGCATCGGCCCAGCAGCATCGGCCCAGCAGCATCGGCCCAGCAGCATCGGCCCAGCAGCATCGGCCCAGCAGCATCGGCCCAGCAGCATCGGCCCAGCAGCATCGGCCCAGCAGCATCGGCCCAGCAGCATCGGCCCAGCAGCATCGGCCCAGCAGCATCGGCCCAGCAGCATCGGCCCAGCAGCATCGGCCCAGCAGCATCGGCCCAGCAGCATCGGCCCAGCAGCATCGGCCCAGCAGCATCGGCCCAGCAGCATCGGCCCAGCAGCATCGGCCCAGCAGCATCGGCCCAGCAGCATCGGCCCAGCAGCATCGGCCCAGCAGCATCGGCCCAGCAGCATCGGCCCAGCAGCATCGGCCCAGCAGCATCGGCCCAGCAGCATCGGCCCAGCAGCATCGGCCCAGCAGCATCGGCCCAGCAGCATCGGCCCAGCAGCATCGGCCCAGCAGCATCGGCCCAGCAGCATCGGCCCAGCAGCATCGGCCCAGCAGCATCGGCCCAGCAGCATCGGCCCAGCAGCATCGGCCCAGCAGCATCGGCCCAGCAGCATCGGCCCAGCAGCATCGGCCCAGCAGCATCGGCCCAGCAGCATCGGCCCAGCAGCATCGGCCCAGCAGCATCGGCCCAGCAGCATCGGCCCAGCAGCATCGGCCCAGCAGCATCGGCCCAGCAGCATCGGCCCAGCAGCATCGGCCCAGCAGCATCGGCCCAGCAGCATCGGCCCAGCAGCATCGGCCCAGCAGCATCGGCCCAGCAGCATCGGCCCAGCAGCATCGGCCCAGCAGCATCGGCCCAGCAGCATCGGCCCAGCAGCATCGGCCCAGCAGCATCGGCCCAGCAGCATCGGCCCAGCAGCATCGGCCCAGCAGCATCGGCCCAGCAGCATCGGCCCAGCAGCATCGGGCCAGCAGCATCGGGCCAGCAGCATCGGGCCAGCAGCATCGGGCCAGCAGCATCGGGCCAGCAGCATCGGCCCAGCCATCGGGCCAGCAGCATCGGGCCAGCAGCAGATGAGGTCCATCTGGCCAACTCGAGGCCGCCCATGCTTCCCCCCACCCTCTTCCGCCCACCCTCTTCCCCCCACCCTCTTCCCCCCACCCTCTTCCCCCCACCCTCTTCCCCCCACCCTCTTCCCCCCACCCTCTTCCCCCCACCCTCTTCCCCCCACCCTCTTTCCCCCACCCTCTTCCCCCCACCCTCTTCCCCCCACCCTATTTCCCCCACCCTCTTCCCCCCACCCTCTTCCCCCCACCCTCTTCCCCCCACCCTCTTTCCCCCACCCTCTTCCCCCCACCCCCCTTCCCCGATACACACGTGTGACGTTTACAACAGCTTCAGCTTGTGCCGCGCGCCCTTATTACTGCCCACCAGCAGGCAGCGCGAGGGGCACCACCCTCCCACCCCCCCACACTCGCGGGCACATGCACATGCACACGCACATGCACATGCATACTCCTCCTTTTCCCCGTACGCACATGTGACGTTTCCAGCAGCTTCAGCTTGTGCCGAGCGCCCTTATTACTCCCCACCAGCAGGCACGCACACACCCACACCCTGCCCTGCCCACCCCACCCTTCCCCGTACGCACATGTGACGTTTCCAGCAGCTTCAGCTTGTGCCGAGCGCCCTTATTACTCCCCACCAGCAGGCACGCACACACCCACACCCTGCCCTGCCCACCCCACCCTTCCCCGTACACACATGTGACGTTTCCAGCAGCTTCAGCTTGAGCCGCGCACCCTTATTACTGCCCACCAGCAGGCAGCGCGAGGGGCGCTGGCCTCTCCCCACGCGCCCCCTCAGCTGGTGCAGCTGTGCCAAGCCGTAGCGCTCTGCATGCTCCACCAGCATCACCGTCGCCTCGGGAATGTCAATCCCCACCTCGATCACCGTTGTGCATACAAGCACCTGGGCAGCACATGGGAGGGAAAAGCAGCGGAGGATGAGTGTGGAGTGCCTGTATGTATGTCTACTGGTGTTGTCCCATGGTAGGTCGCATCACTCCGCATGCTCCACCAGCATCACCGTCGCCTCAGAAATGTCTATCCCCACCTCGATCACCGTTGTGCATACGAGCACCTGCAATGCGCTTGCAATGGAAGGAGTCACTTGCTGGTGGAGCACCCCACACCCCTGAACCTTAACCCCCAAACCTTAATCTCCGAACCTTAACCCCAAACCTCAAAACCCCGAACCCCAAACTCCAAATTGAAGCACATGACGACCCCTCCCCCCAAACAAACAACACCAAGTTGAGCACACCTGTATGGATCCTTCTTGGAAGCTGCGCATGACGCCCTCCTTCTCCTCTGGTTCCATGCGGCCATGCACGAGCCCACAGCGCAGCACTGCTGCCCCCTCTGACCCATCACCATCACCACCATCATCACCATCGGCATCACCATCATCGTCTTCTTCTTCTTCTTCTTCTTCTTCCTCATCCTCATCACTCTCGTAGTCGTCATTGTCTTCACCATACATCGCATCCAGCTCACAGTTATACTGGTCTGTGTCATACCCATCAGGGGAGTTATCAATCTCACAAAGCTCATATCGGCTATAATCACTGCGACGACGAGGCCGATCCTTCTGGGCAGCTGCCCGCTTTTGTCGGGCAGCAGCACTACTGCCATGCCTCAACGCACGACCCAGCAGTCCGCCTGGTTCGGTCAGCAGCTGAAATTCTTCCGTGGCTGCCCGCACTTCCGGCAGCTCCTCTGAGGCGTCGATGATGGGGAAGACGATGAACGCTCTCCCCCCTGACTGCACCTCCTCTCGAAGAATCTGAAATGAGTGCAAGAAGAGGATGAGGCATGCAGTGGGGGTTAGAGGGGGAGAAAAGGACGTCCGGCAGCTCCTCTGAGGCGTCGATGATGGGGAAGACGATGAAGGCCCTCCCGCCCGACTGCACCTCGTCGCGAAGAAGCTGAAATGGGGCCAGGAGGAAAGAAAAGCAGGGGAGGAACAATGAAACGGAGAAAGGGAAAGCGGAAAAGGGAGGGGGGGGGGAATGCGGGAAAGAGGGACTAGGGGGAGGGGCGAATGGGGGGATAAGAGGGGCAAACAAGGTAAGGAGAGAAATGGGGGATAGGGGGGGAAAAGGGCGGATAGGGGCACAGGGTGAATGGGGCGACTTGAGTCGTCTCAAGGATTGCTAGTCTGACTGGACCTCGTTGTAAAGAGTTTGCAAATATTGTATGAGAAGAAGATGAGGGGAGAACGGAGGACAGGAGGAAAGGGGGAAAAGGGAAAGCAGGGAATTGGGTAAAGAAGTTGAATGGCCGCAGAGGTAATCCCCTGAGATCAAGTATCTAAGAACTGTTTGAGGCGCCTCAAAGGTAGCTCTATGAGGGGGCCTGGAGGTTTAAAGCAAAAGAAAGCAGAAAAAGAAGAGGACGGCTAAGCGGCAAACCTTGAAGGTTTAGAAGCTATAGCTCCAACCAGCCCCTCTCTTAAAGATCAGACCGATTCCCCCTTCCCTTTGTCGTTTAACCTTACAACCTTCTGTCCCTCACCTTGTAAGCCGCATCCCTCTCTTTCCCTTCATCCTCCTCCCATTCCCCCTCACTCTCCTCCCCGCTGCTGCCGCCCTTCCCATCCCGGTCATAAAAGACAAGAGTCTCCACCGGCGTGCGTCCGGGCGGCAGCTCGGCGATCCGCGAGATGTCGCTTTGGCCGTGCAGCACGAGGGCAAGGGAGCGCGGGATGGGGGTGGCCGTCATGGTCAGCGTGTGAGGCTCCGAGAGGAGCGGGCGGGCGGAGGAGGGAGAGGAGGAGGAAGAAGCGTCCTCCCTGAATTCGTTGGTGTCTTCTGTATCGCTGTCGCTGGCTTCCTGCTGCTGCCGAATGTTGAGAAGCGCATCCAGGCCCTGCAGGGGTCACCAGGGGGGAAGTGTGGGGGAGATGGGTTGGGAGGATGTGTGAGGTGTGGCAGCAAGAGCATCTGTGCGTGTGGTAGTGAAACACCATGACTGCCACCCCCCAATATCACACAATCACCCTCACGCACCTTCTCTTGCAGCTTGGCCCGCTGCTTCTTCCGCAAAGGCCAGCCCCAGGCGATGGAAGGCAGGTAGGAAGGCAGTCAGACAGGGAGACAGAAGGGCATAGTCAGACGGACAAACACCGTAACCCCAAAGTGGTGCTGCTCGTCCACAATCGCCAGCCCCAGGCGGTGGAAGGCAGACGGAGAGACATGCAGGGAGGCAGACAGACGCACACGCACAGCTCCATCTGACTCTCGACCCACTCTCTCCCACCTTCTCGTGCAGCCTGGCCCGCTGCTTGACCCCAAAGCGGTGCTGCTCGTCCACAATGGCCAGCCCCAGGCGGTGGAAAGCAGTGGCTCGAGCGATGAGCGCGTGCGTGCCGATGATGATGTCCACCCTGCCCTCCTTGATGTCCTGTTGATGGGGAATGAAGGGGGACAAAGAGCCGGGCACGGGTGCAAACCGAAAGCAAGTGAAGTGCTTTTGAGGACTTGCTTACGGAAACTCTCACAATGATGATGACTTGCTTTTGAGAATGAACTCTAAGTTACCTCTCACGGCGCTCACTCACCAGCCGCAGTGCCTTGGCGCGCTTCACACTCGCAGTCAGCAGGCAAACCTTCGGGCGACGGGCGGGCGGCAGCGCTTGGAGCAACTGCTCAAACCGTGCCACGTGCTGCTGGGCAAGGAACTGAGTGGGAGCCATCACCGCCACCTGATACCCATGCGCCACTGCCTCCATACATGCCAGTAGCGCCACCACCGTTTTCCCACACCCCACATCCCCCTGCAGCAGCCTCGACATTGGCACCGGCCAGTTCATGTCGGAAATGATTTCCCGGGCAGCCTGCATCTGCCCGGCGGTGAGCGTGTAGGGCAGGCTGGAAAGAATTTCTTGAGTGAGTGGGGACCACTGCTCAGCCGTCAGATCTCTGCGGGTCCAGTCAATGGCCCCTCCTCCTCCCCCTGCGGAGGCCGCTCCTGCTGCGGCTGCAGCTGCGGATGCCAGGTGACCGAGTTTGATTCGCCGGCTCTGCAGCAGGATGCGGAGCTGATAGAAGAAGAACTCGTCAAAGACGATGCGGCGCCGGGCAAGGGGGACGAGAGAGCGGTCGCGCGGGCAGTGGATGGTGGCGAGGGCGAGGGGGAGGGGGAGGAGGTTGTAGCGTGCGCGGAGGGAGGGAGAATGGTATTCCATGTCTGGAGGGATGAGCTTGATTAGACTGTGGTGGGAGGGGGAAGAAGGGGGAGAGGAGTAAGTGGGGGGTTGAGCACACCGGTATAGCATCATCCCCTGCCCCTATACCTGTGCAACGAGACGAGTTACTCGCTCGGACTCGGCCGAGTTACTCGTTAGGGTGCGAGTAACGAGTTTCGTTTTTTGTAAAATTTACTCGGCCGAGTCGAGCCGAGTTTTACTCGCCGAGTTTTTTTTGCTTGACGAGTACTCGCATGCTTTTAGGCGAGCATTTTGGGAACTCGCCGAGTTTTTTAACCCAGGGCAACCCAGGGCTTTCATGGGCTTCCCTAGGCTTCCTGGGACCACCTTGCGTTTACCTGGGCGGCCCTGGGACACCCAGTACTTCCATGATACCAATGGCCTTCACTAGATGTTATGTACAGCGTCGTTCTAGGCAGGAGAAGGGCACATGGCCGAGCATTACTCGTACTCGGACGAGCTTTTTTAAATGCTCGCCCGAGTTCCCTTTTATAGGCCGAGTACCGAGTTTCCATTTGGGGGAAAAATGCTCGGCCGAGTATTACTCGACTCGGGCTCGTACTCGGCCGAGCAAGGCTAGGGACGAGTCGAGCATTACTCGGCTCGCCCCTTTGCACAGGTATACCTGCCCCTACCCACTGCAAGCACACCCAGAAGAAGCGCTATTGTCATAATAAGGCGCTATCTTTCCAAAATGACACACAGGGTGAAGGCATTTGAGTCGACTCAATATTCAACTATCCAGGGTGATGCGCAGGGTGGAAGGGGAGGGTCCATGATCTTCCAGGCTGAATACTACAGCACAGCGCCATCCGCTCTGCTACTCCACAACCACATCCACTGCATGCACACCCAGCAGCAGCGCTAAAGCAAAGCTGACGCCTGAAGTAGCCTCACCTTTCCAGGATAACACGCAGGGAGAGCGGGTCCATGTCCTTCCTGGCTGAATACACCGGCACAGCGCCCTCCTTTCTGCTACCGCGTGCATCCACCCTCACTATGTCACTGTTCATGTCCAACTCAATCGTCCCATCGCCATGCACTACCCTCACCTGAAGGGGGCGAGGGGATGGGACATAAAAGTAAGTTCTGAGATGGCATATGGCCACCCTCCCCTCTGCTACGGCCAGCATACACCTTCACAATGTCGCTGTTCATGTCTAGCTCGATCGTCCCATCGCCATGCACTACCCTCACCTGCAGGGGGGCAAGGGGAAAGCGTAAGAATTGTCAGAAACAAATGTAAGTTCTGAGATGGCACATGGCCACCCTCCCCTCCCCTCTGCTAGCGCCGGCATCCACCTTCACAATGTCACTGTTCATGTCCAACTCGATCGTCCCATCGCCATGCACTACCCTCACCTGAGGGTTGAAGGAGGGGGAAGAGGGGAGGGGATGAGGAGCAGATGCAGTTGAGTCACCCTGCGTGTCGCTGTTCATGTCCACCAGGCCCCACTCACCTGCCTGCCTCTACTCGCGTGCCCCATCCGCCCACCCACCTGCCTGCCTCTACTCCCGTGCCCCCATCCGCCCACCCACCTGCTTACTCGCATGCCCCATCCGCCCACCTACCTGCCCCTACTCTCATTTCCCCAGGAACCAGGTCACACCTGCTCAATGACGCACCACCCACCTGCCCCCATGCATGCCGCACGACCAGGTCGCACCTGGCCAGTGACAGAGACGAGGCAGCCCCTCGGGTAGGCGTCTTGAAGAGCTTTCCACGCCCAGCTCCCAGCGCGGAACTGCTTCGCTGTCACCATGAACCCACCTCCGCCACTGTGGCTGCTGATGCTGCTGCTGCTGCTGGTAGAACGAGTGATGCTGAATGTGGGTCGGCTGGTTGTGGTGGTGGTGGGGGAATCGGTGTTGCGTGTGGTGGCGGGGCTGTCAGGTGGGCTGCAGCGGATTCGAAGCTCGGCAACCGCACACCCCCCACCTCTGGCTGAGTTTACACTGCGGTGCGGAGAGGTGCAGATGAGCGTTGAGAGATGCAGAGTGGCAAGGTGGAGAGTGGGGAGGTGCAAATGGGCACAACAAACAGACACATGCAGGGGAGGCAGGAAAGGGGCAGTACGTGCATAGATGCATGTGATGCAGCAAATGACAATGGATGACAAGGTAAGGTTCGCTTTTGAGTCAACCCAAACGCAGGAGAGGGGCAGTACGTGCATGGATGCATGTGATGCAGCACTTGACCCAAGTCATGTCTGCTGTGGATGCATGGTTCTTGACAACTCATATATTCTCTGGTTCAGGCAATCACCATGAAACGCACAGCAGACATGCTTCTTCAGGCGACTTGGTCTGTTTGAGTTGATTCAAGACGCGCATGCACAAACAGGCTTGTCACTTGGCCTCACTTCTCCACAAGAAGGCTTGTCCATCCAACCACGTCACACCCATTCAACCACTGCCCCACCCATCCCAACCGCTCAACTGACGTTCTCCACCACGCCAACCTGTGCGTCCGCACATCCTCTCTGCTGCGCGTGAGGTCCTTGTACGTGTGAGGGTAATGCTCCAGGAGGTGCCGCACTGCAAGCAGCTCATGCACCTTTTCAACCACTGCCCACCCAGCCCAACCGCCCCACTCACCTAACACTCTCCACCACGCCAACAGCAGCCACCTACCAATCTCGCATCACATCCTCTCTGCTACAAGTGAGGTCCTTGTACGAGTGAGGGTAATACTCCACCAGGTGCCGCACCGTCCACATCTGCCAGTCAATTCAACCACTGCTCTGCCCACTCATCCCAACCGCACTGTAAATCCTCCCACCCACCCCAACCGCTCACCTGACGCTCTCCACCACGCCAACAGCAGCCACCTGCCCGTCCCGCAGCACATCCTCTCTGCTGCGCGTGAGGTCCTTGTAAGTGTGCGGGTAATGCTCCAGGAGGTGCCGCACCGTCCACATCCCGGCCTTCTCCAGCTTCTCCCGCTGCCCCGGCGTCAGCACGCCTCCGCTCCTCCGAGCCAAACTCCTCAGCGGCGTCTCCAGCCAGCTCACATGCTCCTCTGCTGCTGCTGCTGCTGCTGCTGCTGCTGAGCCGCTTGCATGCGAGGCTGGTGCTTCAGCTGCTGCGTCTGTGCTCCCTAGTGTGGTGTCCAGCCATGCCATCTCTGCTGCCGCACGGTCTGCTGCATCCCCACCCGCCTCTGCATCTCCACCCACCACTACGTCTGCCGTGCTACTACCTAACGGCATGACCAGCCCTTGTTCTAAATTCTCTACATGTGGGGCGGAACTCGTGCCTGGGGTATCCCAATCCACCGCTCCATCCCGCCTCCCCCCACTGGCTTCTATTGTCTTCTTTCTCCGTCCCCTCTTTGCCTTGCCTGTGGCTGCCACCATGCTATCTGCCCCCCATGCTTCCACATCACTCCATTCATCCTGTCCCTCTTCTCCCAATGCGCCAATCCATTCTGCTTCCTCCTCCTCCTCCTCCTCTTCCTCCTCCTCTTCTTCTGCTTCCTCCCCCTCCTCGCTACCTACCGCATCCGAATCTGCAAACTCTCCTTCCTCCTCGTCTCCTTCCTCTTCCTCCACCTCCTCTTCATCCTCCCGTCCTTCTACCCAATCATCGTCCTCCAAAGCAACCCCTGGAAACTCCCTCAAACCACTCACACCTCCACCTTCCTCTCCCATCCGCCCTCCCTTTACTCCCTGCACCAGATTCACAACCCCCGGACCTCCTTCCCGAGCCTCCGCTCCACCCGTATCTCGGATCAGGCTCGGCAGCTTCAACTCCGGCCGTTTCTCAAAGCAGACCGAGGCGAACTGGGTTTGGTGCCACCGAGCCAGCAGAGCAGCCACGGCAGGATGCGTTGCAGCATCAGCTTCGGAGTGACTAGCATACAAGTGGCTGCCCTGCTTGCCCTGCTGTTCCATTAGGGTCTCCTTTGCTGACAGGTGCAGCGAGGTAGCTCTAGCTACCTCCTCATAACGCCCCAACTCCTGACTGCCCACCCTGACATCAACCTCTTTCACAGAGAGCCACTCTACCTGCTGTGCTGACACGTGCCCTGCTCCCGGCCCTGCAATGGTGGCTCTTATTGCGTCCTGTCTCCCTGCGGTGAAGACTCGAGGTGCTTCTGGTTTCGGTTTACTCGACTCAAACACACTGCTGGCTCGAGTTACGTCCTGCCTCTCAATCTCAGTGGATGCTTGAAAGGACTCTTGCGGAGCGCTAGTGCCGCGATGATTCCGGGGAGACCAAGGGTTGTGTGAGTCTGCCGGCCAGGAGGGAACGGATGGTGCTTGTGGGTGGTGGGAATTGGGTGGACTGAGTGGGTTTGAGAGAGACGTGAGAGGTGAAGAAGAAGGGAGAGCAGAAGATGAAGGAGCAGCGGTGGAAGAAGGTGTGGATTGAGAGACTGGGGCACGAGCGGAGGAAAAGGGGGGAGTGGCAGAGGTCGCGGGTGTGGTGGGGGTGGCGGGTGTGGCAGGACGGGCAAGAGCGGCAGCAGCACGCATGGCAGCAGCACGCAGATGCCACTCTGAACGCACTGCAGGAGTAGCAGCAGATGGAGCAGAAGAATCTGAACGGGCAGAATGGGCAGGATGGGCAGCAGGAGCAGACGAAGAGGAAAGGGAGGTGGGGGTCGACTGGGTGCGCTGCAGGGAGTGCGGTTTGGCCCCTGTTCGGCTCCAGAGTGGTTCCACATTGGACTGAGTGGGACCAAACTGAGTGCCTGCTGCTGGCTGCTGCTCTGATGGATGGGAGTTTTGGGACTTGGAGGAGCCAGTCTCAAAAGGCAAGCTGACTCCAGTTTGACACCCGCTCGGCTCCTCCGCAGCTGCTCCTGCTGGTCGTGCTGCTGGCGATGGTGACGGTGGCGCTTGTGGTGCTGATGCTGCTGCTGGTGGTGATGCTAATGGTTCAGCTCGTTCCACTGCTTGCCGAGCCTCTATCCTGGCACTGGAATCTGACGTGGGAGGAGACGCGTGGGCTGGACGTGGTGAGGCTCGGGAAAGGAGAGAGTCGGGGGGAGAGTGCTGCCACTGGGGTATGGTTGATGGGGATGGAGATGGGGATGGGGATGGGGACGGGGACGGGGTGTGCATGGAAGGTGATGGCAGTGGTGCTTGAGGCATCGAGGAAAGGAGTTCGCCTGTTGCTTTGTTCACCATTTCCTCCCTCGCACGCTCCATGCTCTCGCCTCCGCTATTCCCCACCATCTCCCCACCCTCCCATCCCAGTGCATCCACAGTGGTCCTCTGGTGCTGCAGCACATGCTCCGTGTTTTGAGTCAACTCAAAACGCATGCTCTCTTCTCTGCTATGCTCCCAACTCTCCTCACTCTCCAATCCTCGCATCGCTTCATCAACAGCCCTGTGGTGCTCCAGCAGATGCTGCGTGTCCCGAATCGACTCAAAGCTCACACTCTCCTCTCTCCCGCCATGCCCCCAACTCTCCAATCCTCGCATCGCCTCATGAACGGCCGTGTAGTGCTCCCGCAGTTTCTGTGTGTTTTGAGTCAACTCAAAGCTCACGCTCTCCTCTCCTCCGCCATGCCCCCAACTCTCCAATCCTTGCATCGCTTCATCAACGGCCGTGTAGTGCCTCCGCAGATGCTGTGTGTTTTGAGTCAGCTCAAAGCTCATGCTCTTCTCTCTGCTATGCCCCAAATTCCCCTCACTCTTCAATCCTCGCATCGCCTCATAAACGGCTGTGTAGTGCTCCAGCAGATGCTGCGTGTCCGAGTACCCAAGAGCCCGGGAGATCTGCCATTAAAAGATTGCGCAAGGGAGCAAGGGAGGAATGGGCAGCGGATTTGCAACAACTGTGAGTGGCTGTTCGTTGACAGAAAATGTCGCAGATTACTCTTGAAGCTGCAGTGTGAGATCAAGTCCCTTCCTGGCATAATAACATGTATATTTAAAACAGCAGGCAGATCTCACCGGCTCCAGGCGCTGCCTGCGCACGTCACGAGGCAGAATGTCGTAGTTCACTCCGGCCCACCCCACCACCTGCTGCACTTCCAGTGAGGCACTCAGCTGCTGACGTCTCATCCTCTCGTGCACCGACTTGAGATACTGGTGAAAGCTGATGGTTGCCAGGAAGGGAGCAAATAGGGTGAGCAGGAGGGATGGAAAGAGAGCAGATGACATGCTGTCTGTAATCCAGTTTGACTCACACTTGGCTCATCCAGGTGGGAAAGTGTGGAGCTTCAGTTCACTAAGCTTGACTTGACTCACACTCACACGCACACCTGATTCAAGCTTGGTTCAATCAACCTCGACGCAAGCTCGATTCGAACATGATAGAAACTTGATCCAGACTTGCTGTGAGATTGACGCTCCTTCTCACACTCTGCATCTTTCAACGAGCATCTCTGGGCGAGGCCTCACCTGCTCCTCTTGCCTTGGGCATTCGAGAAATCCGTAGCAGCTTCATACGCCACAGCCTGAACGAGCTCACTCATATCAAACACCGTTGCCCCCGCTAATGCCTCCGCCGTTGCCTCTACCATTGCCTCTGCTGATGCCTCTGCTCCCGCCTTCTGCTCTTTCTGCTCTCCTTGCCCTAACCGCTGCTTCTTCAGCTTCTTCTTCTGCTTCTGCTGCGGTTGCCAGGGTTGCTGCCCCTTCTTCCATGTTTGAGACAGCTCAGTCGAATCCTGAATGCCCTGCTGCTGTCCCACCAGGGTTGCCTCAGCCGCACGTGGTGTTAGAGTCGATTCAGAAGGCTGGACTGAACTTATTGGTGTGTGGTTCCACTGAAAGGCCTCTCCAGGTTCGGTGTCGTGCAGACCACTCATCGCTCCCTTCACCGCTGCATGATGCTTGTCCATTGCTCTCTCATTGATCACCAGTGCTTGAGCCTCCTCTTCCCAAACAATCACCTCTGATGGTCTCTCCTTTATCACAGCCGGTTGGTGTTCTCCCGACCCTCTCTGCTCTATCACCGCTACTTGAGGCTCTTCCAGTGCTCTCTGCTCTATGATCGCTGTTTTTGCCTCCTCCTTCCAAACAGCCACCTCAAATGCTTTCTGCCCGACCACCACTGTTTTTGCCTCCTCTTTCCAAACAGTCAACTCCGAAGCTTTCTGCCCAACAACCGCTGCTCTTGCCTCCTCTTTCCAAACAGTCACCTCTGATGCTTTTTGTCCAGCCATCACTGCTCTTGCCTCCTCTTTCCAAACAGTCAACTCTGATGCTTTTTGTCCAGCCACCACTGCTTTTGCCTCCTCCTTCCAAACAGTAACCTCTGAAGCTTTTTCTCCAGCCACCACTGCTTTTGCCTCCTCCTTCCAAACAGTAACCTCTGAAGCTCCCTGCCCTGCCAACATAACTGTCCCCTCCTCCAAAACAGTCATGTCTGAAGCCCGACTGCCTTCTGTTAAGCTACTGCTGCTACTCCCGTCGCTCCCATCCCCTATAGTCACCTCTTCAACTGTCCGTTCTACAATCACGTCCCCAACAGTCACCTCGTTGACTGTCTTCTCTGTACTCACACCCTTTACACTCACACCCTCACCTGCCTCTTCTGAACTCACGTCCCTTAAAGCTTCCTCTGCTACACTCACGTCCCCTACAATCACCTCATCCACACTCCCCCAAGACAATTCCTCCTTCTTGGCTGATCTGCCTCGACCCATTGCCCAGGCAACAGTGCCATTCCGTCTGTACCTACTACAACCCCCCCTCAGTTCCGCCTGTCCCCCCCGCATGCTGCCTGCAAGCAACAGAGGAAAAGCCCTTCCCCTCAGGGACGGGCTCGCATCCGGGTGAAATCGTGCACGGGAAGCAATTGTTACAGCAGCAGCAGCTGCAACGGCTCCTGCACCCCCTGATTCTCCTCTAACTCCCGCTGTTCCTTTTCCTCCACGTGCCATTCCCACTGCTCCACTTGATCCGCCCCTTTCCAGACGCACGCCCGAGCGAGCATGCCGTAAAGGGATCAATCGCCTGTTCAGAAGTGGAGCAGTACGACTGCTGAAGCCTAGGCCTGTGAATCCAGGAACCAAGGAGTTTCTGTGGCTGTAGCTGTGACTGCTGTAGCAGTTGGTTCGGGATGAGGAGTTAAGCGTTGGTGTGGTGTGGTTGGCAGGGCAGCGAGTGGGAGTGGGGGAACATGCTCGAAATCTGTTTCTAAGCGCGGCTAATTGGCTAACTGGTGGAGAAGCTGAAGCCATTTTGGAAGAGCAGCAGACCGCTGAGATTTCTACGGACCGGGCACATGCAAATAGAGTCAGCAGCATGCGACGAGAACTGGGAACAGCCGTGCCACGTGCAGACAAAAAAGCAGCTGTAGCGAAGGAGGAATGAGCAGCACTGCCAGCAGCCACGGTACCATTTGCCCTCAGGGAATACGTCCCAGCAGCAGCTGCGGCAGCGGCCCCTGGGCAGAAAGAGACATGTTTGAGACAACGGTGCAGCTGCCACTGCATGTGCACACACACACTGCACCACACTGCACTCCAAACAAAGATTGAGCACAGTGAACAGAGAGCTTGCACAGTGCTACAAAGCACACAGCACAGAGCTCACACCACGCTGGCAGTTCAGTCCAACGTGATACCAGCACAACACGATTTGACCTGAAAGACCTGGTTTACTTGACCCTGTTGACCTGGTTGACTCCGCTGACCTGAGATACCTGGTTGACCCCTGCGATCTTTACCCCGTTGACCTCAGAGACTTGGTTGATCCCAGTAAATTGAGACGCCTGGTTGACCCTGTGATTATACAACAGTGAGTACGAGTGTGAGTCTGTGAGTGCAGGAGAGGACGTAAGGCAGGCTACGGCTGGCAGTTTGGGTTCGAGTGTGGCTTGGGAGGAGCTGCCTTGAGAAAGGTGTACGGCTCTGTTGGCTCGGACCTGCACTCACGTGGAACGGAGCAACGAGAAGGGAAGAAGCAGCTTAGAATCCTAGGGAAATCGCCAGCACTGAGGGGTTGCCTTGAGAAAGCTGAATGGCTGGTTCGGACCCGCACTCATGTCATGTGTGCAACGGGCTGAGGGGAATGTTTCAGTAGGGGTGTAAGGTACATACAGGCTAGTGATGTGAATAGAGACTATGGAAGACGAAGGATGACAAACTGAGGCAAAGCCGAGCATGCAATCACTGGTAGTGTGATTGATTGTTATGGTGATAATATACAAAATGAACGTTGTTGCTGAGCGTTGCTGACCTCAGTATCCTGCAGCACAGCCACGCACTCATACCCTGCAGTGCAGCACAGCCACGCACTCATACCCTGCAGTGCAGCACAGCCAAGCACTCATACCCTGGTTTGGAGCGGATGCACTGAAAGAACAGCTGAAGAGGCCTCTTAAGGTTGGTGCTCCAGTTTCCCTCAAACAGACCCTGATCAGGACAGGAATGAGGCGAGAGTAACGAATGGAGGGGACATCAATGAATGAAGGGGACATCAATACGAGAAGTGGAACGTGGAAGCGGTAGGAGACGCTTCAATTACAGGAGGTCACTGCCGGATGATGGAATGGTGCGAACAGCACTCAGAAAAGCAGGGAAAGAAGGAATCGCGTCAGAATGACGTCTTTCAGCCGACAGTAAGGAGAGGAGGCTATGCCTGAATGACGTCTTCCAATCGATCGTTGCAACGGTGAGGACCCACTCCGCCAGTATGAGCGGGGTCAGGTGAACGGTTGCGATCTGACGGCTGGCTAGAATCCGACAGCTCTGACGGCATAGCGGCTCAACCAGAAGTTGCGAACTGACGGATGTAAGAGCAGGCTGGCGAATGGAGAGAAGAACTCTAAAGAGACAGGCGGAGGCGACAGAACAGATTTCTGTTCAGCAAGTTGGAGAGTTTAAGAAAGTGTGCTGAGGAGTAACAGAAGCGACAAAAAAAATCGGTAAACTGGTGAATGAAAACCGTTACATAACGGCGCTGAGAGAATTGAAATGTTGTATGTTCTCAAGATAATAAGGCTGTTTAAAGACATTACACAGCAATGGGAGGGTTAGACCGCGCATACACTCCCAGTAGTTGGGCGCAGCGCGCTTTCCGCAAACGAGATACCGTGTTTTCCTGAAACGATAGGTCGGGCTCAGCGTCACAAGGAAGACATTTCCAAGGTTCAAGCACTACCATTGCGTCTGGTTGCGAGATGAGTGTGCCTCGTAAAGAGCTATCGTGCTGCACAAAAAAGTACAGCCATAGTTCAGATAGAGAGCGAATGGAAAAACGAACTGGGAAATGAAGAATGACTGGTAAAGGAATTTTAATTTTTAATTCCCTCTACTGCAGGAAGATAACTAGTGTTTAAATATTTTTGTGGTGTAATTATTAACAGAAAATAGCAGAAGTTCATGTGATCAATCTTATTACTGCTTATGTTGTAAGCTAATCAGTAGTTTAACGATTTTTGAAAGTATTGTATTTGTATGTTATCAATATGGCATCACAATCTGATTTCCACGAAGCCAGGCGATTTGACCGTTGAGCGTCATCAACAGATGGGGGTCTCCAGCCTCAGCATTCGACAACCGTTCGATAAACAATGCAACAAGCATCGACGGATGGATGCAGTTGGCCTGTGATACGATGATGGCAACAACCAGTCACCTTGCTTCTCCTCCACGCGTTCGGCGGCCGCGGCACACGGCCATGGCGGAAAGGGTAGTTGAGACGAAGGGAGATGAGATGGTTGGGTGCAGCAGCACAGCATCAGTCTGTACCGGACTGGATCAGCAGCAGCAACTCTTGCGATCACATGTAACCACCATATCATAACAACCATAGGAGCATGGAAACTCGAAGGGCCCAAAACCGCCATAATTGTGGCTCAATCGCTTGAAGTCCTTCGCGATTCTAGCCGCCAATCGTGAGGATAAATACAGGACAGATCATCAATCGTCGTTTTATTTCTCGATTTAACTCGTGTCACCTTCGTTGGGAGAAATTGTTCAGGAGGTCTCTCGCGTTTCCCCCGCAGTTCCCGGTTCTTGTGTGTCTCGTAGTGCATCCGGCCATGTGCGATGCGTCACACTGCCAGAAGCACTGACAATTGTTCCGCGTTGCTTCCGATCGCCGCATTTGGCGGCTCCAATCAACATGAAAGAGGATGGCCAATCAGAATCCGAAGAAGGCGAGTTTGTCGCTCCTGACGATCCGAATCTCGGTAATTCCGCCAGCTCTTTGCCACGTGGCAACGATTTGGCCAACTCCGCCGTGTCACAGACGAAAGAGCAGCAGGATCCGATCGCTGAAAGATCCGCGTTAAGAGCAGGATCGGTATACGAAACGCAGACTCCTGCTGCTCCTAGAGTCGCGTCGAACCAGGAAAGGCCGGATCAGGCGGATAGAACGAGGGACGCCGGATCGAAGCCAGACAGGCACGAGAAAGTGGAAAGTGACTTTGGATCTGTGCTCGCTGTTCCAGGAGTAGACTTGGAGGAGGATGAAGATGCGATGTTCAGCGAGGTTGCCAAGCTGTGGGCCGGACACACGTCTGGGCATGCACCCGCGCACGGATCTAGTCGACCTTCGACCAGTTTCCCGGCCTCGTCCGGCCATCCAGCCGGTCTCGCAGGCGATCCAGTCGCAGGATGGTCGCACGGGTTTGTTTCGCAAGGGCATGGGTCGCACGGTCGTGGATCCCACGGCCGTGGGTCGCACGGCCGTGTGTCGCACGGTCGTGGGTCGCACGGGCACCATCAGAGGGGACACGGGCGACAGATGATTGACGCGCTTGGGGAGATGGCAGGGATCGGCACGGGGAGCGGGTCCCCTGTGAAACCTCGTGGGTGGACCATGACTTCCCACCCCCATGATCATGATGCTGCGCAAGCTGATGAGGATGCAGATGCTCATGCTGCGGCTGATAGCATGGGTGATAATGATGGCGATCCTGTTGGGTATGGTGACGACGATGGGGTTGACGACTTGGGGTATAAGAGAGCCAAGCACCATCATCAGCATCAGCATCAGCAGCATCAGTGGGGCCCCCCATCCTCGCCAGCAGCACCCGCACTCCGAACCTCGAGCTCATACCCGTCCCCATGGCCATCCTCATACCCATGCCCATCCCCACGGCAATCATCCGCATCAACCCCATCATCATCCCCATCACCACGGGCACCACCACCGGAGCCGGCACCACCACAAGGGCAAGGCTCACGATGGCGGAAAGGCTGGAGTTACCGGTAGCGCTGCTGCTATGCGTTCGGGCGGCGCTGGTAGCATGGCTGATGCTGCTGTAGCTGCTACTGCCGGCGGCAGTGGCAGCGTTGCTAATGCTGCTGATGCGGCTGCGGATGGTTCAGAAGGTGGGGTTGGGGTTGTAGGCAAGGGGGGGGAGCGGTTTTGGGAGAGACCGGGGGAGGGGGGAGAGGCGGAGGGAGCAGGGGCGGAGGGGGCTGGAAGAGGGGGGAAAAGGGCGGAGCGGACGGGAGATGTGCGCGGTGGTGGGGAGAAGGGGCAGCTGTCGGTGCTGCTGGCGAGCGGAGGGTTTTGGGGAGCGGAAGAGGAGGAGGAGGAGGAAGAGGAGGTTGGGGCAGGGGAGGAGGGGAGTGAACGAGCGAGAGTAAGACGAAGAGCAGGCATTGGAGGGACGGCAGGTGATGGTGGGGAAATGGGAGAGGGTGGGGATGGGGAAGAGGGAGGGCAGGACGGAGGGGAAGGAGGGGCGGGGAAGAGAAGAAGGCACGAGTGGGAGCAGGACGAAACGAACGGGGGACGACACGAGGGGGGGTATCGCGGGAGAGGGGGCAGGGGCGGCGGAAGGGGCGGGCGGGACGACTGGCGCGGGAGAGGAAGAGGGGGCGGGGGAGGCGGAGGCGGAGGGGGGGGTCATAGACGGCGCATGGAAGCGGGACCCTCGCGCGTGTCCGTACCTTGCAAGTTCTATTTGGGTGGGCGCTGCAGCAAGGGAGCGTCTTGCCCCTTCCCCCACACAGGCGTTCCGCGGACCAAGAACGAGCCGTGCAAGTTCCATGTAACGAATTCGTGCCTTAAGGGGGATGAGTGCCCGTTCTCCCACGACTTGGCGCGCTTCCCCTGCAAGTACTTCCACGTGGGCACGGGGTGCTTGGACGGGGAGAGGTGCAGATTCTCCCATGGGAGTGCCGAGGAGAGGGAGTTGGTGCGGCTGAGAGAGATTTGGCAGAGGGACAGGCCTAGGGGCGCGGCGGGGGAGAGGCAGGGGTTCAGAGAGGTGGAGAGGGGGAAGGAGGGGTTCAGGGATGGGGTTGGGGGAGCGGGCGGGAGAAGGATGGCTGGTGCTGGTGGCAGTGTGGGGGTTGGTGGCGTTAGTGGTGCTGGTGCTGCTGGTGCTGGTGCTGGTGGTACCGCTGTTGGTGGTGTTGCTGCCGATCTTCCTGTTGGTGGTCGGGCAGGGAGGGGAACATGGATGGTTAAGGTTGAGGGCAGCGCGGACAGGGGGGAGAGGCTGGGCGGGATGGGATCAGATGGGCGGAAGGCTGGGGGCATGGGGGCAGATGCGCGGGCGGATGGGGGCATGGGCCAAGATGGGCGGAAGGAAGGGGGCATGATTGGAGACGGGCAGAAAGAAGGCGAGGAATGCACGGATCAGCGGGGTGGTGATGGGAGAGGGAAGGAGGGCGGATTGGGTGCTGTTTTGGGCAGCAGGGCGAATGAGGAGGAGGACGACGAGGAGGAGGATGACGATGAGGAAGAAGGCAGTGCCCTGGATCCCTATGGTGCTGCTGGGTCAGGGCCAGGCACCCATCCATATGGGGCTCATGGGGGCGACACAGACCCATACGGGGCTCATACGGGCAGCACAGACCCATACGGGGCTAGCGGGGGTGATGCAGACCCGTATGGTGTTGGTGGGGGAGGGCCAGGGGCAGCATCAGCATCGGTGCATGATTTTCTGGCACGGGCAGCTGAGTTCTTTGCCGATGGGGGGTCGGGAGGAGAGGGGGATGCGGATGCGCCTATGTATGGCAGGATGGAGTATATTGGGGAGGCGGGTGGGGGAGGTGGGCCACGATATGCGCCTGACTATGCAGCAGATGGGGATAGAGCTTCGTATGCACCTGATTATGCTGGAGATGGGGAGTTAGCAGCCGGTGGGGTGAATGTCTTATATGCGCCTGATTATGCTGGAGGGGAGGGTGTACCCCGATACAGCAGCACGGGGTATGAGGGCGAAGCAGGAGGGTATAAGGCAGCGCACGATCTTTACTCTTGGAAACATGCTAAAGAGGAGGCGAGGGAGGAAGAGGAGGAGGAGGAAGAGGAGAAGCAGCAGGAGGGTAATGTGGGGCGAGAAATTGCAGCCATTGGGGAGGTTGAGAAGAGGTCAACAGGGATTACAGAGGCGTTGGCTTATAGGAAGAATGGAATATTCAGTAGCGAGGATGCTGGTTCTGAGAGGACGGGCCGAGCGAGAGCGAATGTTGCATCGCTATTGAGCCAAGTGCTAGATAGTTAGGGGGGGCAGTCACAAGGACAGACATACACGTTCTGGATAGGCTAATGAGGATACCGTTACCGTCATCGCCCGGATATAAGACATATATGTCTTATCTCGTACACGGGCAAAAATGCTTGAGTTATCTTGTAAACGGGATGGTTTAGGGCAGGCCCTCAGAAGTTAGACTTTTTACTCTGATTTGGACTTTTTTCTCTGATATTTCAGATTTTTTTTCCTGTGTACTCTGATAAAATCAGACTTTTTTGGGCCTCAACTCTGTAATTTTCAGACTTTTTTTAAGGCTAACTCTGAGAGTTCAGAGTTTTCTGAGAGTGTACTCTGATAATTCTGAGTACAAACGCGTCCTTGACTGCTGATTCGGACTTGCGGATCACAGCAGATTCGCATTGTCAACGCAAAATCGCATTGACACAGCAAATCCGAGTCTTACAGCACAAGATTTTCGCCCAATCATAGGAAAAATCGCCCTGACACAACAGATTTGCGCTGTCAGAGTACAACAATCTTCGCCCAATCACAGCAAAACCGCCCTGACATTGCAGATTCCCCCATTCGCACCACAAGATTTGCCCTGACACATATGTTCGCCCTGTCAGAGCATGTTTCGATAGCAGATGAATGAAACATTGAAAACACTTCCGATGAAACATTGAATACATTGATTTTGAATGATCAGACTTTTGTTTAAAGGCACTCTGAAATTTCAGCCTTTTTTCTATACCAGGTCTGAGATTTTCAGACTAAAACTGTGTACTAGTCTGACGAATCAGACAGGCCAAAAACGAATCTGAGGGCCTGGTTTAGGGTGTCGTATAAGTCTTATAAATGGAAAAAAATCTAAGTTGACTGTAACACTTGCAAAGTGTGTAGAAACCACCCATAGACCATATTCATTGAAACAGGCCGACCTCGTTGGTGATGCATGCAGCGCCCACACTTGCCACGTGAGGGATGCAGCAAAGCTGCCACCGCTGGCAGGATTCCTCAGTACTGGCAGCATCTAATGATGCTGGCAGCGTCGTTTTGCTGCCAGCAGCGCATGGCAGCTTCCAGAACGCTGCTGGCAGCACGTTGGCAGCGCGAGGGCTGTCCTCTACGAGGAGATGCCTCGTAGAGGAGCGGCTCGGCATCTGCGGATGGGGCACTCTGGCTTGGGGGGGTAGTCGGGCTCGTGCTTCATTTGGTGCTCACGGTGGTTGAATGCTCGACTCAACCTTGCTCTCGGCAGGCTCTCTAACCATGCGCAGCAAGGTACCCCTAGGCAAGTCCTCACCTCGTCCTCACGTGCAGGTGAATAACTATGGGCGAATTAACTCGCCCGGCGACGACATCCGTGTAGCCATGGCAAAGAACGCGAGCACGGCGGGAGGTCCTACCGCCGCCTCCGGTGCGAGCTGTGACGGGTCCACGACGACGGAGACGAAGCACACGGCGACGACGCGGAGGAGGATTGGCCGGAGAACGGCCAGGACGATAGCGCTTCGGGCGACGAATTAAGTCCTGCCGACATTGAGGAGGACGAATGGTGGAATCAGCCGGTCGGGAGCGACGACGAGGTGGAAGAGTGGCGGGCTGGTGATTCTGACAACGACGGAGGTGACGAAGCTGACGGTGACAACGCGGAGGCACAGGAAGCGGCGGTGGATGCTAACGAGCGTGCCGACGAGGCGGACGCGGTGGCGGAGGCGGAAGGTGGCTGCGGAGGCGGACAAGGTGGCGGAGGCGGACAAGGTGGCTGCGGATGCTGTCTTATTTGACGATGAAGGCTCCAACGACGACCCGTGGGGCCTTGGGACAGACGACGACGTTCCGCTACTGAAGCGGAGGCTGCGCCATCGCCTACAGTCCACGACGAAGCGCACCTGCGTGGTGCTCTCTGACGACGACAGTCCCGGGGAGGAGCGTCGGCCGATACTCACCGCCGCGGAGAAGGGAAAGGCAAAGGTCGTGGAAACCCCTGCTAAGTCCCCTGCTAAGGCCCCTGCTCGTCGCCGCACAAGCAACAAGAAGCGCAAGGACGACAGAGACCCAGGATCCAGCAAGGGTGTGGTTAAGAAAAAGGCGAAGAAGGCGCCGAATCCTGACGACATCATCGTGAACGAGGCGTTGGGCAGCGACGATGAGTACGCGGCGGCGGCGGCCCCGATTCCCACGTTCCCTGAGAAGGTCACGCCGAAGGACCCCACCCTCCATATTCCCAACACCCGCCCACCTTCCCCTCGCAGCAAAGACACTACGAAGAAGCGCCGCGGATGGACCGTGCGTGAGAAGCTTAAGTGAGCGCGCCGGTATCAGGAGCTCGGCTCCTTGAAGAAGACGAGCTTGGGGTCAACCGCGAGCATCGCCTGCATCAGACGCTGGAGCGCGGAGGCGGCTGCGGGATTCTACAAGGGCGTGGCTAACTGCCGCAAGCGGATGCACGGGGGGGGCCGCCACGCACACTACCCCGACATGGAGGCAGCGTTGTACCGCTACATCTGCCTTCAGCGCGCTAACGGGGTGGCCATCTCGGTGAAGGACACCCAGAAGTGGAGCCGCGAGTGGATGAAGAAGCATTACCCCGGCAAGAACTGGAACGCGAGCTCTCACTGGAGCCAGCGTTTCCGTGACCGCTGGAACCTGGTGATGCGGGTGAAGACGAAGGTCGGACAACGTTTGTCGGCAGGTGCATGGATAAGGAGTTCGTGCCACGCTCGGCCCATTGTATGCATGTCTTACGTTGCTCAGTGTCTAACCGTCCTGTGCTTCTGTGCCTGTCCCGTTTGCAGAGTCGCGAAGGACTGCGAGTCCTTCTGGAAGTTCGTGCGCATCAACAGGGCGCGGCACAACATCGACCTGGCCCGCATCATCAACGCGGACCAGACGCCACTCTTCGTGGAGATGCCGACCGAGAGGACGATCGAGCACCGTGGCGCGCGCTCGGTCCCAATCCGCACTGCAGGCTACCAGAAGACGCGCTTGACGGTGATGCTCGCGTGCACTGCATCCGGGGAGAAGCTGCGGCCTTGGGTGTGGTTCAAGATGAAGAACGTCCCCAACTGTGAGATTCCGGACGGTAAGCGCCATGAATTCAACCGTGCCCCACTGTGCTGATGCCCGTCTGTCCCTTGTGTGCCTGGCAGGAATCGTGGTCCAAGCACAGGACAAAAGGTGGATGGACGAGAGCGCTGTGCAGACCTGGATGTTCAAGGAGATGCTGCCCCATCTGAACCCCCAGCGCGGCCAGAGTGCGAGGCGTGCGATGCTAGTGTTGGACTCCTACCGCGGCCAGATCACCCAGACCATGCTTCAGTCGTACCGCACGCACAGCATCACCCCTGCAGTCATTCCAGCGGGTTGTACGAGCCAGATTCAACCCCTGCAGCAAGGGCGTGGGAGGGTTGGCTGATGAAGCTCCACGACGTCTGGTCCTCTTGCCAAGCCAGCAAGGGCGTGGGAGGGTTGCGAGCATCATCGGTCATCGGCGCTCGCAAATGAAGAGCGCCCGCTGCACTTCCTGCACCTGTGCGGATCCTTTAGCATTTTGGGGGTAGAAGCGCTCGTTCCAAGCGTTTTTCTTCCGCCAAGTCACGTGGCTGCACTTTTCTGGTCCTCTTGCCAAGCCAGCAAGGGCGTTGCGAAGATGATGCTCGCAACCCTCCCATGCCCTTGCTGGCTTGGCAAGAGGACCAGAAAAGTGCAGCCACGTGACCCGGTAGAAGAAAAACGCTTGGAAAGAGCGCTTCTACCCCCAAAATGCTGAAGGATCCGCACAAGTGCAGGAAGTGCAGCGGGCGCACTTCATTCTCATGCGAGCACCTCACGAATGACGTCTTCACGTTGAAGAAAAACGCTCGTTTTGGGCGTTTGTAGCCCCGAGACGCGAAAACAGCCGCACCAGTATAGGTCATGAAGCAGGCCATTTTCCGTCATGGAGCTCCATCATCAATCGTTCTCACTTCACTCCCGGGCACTTTCTAGCTTAATCGCAGGTCCCTGAACTCACGAAGGCCGTTTTCACTTTGAAGAAAAACGCTCGTTTCGGGCGTTTGTAGCCCCGGGACTCGAAAACAGCCTCACCGGTACAGGTCATGGAGGAGGCAATTTTTCGTCGTGGAGCTCTATGACGAATCATTCTCGCTTTACTCCCTGGTACTTTCCAGCATAATCGAAGGTTAATAAACTCACGAATAACATCTTCACGTTGAAGAAAACCGCTTGTTTCGGGCGATTGTAGTCCCGAGATGCGAAAACAGCTGCACCGGTACAGGCCATGGAGCAGGCAATTTTCCGTCGTTGAGCTCCATAACCGATCATTCTCGCTTTACTTCCGGGCAACTTCCAGCAAATCGGAGGTCCGTGAACTCACGAATGACGTCTTCATGTTGAAGAAAAACGCTCGTTTCGGGCGTTTGTAGCCCCGAGACGCGAAAACAGCCGCACCGGTATATGTCATGGACCAGGCAATTTTCCGTCGTGGAGCTCCATGACCAATCATTCTCGCTTCACTCGTGGGCACTTTCTAGCATAATCGGAGGTCCGTGAACTCACGAATGACGTCTTCACGTTGAAGAAAAATGCTCGTTTCGGGCGTTTGTAGCCCCGAGACGCAAATACAACCGAACCGGTACAGTTGGCAAGAGGACCAGAAAAGTGCAGCCACGTGACTTGGCAGAAGAAAAACGCTTGGAAAGAGCGCTTCTACCCCCAAAATACTAAAGGATCCGCACACGTGCATGACGTGCAGCGGGCGCACTTCATTTGCGAGCGCCGATGACCGATGATGCTCGCAACCCTCCCACGCCCTTGTTGGCTTGGCAAGAGGACCAGACAAGCGTAGCCACGTGATCCGACGGAACAAAAACGCTTGGAATGAGCGCTTCTACCCCCAAAACGCGGAAGGATCCGCACATGTGCAAGAAGTGCAGCGGGCACTCTTCATTCGCGAGCGCCGATGACCGATGATGCTTGCAACCCTCCCACGCCCTTGGTGGCTTGGCAAGAGGACCAGACAAGCGCAGCCTCATGACTTGGTGGAAGAAAAACGCTCACTGCGAGCGCTAGTACCCCCAAAACGCGGAAGGATCCACACATGTGCAAGAAGTGCAGCGGGCGCTCTTCATTCGCGAGCGCCGATGACCGATGATGCTCGCAACCCTCCCGCGCCCTTGGTGGCTTGGCAAGAGGACCAGACAAGCGCAGCCTCATGACCCGGTGGAAGAAAAACGCTCAGAACGAGCGCTAGTACCCCCAAAACGCGGAAGGATCCACACATGTGCAAGAAGTGCAGCGAGCGCTCTTCATTCTCAAGGGCCGATGACCGATGATGCTCGCAACCCTCCCATGCCCTTGCTGGCTTGGCAAGAGGACCAGAAAAGTGCAGCCACGTGACTTGGCAGAAGAAAAACGCTTGGAAAGAGCGCTTCTACCCCCAAAATGCTGAAGGATCCGCACACGTGCAGGAAGTGCAGCGGGCGCTCTTCATTTGCGAGCGCCGATGACCGATGATGCTCGCAACCCTCCCACGCCCTTGCTGGCTTGGCAAGAGGACCAGACAAGCGCAGCCACATGATCCAGCGGAAGAAAATCGCTCAGAACGAGCACTAGTACCCCCAAAACGCGGAAGGATCCACACATGTGCAAGAAGTGCAGCGGGCGCTCTTCATTCGCAAGCGCGTGATGACGGATGATGCTCGCATCCCTCCCACGCCCTTGCTGGCTTGGCAAGAGGACCAGAAAAGTGCAGCCACGTGACTTGGCAGAAGAAAAACACTTGGAAAGAGCGCTTCTACCCCGAAAATGCTAAAGGATACGCATGTCAGAATGTTATTGTCTAGCCTGCAGTGGGGTGCTCAATAGTGAGTACAACCCCTTAGGGTTTCCTATTTGTACCAACCTGCTTGCTAGTTCAACCATCCTCATTCTCATTTTTCTTCTTCAATTCTCCTTCGTATACCCTAAACCCTAGTTCTAGGGCACACCCTACCTACTCTATGTGTGGGCCTAGGCTACTAAGCCTAGGCCCCACTCCTAGTGATTCTGACATGGTATCTAGAGCGAGCATGATCCTGCCGCCTAGCTCAACGGGCCCACCAACTGCTTCCGCTGCCGTACTTTCCGCCGTGCGCTCCGTGGTGCGCGGCGCTGTATTTTTCTTCCCGCCGCGCGCTCCGAGCGCGTGGCGGCTTTTTCTGCCCGCCGCGCGCTCGGGGCGCGCGGCGGCTTCACCGTCCGTCGAGGCGCCCTCCGGGGGGGGCGTGCCCTCTGCTCCCCCCCCGTCGCTCGTCGCGGCGCCTTCAGGGGGCCCGCCCGCTACTCCTCCCCGTCACTCGTCGCGGCGCCTTCCGGGGGCCCGCCTGCTGCTCTCCCCCCGTCGCTCGTCGCGGCGCCTTCAGGGGGCCCGCCCGCTGCTCCCCCCCGTCGCTCGTCGCGGCGCCTTCAGGGGGCCCGCCCGCTGCTCCCACAGTCGCCCGTCGCTCGCGCCGCCGCCCCTCCTGCAGCTCGCGACGTCGCCCCCACAGCAGCTCGCGACGCCGCCCCTGCAACAGCGCGCGAGCCGCCCCTGCGCCAGCGCGCGAGCAGCCCCTGCGCTCGCGACGCCGCCCCTGCAGCGGCGTGTGTACCGCCCCTGTGCCAGTGACCCGCCCCTGGAGCAGCCGCCCCTGGAGCAGCCCGCGTCGCCGCCCCTGCAGCAGTGCGCCAGCCGCCCCTGCAGCAGCGCGTGTGCCGCCCCTGCGCCAGCGACCCGCCCCTGGAGCAGCCGCCCCTGGTGCAGCCGCCCCTGGCCCCTGCGACGCCGCCCCTGCAGCAGCCGCCCCTGGAGCCGCCCGCCACTGCAGCAGCCGCCCCTGGAGTCGCCCGCCACAGCAGCAGCCGCCCCTGGAGCCGCTCGCCACTGCAGCAGCCGCCCCTGGAGTCGCCCGCCACAGCAGCAGCCGCCCCTGGAGCCGCCCGCCACTGCAGCAGCCGCCCCTGGAGCAGCCGCCACTGAAGCCGCCGCCCCTGGTGCAGCCGCCCCTGGGCCCGCGACGCCGCCCCTGGAGCAGCCGCCCCTGCAGCAGCCGCCCCTGGCCCCTGGAGCAGCCGCCACTGCTGCAGCTGCCCCTGGACCTGCGCCGCCGCCCCTGGAGCAGCCGCCCCTGGTGCAGCCGCCCCTGTACCCGCGACGCCGCCCGTGGAGCAGCCGCCCCTGGTGCAGCCGCCCCTGGACCTGCGCCGCCGCCCCTGGAGCAACCGCACCAGCAGCAGCCGACCATGCAGCTGCCCGCGACGCCGCTCCTGGACCCTGTGCAGTCGCGCTC